AAACCAGACGCGGCAATATAATTAGTAAGCATAAGATAGCTTTCTTATTTCTTAGCTTTTAAGGCGTTGGATATTATAAAAAAAGAAATAGAGTAGCATAATAACGGCCCAACAGATAGGGCATTGCCAGCTACTTATCCGAGACCCCACCACGGAAATACTTTCGGGCCGAAAGCCTTAGAAGGGGGAGCGAGTGTTATAACCCGTAATATAAACAACCCGAGCGCAGAGGCACTTGCGGAGATAAGTAAGCAGATAAGACTAATAATATAGAACTAAGTTACAGAACTAAAAGGGTTATATATAGGACGTATAGGGATCCTGGATTCCCCTACGGACTGCTAGTAGATAGAAACGATCTAAGAATAGGATATTATAAGGGCAGGGCTATATAATAGCTCGCCAGGCTCGCAAAGGGAAGTAAGCATAGAGCCGTACGAGCGCTCGTCGAGCTTAAAGCGCTTAAGAACTACAAGCCCGGAGAGCTATATAAGTAAGAGGTTTCTTAGGACGGAGCTTTTATATAAAGAGACGCTCCTTTGCATAGATAGGAACCTTATATTCAACTTAAGACTTTAATATTACCTATTAGAAGTAACAACCCCGTCTTAAAACCTTAATTAATTATTACCTTACCTTTTAAAAACTATTACACCCCGATAACAACTTGCCTATACCCTGCTATAGTGTGTAACACTTAGAAGGTATAGAAGAGACGACCTGTTACACCTAGTACTTATATCTATTCTATATATTATAGCCGGGTTGGTTAGGCGTTGTCGCCTTATAGCGCGTTATCGGGATTATATCTGCTTGGAAATTATCCGGTCTATTATTCTTCTTTCCTCTACCTATCCAGCGGACGGCTCTATTACCCCTACTATACTAGCTATAACTATTTTTTTTTAGGAGCTTCGGGCTTTTTTACGTGCTAATAGGCGCCTATAGGTATTATATTATTAATAGCTATAAGTACTACGCTATTTAAGGTCCTTTACTTAACTGCTATAAAAATACTATTTTCTAGGCAAAGGCTATAAGTACTATACTATTTAAAGTTCTCTAATTAACCGCTAATAACTTTAGTAATACTATAGGTACTATAAATACTATTAGTTAATAAGAGCTTTAATAAAAGAAAGGGTAAAAACTTTATATTACTACCCTAGAGGTATTCTATTATACGCCTAGGTATCGGCTCTATATTTAGCTTACTTCCTATATAAGTAGATATATATTAGATAGTTTTTATACCTATTTTAATAGTTATTCCTCTGTTCTAGTAATACGGTTTGTTATTATTATCGTCCGGTTAGAGGCCTTTAAACGGCTATAACGCTATTACTAGCTCTATTATACCTTAAGTATCTGCTCTGCTTACTATAATACAGGAGCAGGTTTATAGCACTGCCTTATATAGGCTGCTTATTAGGCTTACGGTGCTATATTAATATATTAAGCGTATATATAAGTAAAAAGTTAACTATATTAGTTATAACTTAACACCTTTTCCTTTTTTTTTAACTACTACCTTTATTTACTATTTATATAGCTTTTATAGCTTTTATAGCTTTTAGAGCACTTTTACCCTCTATAGCACCTACTTTTCTTTATTTACTTTATTTTAATATATAGTAGATAGGGATATATACTATTTTTTAAGGTAGTAATTATTAGAAAGTAATAGTAAGGGCTGCAGTAGGTATTATATATAACTGCTCTAGCGTTACTTTTACTCCCTTAATACTATTATAAGAAGTACTCTAGGTAATATATTTTTAGTTTATTAAAACGGAGCCTAATTCCTACTATATTTACTTTTATATTATTTCTAAAGGTTTAAAAACATATAAGTAATAAATAGCTATACTTAAGCTTTCCTTTTGCTCGCTTAATACTACTATAAAAAGGATCCCGGATAACTGCTTAAGTATTATATTTAGTATACCCTTAATTATTCTTAGAATACCTAGGCCCTTTCCTAGCTTATTAGAGCTTTAGTTTCTAAATTGCCTATATATAGTATATAGTATGCCTAGATTATTCTAGAAATATAGAATAAAATTCTTTATTTATCTTTATTTTACTTATTATAATTATATTTAAACTGCTAATCTCGCTAGGCTATTATATTACACCGCTAGCAGCATTTATTTATAGAAGGCACTTACTTAAATACGTACTTAAATAGCTACTAAAAGAGCCCGTACTAATAAAATATAAAAAATAAGGAAAGAAATTAGAATATTTAAGCGCTATACTTTAAGCCCCTTTTTAACCTTTTACTAATAGTAAAAAAAAGCCTTTAGTAGGTATAAAGATAATAGAAAAGGCGTTTTACTATTACCTTAGAAAAATATTTAGTAAAAAAACGATTATCTATAGTATATTTAGTTTTCTAAATTTTTTATCGGAATTTTAATACTAACGTATTCTACTACTAAGCCGGCTAAACTACTAAGCCGGCTACTTTTTCTTAGTATAACTAATACTATATTTACACAGTAATATATTAATAACGCAGCGATTATCTATTTTAGTAAAAAGGTAGTATTAATCTCGCGTTTTAAGCCTTTACCTCTAGTTAATTTAGGACTATATAACGCGCTGCAGCAGCCTTTAACGTATAATATTAGCGGCTCTCTAATCGGCTCTATAGAATTATATTTTAACCTTAATTACAACTAAACTGCCTAAAGCTTACTGCGACCGAAAAGTATATAATTATACGATATATCCTTAACCTAGACTTGCGAGGATTTGCGCCCTAGTTATATAAGGTGGTAGATATAGTAGATAAAGTACTAGCTGCGTATAGTGGAATACTAGTAGGTAAGAACTAGACTTAACAGTTTATATCTTATATAAAGGAGCTTAAAATAGCTTTTAATCGGGTAAAGAACTACTAAAGAATACTCTAGGAAAACCTAAAGGTTATTAATATATAGTTTACTTTTATATAAAAGACTATAGCTAAGTATAGTATTTACCTAGATAATATCTACAACTTTAATAAAACTAGCTTTTAAATAGGTATAATTAGTATAATAAAGGTTATTACAGGTTTAAAAAGATATATAAGGCCTAATCTTATTTAACTAGGCAACTAAGAGTAGGTTATAGTTATCTAGAGTATCTGCGCTGCCGGATATACAACCCTACTATTTATTATTTATAAAAAACGCGTTTATATTTCTATATAGTATAAAAAAGCAGAGATACTATATAATTAGAAGCTCTCTATTTCTAAAAACGGCTAGACTAATAATAAGCTTAGTTTTAAGTAGTTAAAGCACTTTAATATATATATAAAGGCGCGTTAGGTGGGGTTATATAGGTTACTAATTTTAGACGGCTATAAAAGCCACTTTAACTAAGATTTTAAGGATTATTATATTAAATAATAAATTCTTACCCTCTATATACCTGCGCATTTATTATATATACTTTAGCTACTTAATATAGTATACTTCTTGCTATTAAAGCTAAAGTACTCTTAATATATATAAAACTTAGCACGCCGACGCGTCTACTATATTAATAAAAAAGGCTTCCTACTAGCCTTTAAAAACGCGTTTTTCGATGTATTTATATATAAGAACTGTAAAAAGGCCTTTAAGGCCTTTAGATTAGTTCCTATTAACGCGCAGGTAGTTCTTAATCGCCTTAATATACGGTTATAAACCCTACTACTAGCACCTCTACTAGAAACACTATAGTAATTAAAAATCCTAAGTAATATATACGAATTTAGATTATAGTTAAGGCTAGTAAGTAATTCCTTTATACGGTTACTAATAACTGCCTAAAAAGGCTTTTTAAAGCTTATTAAAGAAGCTAAAGAAATGCTATATAAAAATATACTTATTAAAGCCCGGGTTAAAGAACTTAAAGAGTAACTAATAGAGATAACTAAGCGTAAAGGTTGTAAAAGAAAGCAAATCTAGACTAGTAGTATAATAGAATATAGTACAGCAGCGTTATATATAGCTGCTAAAGTGTCTAGAACATCTAATCCACGGAAAAAGGTAGGTAGTAGAAATAGTGTAAATAGGGCTCTACTAGCTTAACAGCGCTATAGAAACTATAAAAAGGCTAGGTATAATACGCGTATATATAAAAAGGATTAAGAAGCTTCTTCTAAATCTAATTTAAGTATATTATATATAAGTTCTATAGCTAGTTGCGAATAAATTAACTGCGCGCATATAGTATTAGTTATACTAAGGAAAAGTAGCCGGCTTAGTAGTTTAGCCGGCTTAGTAGTAGAATACGTTATATATAATAATACTTAACTTAAGGCTAAAAAAGGCGGGTGCAGCTTTAGTAGGTTAGTAGAAAGGGATTATATAATAGTTTATACTACTAAATTACTAGAAATAGTCTATAAGTATAGTTTTCGGTAACTAATTAGGTTTATACTAGATTTTCTAACTATATACCGTTTTTATATATATAATAATATTACTATATATATATATAGAAGTTAGTTACGCTAATATAGCTAGAATATTTTTAGAAAAAAACTATAACTAAAGCTAAGCTTTAATTACTAAAACTAATAGATTAATTAAATTAATTAGAGTCTTAGTATATTGCTATAATTAATTGGTTATCTAGAAAAGGCTTAATTAAAGCAATATTAGGAGGTCTAATTAATTTAATATTAACGCCGTTTATCCGATAAAAAATATAATAGATATTTGGTTACATAAAGTAACAGTTTGCCCGCGGGCGTTACGTAGATATATCCTTGCTACGTAATTAGGAAGGGAATGGAAAGGCTATTGCCGTTGATTGAATGAATAGTAGCCAACTCTAACCTAATCGTAACGCCGCTCGAGACTCTCCTAGTTTAGATTGGTGCCATTAATATATGTATATAGTGAGCTATTATAGCCGCAGGTTTAGTAGAGGACTGGGTGCTGCAACCGTGCGTGGTTTAATATCTCGAGTTCATGTTAACATTCGTGCAAAGACTGGCGCAACCTGGGGTCGCGGTGCTGACTTGGAATCTGTGCTCAAACCCATTCATCTTCAAGGCCAGATCACTGATCATAGTTAAATTTACAGTTCTTAACATTTCGAACTTGATTTTGTACGCCTCTTCTTTCAGCCACTAATGCTAGAGCCGTGCTTGCGCGCGAGTCAAGACTCCCTTTCACGTTTCTACTCTATGCAAGATTAGGTTGTTGATGATCGCTGGAGACCACTATCAACCATGAATGCACATCAAGCTACCGAACCGCGGGAGCCTCAAATTTCCCTTCCGGAACCCCGGGTCATCGGATAGAATTGAACGGGAGAGATGAGTGAAAAACTCAGGGAACAAAAGTCTTCTTCGAATGCTTGCCCACTGCGCGAATTCGCCGGCCAAAGATGTAGAACACATAGGGAATTGGAAGCATGGCCACAGCCAAAAATCCGAGGAGGCTCAACCCCCAGTCAAGTCCGATGTTGGTGAACACTGCATACGCGTGTTAGACTTCCTCGTGAAATGGGTTCCATCGCTCACTTACAAGCGTGAGAAAACAGTGGAAAAGCACCCGCGAGCATGCTCCTCATGAATAAATTCGCTGCAATGGCGCTCGCAGACAGCCCAAGGTATGTGTCGACGAGGTAGCCGAGGCAGCTCTGGAAGATCGTAAAGAAGCCAAGACCAAGGCAAGCAAGTCCAACGCAGAAACCTATCCAATAAATACTAGCTTTGGACGTCCAGGCCATGATAAAGAGTCCGGCGGTGAAGAAGACTGATCCGATCATCATGGGTGGCAAGCGAGCTTCGGGGATGATCTTGTTTCCATTGGCGATGAAACGCTTCTTGTAGTAGATTCCTCCCCACAAGATCACGCCCGCGGAAAAAATTACGCCAATAATGATGGACGTGTAGGGCGTGGCACCGACGACTGCGTTCCAGTGGCGGGTTTGGTTGAATTCATATGGCAAAGTTGGAATAGCGCTACATTTTCATTAGCAAGGCATATAGATATGGGTGGATGACGCACAGATAGATGATAGCATAGCAAAAGGCAGCGTAAAGGTTGATAATAAAGGCGATGGGATCTACCAGCATCTCAAAGGGTACGATGAAGTACTTGCGAAACAGCTCTTTGAACGATGTTCCCGCCTCCTGGCTTTTGGAGTGGATTGCCCAATTCTTGGTTTCGAATCGAATGTGGTTGGCTTTACTTGCAAGAAGAACGGGAGGGTAGCTTTCGTCTACCCATACGATACTGGCAGAGATAGCGACGGCCAGAATGATACCGGTGACCTGGCGGCATGCGTATAAGCCAGCAATCTATAATGCTCCTTCGCAAGCGGACTCACGTATTCAGTCCACCTCCAACCAACGGTCGGCATACTTATCACTAAAGCTCCTCCGACAATGGGGGCAATCAGTGGTCCAATAATGACCGACAAACCCCACATAAGAAGCGCAGGGCCCCTGTGTGTCGGCGGCCATATGTCTGCTATCACGCCGCCAACGTTGCAAAGCGGAGCTGATCCAAACACGCCGCCGAAGAAACGAGTGATGAAAAGTGTTTGTATGTCTTTAGCAGTTGCGGATGCGAACGAAAAGAGGGCAAGGCCGAAGAGAGGGATCAAAACAGAGGGCTTGCGACCGTAGGCCTCGGACATTGGTGCCCAGAGGAAAGGACCAAACGCATTGCTAAATCGTGCATAAGCTTCGAACATTGGACTAGGTACAACAGGCTTTGAACATACCCGAAAAGGTAGAGTGACATTCCCAAAAGTGCGACCTCGGAGCTCACATGGAAATGCATCTCTATCTCCACGATTCCAGAGTTGTAGCTGTTGCACGGATTAGCGATATTTGAAAGTCTCGGAGTTCGAGGAGACGCACGCGGTGCTTGCCCACGTCGCGCCCATGGTACAGAAGCTGTAGAGCATGGTGACCCTCACTTTCTTCCTGAAGGGCCAATTGAGCGCATTGTAAGGATCCTCCGGGCCGGCAAAATCGATGAGATTGGGGTCTTCAACAGTTTTCTCGGTACCTTCCATGGCCTCCAACTGTGATGGAGAGGTTGAGGGCGGTGGGGAAGGTTCGAGCTTTTCTTCAGTGATCATGGTTGGTGCGGTGGAGCTCGAGATTGTCGAATGCGGCTTTTAAGTGCGCCAAGACGGTCGTCGGCAAGAAGAGATGTTTAAGGGAAGTGTTTCTGATACGAATAGACAAAAAGGGATTGATTCTTAGAGGTGCTTTTGATCAGGTCGTGAAAGTGCGTCTGCATTGTGATTGGCCAGGAAAGAGCGAAGACGCTAGCCATCTTGGGGTTCGGCTGAGGAATCGTCGTCTATGTTTACTAACATAGCGTCTTCTGTCTGGGGTTCTTAGTGGTTCGAAAACGAGCCAAACAGCGAAACAGCGAGCGCGGATGATGGTTCCCGTAATCTCCAGACAAGCTGTCCGGCTTCAGGAGCCGTTCTGCCTTTCGATCCACACTTTTACTACCACCAATTTAGAGCTCCCATCACATCCGTGTCTTTGTACGGTATATTTTGTTGGTCGAGGCCTTCTTGAAAGTTCTGCACCCAATCATCAAGCTGTTCCCAGTTCATCTCCTTGTACAAATCTTCAACCGAACCGAAGAATGGGTCGCCTATCGGACCATCTTCTAGCTGGATTGACTGTGGAAGATCTTCAGGTGTCGAGTTGCTGGCCTCATGTCCTGTGCTGAGTGCTGACGGCGTATTAGTCGACACTGAATATGCTCGCGATTCTAGTGCTTGTCTTCTGATATCCCGGGCACGCTCACGGAGTCGCAACAAAGGCTGCCACAAGGCCTTGACGGTATTGCTGAGCTGCCCAAAATCCTCTGGATTCCGTGAGATCAGATCTTCATGCCAGTCGGCGAATGCAACATCGAGGACTTCCCAAGCGCGGTCCACGGCAGGTCCTTTGGTGTGCTTACACATTTGGATCAAAAGGTAGGCCGCGGCATGCCATTGCGTAAATTTGCAACGAAAGAACCAGCCGTGTTGTCGGTATTTGCATGGCAACTGATGCGCCATCTCCAGTACATCCGAGTTCCATAAGATTAGCGGCTCCTGAAGGCTTTCGTCATCCGATCTGCGGTCTGTAGCATCATGTATCATCTTCCAGAGTCTGGCCATTATAAGCCGAGTTCCGAGATAGTAGAGACGGTGGAGCTCCAAATGCCCATCGTAGTACTTGAGATACGTGTCTTCGTATCTTTGCAGCTGATCTCGTATTAATTTCTCTTTCTCCTCTGTGCTCATCGTCGAGCGAATGAACTGTAGCTTAGTCCGCGTCATCTCAATCTTAACGAGGCTCACCGTATTTTCCGTGAAGTGATTACGTGAACTAAGGGACTTCTCGTTGGCTGAAATGAGGTCCGAGTCGTTGATATTCATAGGAAGCTCGGTGTCCATAGTGAAGGGCACATGAGACTGCAGGCCGCAATTCTCTGAGACTCGAACATCTGTTTGACACAGTATCCACCAGATACGGCGACGGACTTCAGTCTCAATCGCGCTCAGAGAGAATGACGAGCTATCCGAGTGCATGCCCATCGCTTGGGCGAGACTGAGAGCAATTCCATTCAATATCCATGTGGAACGCGAGTTCGCAGAAGCGAAGACCTGAGAGCGTCAGAAACAGACACTAATCGCCAGCCCCCATGCCGGAGCAGCAGTGATGGGATGAGAGCACGCCATAGCGTTTCACGGAGAGTCAATCACGAGAAGGCTCTAAGGCGCCGTCTATGGGTATCAATTTCCTGGGGGAAACCGACGTGGGGATAGCTTACCAGGTAGAGCGTGAGGCTTTGGAGAACAAGGATATCTTGAGTAGTCATCCACCCTGCTTCCGCAAGGGATTCTTCAAGCGCGCATCTGTATTTACGAATAAGAGCTCCTCTTTTTTCTCCATGTAGTTTCCAGCACTCTTCAGCGGACATAGAAGTAGCGGTGGCAAGCCTGTTCAAATAGTCAGCACCTCGATTGCAGATATCAAACGTAACTCCCTAGGTCCATGGCACCGTTTAATAATGGCACGTACCAAATAGAGAAGAGGAGAGGTGCTTCAGTGGCAGAATGGACGGAAGGCAGGTCTTTCGAAGCCCGCATGACTAGGGAGTGCACCGCGGGCTTATACAGCACTTTCACCATGACATCCACGTTGAGGCAGTAGTAGTCCCAAATTACATGCATGATCTCAGCGGGTGGATGGCACGTGTGCAGATCTCGCTTTCCGTGTAATGTAGTCAATAGTGATGTCGCATTCAGATTGTCGCTCCGATTCAGCGATGCCGGCTCCACGATTTCGTGTTGGTTTTCACATGGTTCAATTGAAAGGACTGTCTCGAGATAGGCTACTTGCTTGACCTTCTCACCGTTGATATAACGAGACTTGCCTTGCGGACCGACAAACAATCTGCCACGATCCGAATTGGTGGTATCGTTTTTGACCCTGAACGTCGCATCGTTCAGCTCCCGAGGGATAACGGCGTCGTCGCACTCGTCATCGCTCTGCTCACAAGCCGCTAGAAAGCGTTCAGAGAGCCGATCAGTACCTAAAAGCTCGGCTCGAAATTCGTTGGTGTCCTGAGATACTGGCGGAGAAGTTGAAGCTGGTAGTAACGGCCTTTTGGTTGTCGGTTGATCTTGTACAATTTTTCGAGGCTTCCGGGGACGGCGTGATGAGTAGACACACTGTGTTCCATGACTGGCACAATTGGCACATCCAAAGAGAATCTTGTCGCACTTCACACGGCGTGACCTACAGCGTAGACAAGCGTACTGGTGAAAATCAGGCGCAGGTGGCGGCTGAGGCTGAGGCTGGGGTGCTGTGAGAGCCGGTCGTGACATTCCGATGGCTCCAGGATTACATGTTATTGCGCGGGGGTCTTTGGAAGTCTCGGAACAAATGCATCTATGATGAGGGAGTGCATTGAACGGGTCACGCCTTTGAGTTGCGGTGGACAAGGCTCTTAGGCTGAGCGCTAATGACTAATCGTATATTGACCAATGAGAGCGGAGCAAGGACTACTTCGTACCTACACTTCCGTGACTCCTTCCTAACGCCAAAGGTGCATAAGATGCTCACTCTAGGATAGCGATGCCCCAGAGATATTGAGTACGATAGTTTTCTGACGCCCTTTTAATTCCTTTCAATAGTCTCCGTCAAATTTGGCCCAATGGACGGAGGTATGCATCAAACGCCAAATCCGCTAATGTTTTCGTACTTAGTCCTCTCCTTCCCCTTTGCCGCCTCTTCTGCCGGGCCAATCGCCATATTGAGCGACCTGGGAATGCGCCAAAATGCCACCTCAACACCATTGCTCGCAAAGTAGTTGATCTCCGCAAGTAGCATCTTCCACAGATCAACATTTTCGACTGGGTTATCGGCCTCAGTCTTCCATCCTCCTTGAGCCCAGTCGTCGATTCTCTTAGTGGCACCAAGTACAACGTATTCCGAGTCAGTAGCAATGACTATCTTGTGCCAACCCTCTCCATGCCACTGACGATACCCAAGGGTTCCAAGGACAGCGCGAAGCTCGGCACGGTTCTTGGTCTGTGGATGCTCTTCGCCGGTAGGGCCCTTATTTTCGAGCCGGAATTGGCAGCTGGTTCTTGGGTATGGAGGGGGTTTGAAAACGAAGGCACAACCGGCAGTGAGTTTGGCCGAGGCGGCTGCATCGCTCTGATCAGGACATGAGCCATCCGCGTAGATGAGTATCTCCCGGGGATCGGTGACGAAGCGACGCACATGACGATGCGCACGGGTATGGCAATACAGGACCGTGTGCTCTAAAGCGTGGTGCGTGAATAGGCTCCTTGGAGTGTCATCTGCGGAAGGAGGTTGGAAGATTTTAGCCTTCGTCAAAGGGATATCGGATAATGGTGGAGCTAATAGGGCGACGTTCAACCCTATTCCGGCGTAGAGATCAGGGTCGTATCCGAGAATCAGTGGGTGCTCAGTCGGCTCGACGCCGTCACAGCACTCATCCAATGTGTGCATGTTCATATTCAGCGCTTGATGTGAGTCTATGCTCGAAGGATGATTTAGATGCAGCATGCTGTGAGAGGCACGAACTGCTGATATATCAAGAACTTGTGGTTTGGTTTGCAGCTATGCGTTTGGCGCAATCAATTGCTCGAGCCAATCGAACGGAGACGTAACCTCTTCTGACGCCGTATAAAAGAAAGGTTGTCACGTAACAGGAAAGAGTAAAGACTGTACGTGTTGTATTTCATGATGAGGATGAGGATGTAGAGAAGAAGGAGAGGTCTGGCGGAAGGTGAGATATACAAGGTGTCATGCGCCTGCCGTAGCCTTGCCGCTCCTCCCTGGCAAAGGCACCACGCCGGTGGGTGTGCAAGGAAGAGAACGGTTTGTGAGAAGCAATTCGTTAGCAGATTCCTCTTCGAAGCCCTCATTTTTGATTGCCCACGCGCACGAGACCCGGTAGTTTTCCAGTCCAGTGGACAGTGATCAAACGTTACACAAGCCTTGACGCAAGTGCCAAAGTGACGAAAAACATGCAAACATCCCATATCCAGGCAGAGCTTTCTTTTCATGTACATAGATCAACGTAGTTGCATCAGATGCGGACGTGCTGTCCAGATTCTTTTCTCTTAGGCTACCACAACTCCATGATGTGGACGCGATGGCTCGATTGAGCAGCTCGCAGGCTTCGTGCAAGCGCTTAAGATATAATAGAATCTAGAGCAGTCGGCTATCGGACTTCAGTTGCTTGCTGTATCATTGGTGCAAAATTGTGCTCGAAGGTTTTGACATTGCGCCTTTGAGAGATTTAGATCTCTACGAGAAAGGAGAGAAGGCGGTATTGAGGCAAGTGGTTCGCTCGTAGTAAGACTTCGAATCTGGTTCTTGCTATACTGATTGTCTAGAGGGCGTCGTCGAGGGGTGAGGCTACTCGCTTTGAGTGGGTGCATTACAGGCTCACAGGTATGCGAGCGTTTTCGCCCCTTCTCTGACTCCAGGAAAGATTTATGGCGTAGAGTATTGAAGAGACTGATATGCGGATCCGTTTAGCAAAAGTTTCTATAGGGTCCCCCATGCACATATACTAGCCTATAGCAGAGTCTCCTCTGCGTCCTCAAAGGCTTCATTATCTAAGTCGTCAACTCCCGGAATTCCAGTTACTTCTAAAGCTTCAAGGAACTTTGCATGCAACTCCGGGCCCAAGGCGCTGCTGAGTTCGTATGCGTCTCTTGCACTTCCGTGAAATGGCAGACCCATTTGACAAAGTATCAGCCCCACTCCTTTAACGGAAGAGTCTGCGCCCTTGCCTAAGAAATATCTAATTTTGCGACAAGCACCGTTCCTGGGGCGATGAGAATGCGAGGTGATGCTGTAGTGAAGAGGTGACCAGCCGTACTTGTCTTGCCTATTGACTTCTCGCACGTCGTATCTTTCGTAAACCTCTCGTAGCACATCAACGTCGTCGGCGAGCTCAGCTGCGAAGTGAAGAAGAGTCCTTCCATCCGGGAGGACCCTCGCCATCTGAACACCAGCTTGGAAAAGCACCTTCGTCCTCATGGCTCCCTAGTGCATTGCAAAGGGCCGACATTCCTCTCTCATCGGCGGAATCAAAGTCGACATACGACTTTGACATCAAAATTCGGAAAAAGTCCGCGGTGTTGCTGACACGGTAGTGGGAACGGACAATGTACAGCATCGTCAGCATCTTACCCTCGACCACCTCATGAACGGAAGCAGAGTGTTGGACGAGTGCTCGGATGATATCGACGAAATTCGTAAGGGGAGGATGCTGAGGAAGGTTTCGATTTTTTCGCTCTGTGGGGCCTTTGTAACCAAGAGCGGCGAAGACGGGAAGGCTATGAACATAATTAACGAGCGCTCAGAAGAAGGGCAAGGCACGTACATCCGCGCACCGCCACCCATGTTAGGATTGGCGCCGGCGTTGAGCAGGAGTGTTACAACCTCTACACTTTCAGACTCAATAGCAAGCTAATGCAGTGTTACTAGTCAGTCTTCACGCTTTCAGGTTGCAGCGAAGATTTTCCATCTATACCGGCTAGAGATTCTCGAAGAACATGGCGTAGTAGTACCTAGTTTGATACGCTTAGATGCAGTTGGCTGATGCTCTGGGGATGCCACATCTTGAGAATAGAATGATCCTTCGGTGCGGTCACATGCCGTTTGTATGAGACGTCGATTCAACTCAACATTATTCGCGATTTGGCGAACCAGCACGTGATTGACAGAAGTGTTACGATTGTTGCAGAATCAGCACGGCAAGGCATGGTAGAGGCTTGCCGAGGAGCTTTTCTTACCATGTAATAAGCTGAATAGTAGTGGACAGGGTACCTTCGGCATCTCGAAGCCGCCCGAGGATCTTTACCGCCGTTCGGCTCTCTCTCAATATCCATTTGAACCGACTCATGATATCCATATCGCTCGTAGTCTGGGTGATACAGCATTTCCGTTGGAGTTCAATGATGGTCTCATATACTGTCCGGACTGCGTCCCTTGAAAGGAGGCGCAAATACGATAGCAAGAGTTCGTCATCGCCGTTCTGTTAAAGTGTGTCCTGAAGTGAGACTAGGAGCTCTGGGAGAATGCTGACTCGATGCTTTATCCGATTGTATTCGACTGGAGCGTCCCGTATGTCGTTACAAAACTCTGTGATCAACGTAACGGTCTTGAAAGTGTAAACAAGAAACTGGGACACGGATGCAAGTCCTCCCGTTACTATGAGTAGTTCAGTCATTTCTTGAAGACAACCTAGGAGAGGTATTGAGATAAAGAGATAGCGGGTGAAATGCAGAAGTCGTGCGCGGGGGCTAAGTTTGGCTTAATTTCTACCTAACTGCTGAGGTTCGCACTAGGCTACAAGGCTGAGAGTTCGATCTCATGCTGAAAGTAGAGCCAATCGAAGTGTAGGGCTGAAATCAAACCCTTCATATCCTGGAATGGGATACGTGGCCTTGCGTCAGTGAAAATCAAGTCTAAGTATTTATTGTTCATCGAGCCGTTTGAGAACATCGCAAGTCAAGGATTGTGGTAACAGATAGCACACTAAGGCGAACTTGACCGAGGATGAACGAACGTTAGTAGCATCCACGACATACCTGGTAGGGTCCTCAATACTAACTAGACTCCATACAGCTCCAAAAACCTTCAATGAGACAGTAGCAAGGGTGGTTCGTGCACTCCTATTTCGCAGGAAAGTCTCTCCGCCATCCAAACCAACATCCGCCCGTCCTAACCTTATGTGGATTTGTGTAAGTAAAAGCTGGCGGCGAGTATAACAAGTATAGTAATGTTAGTGCAGTGCCAATGTGGGGAAGGACCTTATTCAATCATCGTGCCTCTTTTGTGGACATCAAGTTTGCAGCGGCTGTCGTTTAGCTTCAAACACTCTTTCAGGTTGAGAAATATGCGGTACAAATCGGCGGATCTAGCAGCAGTTGTTTGGTTGGAAATTGCTTTACAGTGGCGAGTATCTTAGATGGTTAATCTGGAAACTGAGATGGGCTTTAAGTTGGGTTTTGAGATAGTCTTGAATAGGGTCAACATAATCGGATCCCTTCGATTTGGGGAAGAATTATCGGACAGACCTAACTCGCTACTATGCAATGACGAGGGATGAGGGGCTTTTAATTGGAGACAATTGATTTTTACTCCGAGAATCTAATCAGCAGAGTGAAGACGTGATAGAGGGAAAGTTACAGATAGAGTTAGGTGCTATCATGACAAAATCCCTACCATCTAAACTTTTCAGACACCGCCACCGTACCGAACTCCCCGAGCAAAGCGCAAACGCAATTTGAAAACGCCGGAACGCCTTGCAACCCTATCATTACCATGCAGTCTCATATATCGCTCCACCGTGGACTCACGCAGAGCCCCCCTCCCCACTTCACCACACCTAGTACAGCACCAATATGCACCGCCGCCAGCACCACACTACTCCAGTAACCCGCCCCGGCCTCATCGATACCGATCCCAAAGTCCAGCAGCGCCAGACAAAGGAGTGGCCAGGCGACCTTCGGGTTCGGCGCGAGCGGGAAGCACGGACTGCTGAGACTGACTAGTTTGCTCACGAACAGCATTATCTTGAGGAGCGAGAGGAGACTCGGGTGCGAGAGAGCGTGGTGTAGGCGGTCCGAGAGAGTGCGGGGTGGCGGAGGTGGCAGCATGAGGCGAGGAGACGTGGGTCGGGAGAGGGAGCGAGGCCGGGGAAGAGCTACGACATCTGGTATCGATTTCCGCGGGCGCAACATGACCGAGGATTCGGGGGGTGTGGTGTTCGGAGATGACGACAATGTGGTGTGGCTAACGGGGCTGGGTGAACGAGAAGGCCCAAGAGAGGCGGAGAGCTTTGATGCACCCGGGCGCACGAAAGTCGCTTTCGAGGTTTTCCGTGCGTGCTTCGTTGGAGCTGGTGAAGGTGTATCGGCGAGTGATATGCGGGAGCCAAGCTCTTCCAGGCCAGAAGGTGCAGCATATCCGCCTATCTCGTCAAATTTGGAAGGGGATTTGAAGACTTGGAGGATCTCTTCTGTGCCAGGGCGCTCGGCTGGATCGAGGGAAAGAAGCCGTCGGAGAGGGCGGTATAGAATGTCTGGGAGATCGGGTCTAGCTCGGTGTTCGTCGTTGAAGCCGGCCCAGCCCGTAATCTCTTCTCGAAGTAGTTCGAGATCCTCGTTGTCTTCGTCAATGCCGTCTGCGTTAACGTACGGCAGGCGACCAAAACACATGAAGTAGACGATCATCCCAAGGGAAAAGATGTCGGATTTAGTGGAGAAGTTTCCCAAAGGCCCATTAGGGGTCTGGCGCCGGAGGACTTCAGGAGCGCAGTACGATATGGTGCCCGTCGCTCCAGTAGACTTGCGTGTAGCGTTGACAACCTGAACTTCTCCGAAGTCGCTTACCAAGACGGTTAGGCGTTTGCCATCGTCATGGAGAAGACAGTTGCTGGGTTTCAGGTCCCGATGGATGTAGCCGTGCGCGTGCAAGTGATTGAGACCGGAGGTAATGTCTTTGAAGAAGGATAAAATCTCTTCGAAGTGCATTCGCCGTGGTCCGCCCAATTCGTTTGGTACATCTAGTTGACCTTTTGATCGGCGACGCAGCCGTGCCTTCAGTTCCTGAGGAGTCATTGCATTTCTACCCATCGAGCCGCCCAATACGTAATGGTGTAGGTCGCCGGAGTTGCAATATTGCTGCAGGATGAAGGCGCATGGGACGCTAGGTCCGAAGGTTGAGATTTGGTAATCCTCGAGCCAGACGTGGCGGTACGACACCTGGTTAATGTTAGTTTCATATCGATTTCCCACCGCAAGGGCCTCCTAGAGCTACAGGCCAGCTCAAGGGCCTGAACATACCAAGTTCTGATGTTGAAGATTCTGCAGCAACTGCACTTCAATCAAGACTTTTTCCAACCACTCATGATCATCCCCAACCGGCACCCTCTTACACGCAAACTGCCCCAACGGCACCCCATCCAGCACATGCCTCACCAACAGTACGACTCCCTTCCCACCCCTCCCAAGCTCCCTGTCTTCGACGAAGAAATCTTTGAAATAGTTTGGACTGAATGCCTTGGCCGAGATACCCCCTTCCCGCGATGGCATGGCAGGCGAGCTCTCCACAAATTCTGTTCCTGGCGGCGCAGGCATCTCTGCCGCTGCACTGGCGCTCCCACTGCTCTCTCGGCCGGGCAAAGGTATCTGGCGCAAGCGCTTGGTGGGCGACGAAGGGCGCGAGGGCTCGGTGGACCCGGGCTGGCTGCGGCGCAGCATGCCAAAGTACGCTGGGTTCACGAAGCCATGCTCAGTCTCGAGATTCGAAGGAGGCACATGGTCATGAATATCGGGATCGTGGGCAGAGGGATCGCGCAGCGGGCGGTGACAGTAGGGACATGATGTCGGCTCGACGGAGGTGGAGGAGGCAGCGCGGAGGGAGAGCTGTTTGGAGTGCTGGTCAAAGACGACGACGGCGGACCCGTGGCGACTGCATGCTGTTAGTGTTCGAAGCTCCTAGAGATGGCAATGCTCACAGGACGACTTCGCGCGACTCGGCGGGGACGTATGGGACGAGCGACATGCTGCGCTGACGGTCTTCGGCCACTGCTAGATGGCGTCGAGCGGGCGGTGGTGGCGGATGAGGAGGCTGGATGGCAGCGGACTCCTCATTGCAGAACGGGCGGACAGGATGAGCATGTCGTGTTGTACAGCTCCGGGTTGTTGTATTGTGGTCGACGCAGGCGGGGAGAGAGCTAGCTGTGGAAGAGGCAGGGTCTAGGTCACGAGATGCCTGCATGTAGAATGCTATATTTCACCTCCTATGTAGGATACTGCTCGTAGATACTCGACATGTCTATAATAGGGGACGGCACTTTATACATCCTACGTTAGTGCAATTCGCAGACAGTCGTAGAATGAAGCTGACATCACGTCAGCCATGAAGCTTGCCACCCCCCGCAGTACCTATAGCTTCAATACTAATTTCAAACTGGAGCAGGCATGATCAGACTACTAGTATGTCTTCTATTCAGTGCAGTTGATATCATTCTCATCCAATCGTCGACACCGTAGCAGCCATCTCCCAATCCCAGGGTAATCCAAGCCCCCCATCCTCAGCCAAACCGTCCCAATCCACCTAACACCTATTTTGAACCTCTCATAAAGCTGCTCGCTGCCGCTGGTTCCAAAAGCACTCTCCCGCCCACAGCTAGACGAAACACATCGACTCTGCACCTATAACAAGCTCTTGATCAGCTGTCCTCCCTCGAACCCATCCCCAGCTTCAAGCTTCTGCCATCCCTGCACGGAGCCGACCTCAACACACAGCAACTGCTGGAAGCCGTCCTTTGGCTCAAAGTCGCTCAAAGCGGCTGCCTTTTCCTTCCACGGATTCCACACGACGGTATCATCCACGTTGTCCCTTACGACGTCGAATCGCGGCTTCCCGTCCTCGAGCACCGTCGTGGTATCTTGTGGGATGGACGCGTAGACGCGATCGACCTCGCCAGTGATGGAAAGTGTGGGACTTGATTGGGTATGCGTAGTCGCATCGAGGACTTTGTCGACGTAGGGCACGCCTGCGAGGCCAGTGACGGTGGTCTTGGAGATGTCCTAGAAGTACATAATTAGCATCGTGTCGTAACTCCGACGCGTTCACATCGTTATATGAAGCAGAGCGTGGTCTTACCTTGACCCTTAAGTACGTATGAAGCAGCAGCTGGAACTCAAACACCTTTGTTCCCTCATTCCGCACATTCACGACCGTCTGCAGTCCCTCCTTGCTCAACGTGACGCTGTAGACGAGGCCAAAATCATACGGCCAGGCCTTCTTCGCCTCATCGCTGAGGTTCGAGCTGTAGAGGCCAAAGTCTAGCTTCACGGACGAGGCGTCGAGCGCATCTTCAGACGACGACTTGCCCAGGAACTCCCATCGCGAGGTGCGCGCGAAGCCGTGCTGCGGGAGCGCTGAGGTGGCGTGGTCTTTCGGAGGAGGTCCGAATACCTAAGATTTCAGAGATATATGTTAGCATTGACACTGCTATGAACGCGGTATACATGTCCCTGGAACTCATGCTTCGCGTGGTCATACGTACCGGAAACACAACCGGTATGCCTCCCCTCACAGCCTTGGTGCCGTCCAGCTTCGCCGCATCGCTCACCCACAGGTTCTCGACCTTGCCGCCGTCGCTCTTCCATGAAATGACAGTCGCGCCGTAGAGCAGGACCTCAACACTCTCGCCAGAGGGCAGCCGCGCCGTGACCTTCGAGCTGGCGCCGGTGCCGCTGATGTCCACTTCGGGGGATGGCGCAGCGGCTGAGGGCGCATTGAGAGCAGACGGACGGTTCGAACGGTTGGCCATTGTGCGGAGCGGTGATGGGAGTGGTGGATGTAGGGGTTGGTGGAGGGTTGTTGGGTTTAGGTGTGGTGGAGAGAGCTGATGAGGCGGGGTGAAGGTCGTGATGCGTCTGACTCGCGGTTCGCCGTGATCAGCAGCGCGTTTGCAGTAGCTCAATTGCGATCAATCACACTGCTAGTTCGGGTATCAAGCTAAATTGTCTTTCTCAAGGTTGTAGAGGGCGGAGAGGTAGTAGAGGGGCACAGCAAAGAGACCCGGGGGCCAAAGAGCTGACATCAACCCCACCATACCACGACGGCGACCTTCACCAACCTTCCACCAACCGGCAGCGAGCCAACTGCACACCATCGTCCCAAGGCACACCAGCTGAAACGCACATGAGTTTCAGATCCCCGCGTGTACACTGCCACACGCCATAATTGGCTGTCTGGTGCTCTTGACAGCCTCGCCATACGCCGTGAGCATCGATTGCACGACCCCAGGCTTCAACTTGTCCACATGACGTCTTGTGTAACAGGAGATCTGTGCTTGAGGTTGTTATCAGGAAGTTTGAGATTGCCTGGTTTCCTCTTTGCGGCAGCCGCTTCGAAGCAGCATCGTCGTACCATGAAGGGAGCCATACGGGGAGACAGCTTCTTGTTTGTTTCATCACTTCTTGCTGCATTCTCTCCATTTTTCTTGCAAGTCTTCAAAGCTCTCTATGCTAAGCTCCCTTCACACTTCATGTTTTCCCGAGTGTCAATCAAAAGGCGTAACTGCACGTCCTAACATCCGTAATTCAGATGCGACCGAACCATGGTTCAAAGCCATTGAAGGTAGGAGGAGAGTGGAAGGTTACGAGAGTGACTCTTCTGATGCACGATAATGTCAGGAGGAGTGATGCTCAGGTGCGAGAAGAGAGAGTGGGGGGTGAAGGGCTGCTGGGGTGGGGAAGGTGATGGACTCTACAGGCGAGAATTTCGAGTCAAGTTGACAAGGCTATAACTTATTTGAGCACCTGAGCAAGTATATTGGATACTAGATGATACGCTTAAATGATTGAGATGTGTGAATCTATCTCCATCTCCTGATTCTAGTTTTCAGCCGATCAGCACTTTCGCTTTTATCTTCTCCCGTAACGAAACCTCTAAAGCTTCGCTTTTTGAGTGTCCAAATCAGGCAGCTCGGTCATAATCAAAGCGTCTAGCTCCCTAGTATTCACCATATGCGGACGTAGCTGGCTGAGATCCGTAACGCCTAGTAGGCGCATAGTCGTTTCCAGCTCATCGCTTATCACTATTATCTGTTAGTTAGCGTAAAGACCAATACGCAAGAAGCCCTTACTTTGAATAGCTTTCAACACGCCTTCTGTTCCATATGCGCTCAGCGCATACATGAACGGCCGACCAAACCCAACAGCTTTAGCACCCAAGCACAATGCCTTCAGGACATCGCTTCCTCTTCTGCATCCGCCATCGACGAAGACTTGACACCGATCAAAGACCTCGGGGCAAAACTTGCGTATCTCCAGCAGTGTTCGCAACGAACTCGACACCGAGTCAAGCTGGCGCCCGCCATGGTTGCTGAGATAGATGTTCTCAAAACCGAGATCGGATGCCATCTTTGCGTCTTCAGCAGTAGCAATACCCTTCAGACAGATCGGCCCCACATCGCCCCATTCCTCCTTCATCCACGCCAAGTCATTCCAATCCAGAGTCGAAGAGAACGGGCCACGAAGAACAAAGTCTTCTCCAAGAGCAACATTATCTCCCAAGCGCGCAAATGTAGCCTCGCCAGCAGCAAGAGCTTCTTCAGCCTTATGTCTATCGTCTTCCTCGCGTTTACCAACCACTGGTGTATCGACTGTAATCAGAAGTGCCTTAAAGCCCAAGGCACGCGCGCGGCGGATTAAAGCTCTAGTCTCCGACTCCTTTTTCTTCACATACAGCTGGAACCAGAGACAACCACCCGCTGCTTGCTCTTGCATGCATGCCGCGAGGTCTTCAGCGGAGACAGACGATGCGGTGCTGACGCCGTAGGGGATGTTGAAGCGAGATGCGCCGCGTGCAAGGCAGATTTCGCCGTCTGGATGCCCGAGTCGAGCGAGAGCGGCGGGTGCGATGAAGAAGGGGAGGTTGCTTTGGTGGCCAAGGAGGTTGCATTTCATGCTGACAGCCTTTACGTTGCGGAGCACGCGTGGTCGAAAGGTGATACGGCTCCAATCCGAGAGATTGCCGTGGTGGGAGAGGAGGTCGTCGGAGGCAGAGGAGTAGTATGACCAGCCACGTTTGGTCAGGACTTTCTTTGCGGCGCTCTCGAGGTCGTGGAGGTTGAGACATAGTGCGATTGGTGTTGTGCCTTGTGATGGTTTGGCTTTTTGGGTCGAATCGGTTTGGGGAGCGGACGGGGAAGTTATGGTTGCTGGGTCGATTCTACCCAGATGTTTCTCTAGGGATATTTAGATGAGTTCTCTAGGATGCGTAAGTATATCGAACCTTTGGGAAGCTCGCTCTCAATAGTGCCTGGGGGATGCACAGGCAAATACTCTTCGGTGGCATCCTATAACTAGTGAGCGTAAGGTCGCATCACGAGAGGGAGGGAATCATGCACCTTTCCGCCATACCGCAGTATTATCGAAGCACCGCCCGGATGCTCGTCCAGGAAGTCTGTAACATCATATACTTGTCCCTCAATAACGACCCAGCACGACTCGCGAGTATTATGTTTCGCGACATCCGAAGCATTCAACATTGCACCTCGAAAGACTCAAAGTTCCACTCGCATGGATGAATGGGCAGGTAGCAAGCACGTGTTTAGTCTACTATGTATGCGGATCATGCGGCAGTGCCTGGCCGCGGAAGTCTGGAAGGAATGTCTGGGCACAGCGGGTGTCGGCAGCACGGGAGAATGGACTGGGGTAGGGCTGAACCTCTCCGCGGGTATGGTGCCGGTCTGGATGTTTCTTTCAGTTCTTGGGCGTTGGAACAGCAAGAATTGGGCTGTTCAAAGGCGAATTACCTCACCTGAGGGCTACGGAATTGCTCGGTTCTGCAGCCGGAACTCAGAACGGTGCAAGTGGCGAGCGAAGGAGGGGCTGCAGGACGTCAACCGAAACTCCGCTAAATAACATAAAAGATGGCATTGGAGAGATAGTAGAGAAAGCAAATGACAAGTCAATTCGCAATACCTTCACATTCCATACCTTTTTTCAAAAACATACAGCCTTCATCAGCCTTCATCATGCCTAGCGCTACCTACTTCACCATCAAGCCTATGCACCCAACCTTTGCATGCGAGGTTGAGGGCCTAGATCTATCCAAGCCACTCTCTGACGATGCGTTTGCTGAGCTACGAGATACGCTTCACAAATACGGCGTGGTAGTCATACGGGGCGCAAACTTCCCCAGTGACAAGGAGCACATCGAGTTCTCCGCCCGTTTCGGCGAAGTCGAAAAGAGCAAATACCGCAACCCACATATGAGGTCTCTGCCATATCCGGAAATCTTTGATATCTCGAACCTGGACGAGAAGAACCAGGTGGTGACCAATAGCAACGAAAAGCGAACTACTGCAATCCGAGGCAACGCTCTCTGGCATGCCGACGGCTCGTTCAACCCTCGCCGGACGTATGTCTCGTGTCTTAATGCAATCGAGCTTCCACCACCAAACACAGGAGGTCATACCGAGTATGCAGATGCTCGCCAGGCTTACGAGGATCTCCCCGAGGAGACAAAGGAGAAGATCAAGGACTTAGTTGGTGTCCATTCGTTCCTCCACAACCGCAAGACCGCCAACCCCGACTCTCCCCTTTTCAAAGACCTAAACGTCCTGGACGAGCCTCTCGCTCGACACAAGCTCGTCCCCATTCACGAGCCTACCGGTCGCCCGGTCTTGTATGCCACCGCCTACACCCACCACATCGAAGGCATGCCCATCGATGAAGGTCAAAAGCTCATCCAAGAGCTCATCGCGCACGCCACACAACCGAAATACGTCTTCAAGCACCACTGGGCCAACAACGGCGACGTCGCCATCTGGGACAACACCGCTGTGTTGCATCGTGCCACGGCCGGCGGGGCGTACGAGGGCAAGTACAGGCGAGATATGCGGAGGACATGTGTTATGGACTCAGGTAAAGACGCCTTTGGTTTGAACAATCCTGAAGACGCAAAAGGCCAGAGAAACTCAAGCTAAACTCAGGTCGCGCGAGCGTGACGAGCGACCAATGGGTTTGGGAGCCGTATGATTACGATGCGGAGGAGGAAGAGGACGATGATTACGACTATGAAGAAGAAGACAGCGAGGGGGAATACGAGTACAAAGACGAAGACGAAGGTGTCATTTATGAAGGATTTGTGGGAAGGGATAAAAATGAAGGCGCGGTCAGTATATTGACGTGGAATCAGCCGATCAGCCCGATGATGCATTTCGGGATGCCTTTCAGGGGTTTGAATGGATTTGATCAAGCATTCTTTGGTCTATTGGATTGACTCTTGTATTTATATCACAATCAAACTCGTTATTCTGTCATCTTTGCATATTCAAATTCCTTCCAGATGCTTCTTTTTGAATGACGGTATTTCGCAAGACCTCTGAACGCTTTCTTCTGAAAGTGAGAGTAAGAAAGGCTGCGATAACATCAGGGACGGTGAATTGAACGGAAAGTGTCGGGTCCGTGTCTCTATTATGTGCACTAAACATGTCTGACGCTAGGCGAATGAGTTAAAGGGCGCGAGTCGCGAGTGCTTTGTAGTTGGTCTTCCGGGACAGAGTCTCCTTCGAGTGAACTGTGGAGCGTGAGGGCATATAGTTCATTTTATTCTGCCCAACTAGCAATAATTCTGAGAGTAGTACAGTGTGACGATACTGGAATGACTCAAAACAAATTCCCATAAAGTCCTTCACTTGTGGGTGGCAGTCCAGGATTAGGAGTACAACTGCTAGTGTGTCCACCTGGAAATAACATTGACCCACCAACCTCCGTGGTTCATCCAAGTGTCCACTCCTAAGAAGCAACACCCACACACAAGCCAAATAACCAAAGCCTGTTGCTTTTTGCGATTTTTCTCTGGGATGGGGGCTTGCATCCATCTGATGTTGTATCAGCTCAATCAGTGAATATAGTAAAACTATTCACCGGTTCAAGACTTTATTGTGATACCTAGAATACAGCGACTATATTTGGAGGACTAGCACATCCATTTGGTACGTTGAGTGGAACACTGGCTAAGAAAAAGGAGTATCGCTTTTGCTTCGCACACTCTTCACTTAGCCGTTCGAGATTGAATATCTCCCCTACGACAATTATTAGCTTCCCGTTTGAGGCTCTCGTACTGAATGTTAATTTACCTATTGGCATACCCCATCCTCCAAGCAGGATCTCGTGCAGATGATACTTCCCTAGGCCCTCCGCATTACTCGGCCAAGGAATCTGCTCGAATCCTCCAGCATCCCCAGCGACCGCGCTGAATCCAGTCTCCCATAACCATCGCACGGTGTCGACGCATGTCTTCACACCTGCCCATTTGGTTGGTGACATATCGCACCAAGCGTTCTTGTCTTCCTCTGAGAGTCTCTCGTAGACAGCCGCCCATCCACATCGGACAAACAAGATATCTCCTTCCTTGAGCTCGGTACCTTGGGCTGCGGCACAGGCCTTCAGCTCCTCTACTGTGATGGCGTGGGTAGAGAGGACTTCGTAAGGTTTCCCCTGCTCTAGTCTCCAAGCATAGTAGTCGAGAAGGATCCCTCGGCCGACGATGCCCTGAGCACACCATGCTATCTTGATCAGCCCGGCACCGTCTAGTGAGGTTCAATTCAGGGGGTAGATCTACCGTCGATTCCAACTGCTCCTTTGGCTTCCGATCCTGATATCTGAGGCTGTGTCTTCCCGTTATACCAAAGCATCTCTTTCTGGTACCCGTAATGCGCAAAGCCATCCCACTGGGAAGAAATCTGGTCTCCATCAGCCGTTGAGTCTTCGATATCAATCTTGGAAAGGGCTCTCACCTGCGTGTTGAAGTTCACTTCATCATCATGCACTGCACGAGGTTGCTTCCAGATAATCTTATGCTCGAACTCTTTCCGATTGTGCGTCGGGTGTGCCAGGTAGTTCACTGGGAAGTCTAATCCAACCCTGACGCCCGTTCTGATTTCTTTTGCGGCTTCTACGACTACCTCTGGGGTAAGGAGATTTAGGGTACCCAGGGTGTCGTTTTTCCCGTACAGTCCCCATGCTGAGAATGGCGGATCGTCCTTGTTGAGAGGCAGGTCCTGGAATCTGGGTCGTGCTGGAGGCATTATAAATTGTCAGATCAGGAGAGAAAATTGGCAATTGAAGATATCTGGACGCGTTATGTGAAGTCGCGACTACGCGTGTGCGGGGTGATAGAGGGGCAATTGGGTCTATATATCTACGGTACGAAGATGCTCCGGGGTAAACTTAGCCAGCTCTAGGTAGGATTTCGTGGTCCTAACCTTTGCATGTATTAGATCCACATATCCGCGCTCGATGCCGTTCTACCCTTTCTCTCAATATCTTGCAAGACAACCCCACAATGTCACACCTCGCCATCCCCGCGTAATCTCACTTGCTCGAGTAAGTGGCGCTTGCCCATTGTTGGGGAGCATATGCGGGGTCTGGAATGTGGCTGGTTAACGATGGCCTCCCCCACACACCATCCCTTACTGTGCCGGAACTGACTGGAACTCGGATTTCGGCCCCAACCGCTTCGCATTATTGGACAAAAAACACTGCACTCGGACGGCTCTCCTCCGCTGGGAAGGTCAAGTTAATCCGCAGGCGCATCGGGACTACGGTAAATGGAGCAGCACGACATAGAAATGTATGTCAAGGCTGTCAGGAACTAAGGACTTGTCGAAAGAGTAGCTGAGGATGATCTAGGCCTTGCGGGACATGTTTATTGATCTCTGACCGCTGTTCCACCCAGCTTACTCACTGTTTGGCTATCTCTCGAAAATCCGCGAAGCCCATCTCCAGCTCATCCATAAGAACAGCAAAAATAGAGATCACGACTTCTGAGGTTTCCCAAAATGGCCACTGATCCCGTGCGTCCTAGCACGCACACGCGAAAAGCGAAGACGCAAACCTCGCCAGATATGCGCGTCCCAAGGCGGAAGTTTGCAAATAAGAGGGCTCCGCTCGCGTGCCAATTTTGTAGAAAGAGAAAAGTGCGGTGCGATGCTGCAGTACATGGCCAGCCGTGCTCGAATTGCAGGCATGATGGGTACACGTGCGAGATGTCGGTCAAGAAGGAGAAGCCGTAAGTTCATCCCATTATCTCGAAAGAAACCACGGCTAATTGGAGACCAAAAGAAGAGCGAATAAACACATAAAGGACTCAGACTCTGAATCCTCCAACGAAGGCTTCGACATCTCCAGTGTCGTTCTTGAACTCGACTGGGCGACTTTCACACTCGAAACGCAGTCTAAAGCTGCAAAGCAGCAAGAAGAGCATGAGAATGCATTGATCCAGAGCCCACATTCCACAAATGGACTGGTCAACAGCCCTAGACTAACAGACCTACGAACATCACGACCAGGGGCCCAAAACGGACTTCCAGCAAGGCAGCTTCACGCCTCCGCGAGCCACTTCTCCTACTGCTCGAGCGAAGTCTCCTCATCAGCAGCCAGCTTCGGCGGTGCAATCGTCATCCCAGAGTCCGACTACGAGCGGGACACCGACTACGGAACCACCTCTTCTGCGTCCACAACATCAATGCCTCCGCCTATGAACCCATCCCATAACTTGACGTCCGACCTTCCACCGTACATCCGCCCGCTCTCCCCAGATCTCGGTCCGGATGAAATCTCCTATCTCCGCAAGAAAGGGGCGCTGACAGTGCCGGAGAAATGGCTAAGGGAGAAGCTGATGCAGTGCTACATGGAATGCGTGCACTGGCACGTGCCCGCCGTCTCCTTGTCGAAGGTCGTAGAGACGATTCAACGAGGCGATGGCATGACGGGGAAGATCAGCTTAATGCTTCTACAAGCCATCATGTTTACGGGTGTGGGATTCGTGCAAGAAGAGCATCTTGAGGCGGCGGGGTTCACAAGTCGGGAGCATGCGCAACGGGTTCTGTTCAACAGGGTCAAGGTAAGTCGATTCATTTACAATATTACAGATACGGATTGCTTACGATGCCCGTGGTAGTTGCTTTACGATCTCGACTGCGAAACCGATCGCATGACGGTCATCCAGTCTCTCCTCCTCATGGCCTTCGGCTGCAGCGGTAGTCTCGAAAAGCACGAGAAAGATACCTGGCACTGGCTTGGCATTTCCACTTCTCTCTGCTACGGCTCGCGCCTGAACCGGTATCCTGGGAGCGGTTTCATGACTCCCGAGAAGCGGAAGCTGTGGAAGCGTATTTGGTGGTCCTGCTACGCACTAGACCAGATGACGGCGTTGCGGCTGCACCGCCGGCCCCGGATCCACAGGCAAGACTTCAATGTGCCGATGCTGACGTTGGAAGACTTCGAGGTCGAGGGGCTGAAGGGGACGTTAGGTGGGAACGTGAAGCAATGCGCAGTGATGTATGTGGATAAGGTATATCTGTGCTTGCACATTGGGTGGCCGGAGCCAGAGAGGCTGGAGAAGGGGAAGAGGAACACGGTGGAGCAGGGTGGTGGGGAGATGTTTGCGGACATGGAAATGTTCGCGGACTTGGTAGAGATTCCGGGAGAGAGTGCGGATTGGGAGCAAGGGTTGGAATGGGTAGCAATGACATGAATGTGATAGTTGGAAAGAAAAAGGAGCATGGAGTGATTTTAGGGGGAATAGCTTTGGATATACCCTTGAAGTTATTATGTCTACAAATTTCACAGAATCGTCCACGGTGTTAGAAAAGCGCTTCAGTTTGTCATGCTGAGTACATTGCACGACGGAGAGACCCCAACGCCGTTTCCCTTTGATACTTCCATCTTTGACTTAGAAAGTCACCAAAACAAATCCAATCGGAGTTTTGGTATCTTTTACGTAGGTAATCTTTCATAAGCAGATAGTCTGACATAAGCAAGTGGTCTCTCATAATCAAGTGGTCTCTTATAAGCAAGTAGTCTCTTATAAGTAAGTGGTCTCTGTTGAAAGGCATATTCGATTGATTGATTGAAGGACAGATGATGGGCTCTGGGGCTACGTATATATACTGATCCGTCGCCGCACTAGGCCTGATCCTCTTATGTTGGAACCTAGCTAGCCTAATAGCTCGAGCTACTTTCAACAGTCTCTTATAAGCAAGTGGTCTCTTAGAAGCAAGTGGTCTGTCGTGAACAGGTAATGGGTGCACTATAAGTACTGTAGTACCACGGTGTCACTAATGACCACTACATATGACTCAAAACTACCCTCAATGTCCAACTGATATGGCAATCTAAGCCTCAGCTTCTTCCTTAAACGTTGCCCCATTCTTCTCAATAACTTGATGCTTAGTATGATCAATGTGGATATCTTGCTGATAAATCGCGACCAAATCATCATCTCCAAACATCTTCGCAACCTAGCGCAAATCGTTAACACTGATCTGAAAATGGAATTGAAACATAGGCTTACCTCCTCAAGTGGCTTCCCAAGCGTATTTGGGTAGAGGAAGAACACAATCGCAGCTCCGAAAACCGACAAGCAGATGAAGACGAGATAGTACTTCCAGCCAATATTTGCAATGGCAGTAGGCGCTATCTCGAGCCAGAGAATATCAACCATGCAGAACCCGATGACTGCCAGAGTCATCCCCTTTGCGCGGAGGTGCGTGGGGAAGATCTCAGCTGGATAGTACCAGGATATTCCTTCCAGGAACATGTTGAAGGCGGCGAGGAAGAGGAAGAGGAATGCCGCTGCAGCGGAGAGCCCGGCTTTGTTACCAGTGCCGAGGAATTTCGCAACGAGAGCGGTTTCGATGGAGAGAATGCAGGTCACGACGATCACGCCGGTGCACAGCATAACGTTACGGGGGACGCGGTCAACGTAGGTGAGGGAGATCAGGTTGCCTGCGATTGCGGCGAGGTAGATTCCAGCAAGGAGTTGGAGGGAGTCGCCGGGTCCGTAGCCGATACTAGCGAAGATTGAGGCAGCATAGGCTAAGCAGGCGTTAATTCTAGTACTTCTTTTCGAGTTGTGAATTCATAAGACTTACTTGTGATGACGAGATTTCCGGTGGTATACATGATGACAGGGAGGAAAAACGCTAGGAGTGCGCGCCTCCGATAAGAGGGTCGCCGGAACATTTCGGTCCAAGATCCATCCAGTCCTCGATCCAGGTCATGTTGAGACTTCATCTGGTAAAATTCAGCGGTCGCGAACTCGTGGTCTGGGTCATCTTTGGTCGTGTGTAGCTTCTTGACGATCTCCCACGCTTCATCATTCCTGTCAACTGCGAGTAGCCAACGTGGTGATTCCGGAAGGAAGGGCATCCAGCAAAGTAAAACGATCGCAGGGAAACAGCCGATGGCAAGGGGAGCACGCCATTGTGACGAGGTGGTAGTCTTGTAGTAGAAGAAGCCAATTCCAACATAGGCTGCTAGAATATAGCCAATCACGCCAAAGAGTCCAACTATGCCACCGAGGATACTTCGGCCCTTGGGCGGGCAAAGCTCAATGACCCAAAGAGGCACCGAAAGGTAGAGCATATACGATCTACGATTATAGTTAGCGTCGGAGGTATTTTAGTGCAACGGCGAGCTCCCATACCCAACACCACAGAAGAACCGGAACGCAATGAACATTCCAATGTTTACGGATCCTGCTAGACAGGCCGTTGAGATGATGTTGATAACTGCGCCAGTGCACACGGTGAGTTTGCGACCAAAGCGATCGGCCATCCATGCGTTGAGTAGACATCCAAAAACGCCGCCTGCGTAGAAAAGGCCCGTCATAGTACCGGTCAGGCTTTCTGCATGCTTATTGGTCGCTAAGCCCATATACGCGATGAAAGAGGGTTGTCCTAACGTGCGATTAGTGAGAGATGCTTGAATTGAATGATGATAATCACCCAACGTCGTCCCGATGATGGATCCAGCGTATGAGTATGTGATGGCACCCCATGAGATGCCGATGATAGCCCACACCAGGGCAGCCTGGTGATGGGTCTTGGTGTTGTCAAAGCTAACGGAATCCATGCCGTAGCTACAATGTCAATTTGCGACCGTTGATTTTGGATGTGAAGATCAAAGAGACACAGGCGCAGAAGACGAGGGACCTGGTCGGTGGATTATTTCAAGGGACGCAAGGATCGGCACAGTGTACCACTCTTTAATAGCCCCTGTAGTGATACCAGAAACTGGGGATGGGACGTCTCCGCGCCCTTCCCCAGAAGGCACAGCATGTGGGGCCTCCGGTAATGGAGAATATTGCGGGGGTGGAGCATCCAGAGTCAAATTCCGTTCGCTTCAGCATCCCTCTGATGGCGGATTGATTTCGACCCATCTCTGATTCGCCTCTCCGCAAACTTGCTAATCCAGGGCCCCATGTGGGTTTTCGCTCGGTTGACTACGCACGGTTGGGGAACATCACCTGAGGGTCGACATGTGACGAATACATCCGGGGGTGAGAGTCAGTGCCACACCATTTCTCCACCACCAACTCTTGCAGTATCTCGATTGGCAAGTCGTGTACCCCGTACCTCGTACCCGCCAATACGAGCTTGCGGGAAGTATCATGGAAGTCTCCATGGGTCGCCGACGCTGCCTTTCTCAGTATGCCGAAGTCGCCTAGGTACCTCCGTGTGACTACGTCCTCACCTTGCATACTCAACGATCGGAGATGTTTACTTGGGCATGTCTTACCCAAATACGCAGGAAGGAAGGCTAAGTCGCCTGCTGAACGCTAGAGCATCAACCACGTGCTAAGCTCGTCTCCTCGCTGCTGGACCAGGTTCTAGAACCCCAAGAAATGGTACCGCCTCAAATTCAAAGACACCCATGCATCATCATCATACCGAGAAATACGCCATATAATAAGCCATTGTTAGATCGGTAAGATATATGCAGACTTTCAGGCCTCAAGTAGCAAACACCCCACTTCGCGTCAACCTTTCATTATCAATCCAAATATTTTCATCCGCCTCTTCCGAAGACCCGCTTCAGTTTATCGACAAAGAATCGAGAACCCGAATAGCCATGGCACAGCTTCTCACGATCCGGAAACATCCACAACCATGAACCGTGGGTGCGGGGTCTTGTAGTCTGGTCCGGAATTCCAACGGCCGAACACCACTATGGCCCCTCCAATCCCGGCACCACCGACGACCACGCTGGGCATTCCGGGATAGCTTGAGGGAGCTTGAACTTTTCTAAGTTGAGTAACCGAGTAAACAACAATATCAATTTTCAAGCCCTATCAGTTCTCTCGCTTTCAACCAAGAACCTCCCCGTCTCCTTCTCAAACACCACCATGCCCGTCGCCATCGTCACCGGCGCCTCCCGCGGCATCGGCCGCGCCATCGCCATCCGCCTCGCCTCCGATGGCTTCAGCGTCGTCGTCAACGACATCGTTCCCCAAAAGTCCCTCATCGACGAAGTCATCGCCGAGATAAAAAAGGCGGGCCACGAAGCCCACGGCGTCACCGCCGACGTGAGTAACGAAGCGCAGGTGCAAGCCATGGTCGACGAAACCGTCGCCAAGTACGGTGAGCTCAATGTCATCGTCGCGAACGCTGGGATCCTGGAGACTTCGACGCTGCTGGAGATGACGGTTGAGAAGTGGGACCGCACATATGCGATTAACACGCGCGGCGTGTTTCTGTGCTGGACGATTGCGGCGAAGCAGATGATCAAGCAGGGACATGGTGGGAAGCTGATTGCTGCGTGCTCGATTTCGGGGTACCGGCCTTCGGGGAAGGCACCCGCGTACTGCAGTTCCAAATGGGCGGTTCGAGGGTTGACGCAGACCGCGGCGCTGGAGTTTGGGCAGTATGGGATTACGTGCAACTCGTACTGCCCCGGGTCCGTGAAGACGGATATGAGTCGTGTGTTTGCGGAGAGGTTGGCGGCGGATAAGGGGCTCAAGGATGTAGAGGAGGTGTATAAGACGAGCTCGCATAGGACGAACGCGATCCAGCATGAGCTGTTTCCGGAGGATATTGCGGGTTTGGTGAGTTTCTTGAGTGGGAAGGACAGTAATCGGATGACGGGGCAGAGCATCATTTGTGATGGGGGGATTTACTTCTCATAAGGGTACTATCATTTCTGATAAAATGGGAGGTACGTGAGATCCAAAGTATTTAAGGATAGTTCCGGCAGTCATGTAGAGCATTAAGCATCATAAGATACCAGTCAACTGATCCTCTTTCAACGGTCAACAGTAAACCTTCAATCTTAGAAGCTAGCAGAGATCGAGCGCAAGCAAACAAACCATGATAATGAAAGTTCAACTCTGTCAAATTCAGGTTAGAAAGAATGCTATTGACCTCCTCATGTTTCAGTGATACACCACATTCCCCACTCTCTGCGGCCTCTCTTGCACACACATCAAAAACAACGGCTCATCCCCATGATTCCTAACCCCCCTCACCGCACAGCCCGGCACATACGCCCCATCCAACCTCCCCAACTCCTCTCTCCACTTCCCCTTGCTCTCCTCGGCAAAATTGATCAACGCCTTCCCTCGCATCACAACCAATGTCTCCGCATCTTTTTGAGTATACGGCACGCTCTTCTGCCCTGGCTGTATCACCGTCATCCCAATCCCACACTTCTCGCTCGCCGCCGCGACGCCTGGATTATAATTCTCATACCCATCCTCCTTCTTCCCCGCAACCCACGACACCACCCACCGCATCCACTCGACCTCCTTCGCCTTAAACGGCGAATAACTCGGCTCGAGATCCGCAAACCGCACAATGGTAATATCCGGCTGCGGCGGATAATCCGCAGGAACCACCCCATCCATAAAGTACTTACTCGTCCCAATCTTCTCAATCCCATCATGCACCCACACCAGCTCGCAGTCCTCGGCCCCACAGTTCCGCACGCCATGCGGCACGCCCTTCGGTATGTACATGCAGTCCAGCGGGCCCGCGCGGTGCGGGTGGCCAGTGTGGTCGTACCCCTCCAGCTCGCCCTTCAAGATGACGTAGATCTCAGTCACGGAGTGGTAGTGCAGCCCCTTCTGGCGCTGGCCGACGGGCAGCGACATGAGCCCGACGACGGACTTGTCGCTTGCGATGGCGGCCTCCCGCGACGGGTTGACGTAGCCCGCGGGCCCGCCAACCCACGAGATCAGCCAGCGCATGAAGCCGGGCTCTTTGGCGCCGGGGACGTGCCATTGCGGCTCGAGGTCGGCGTAGCGGATTATCGAGGCTGTGGTCGGGTTGATGATTTGCTTGGTGGTGATGGTGGTGCCGGCGTTTTCGGGCTCGTGGAGGTCGATGGTAGAGGGGGCCATGGTTGCTGGTAGTCGAGGTGTTGAGGGGGGTGATGGAATGGTGGGGAGGTTGTAGAGAAGGAGGACTCGAGAAACGTAGGATGGGAGTGCGCTTGGTAGAGACACGGTGGACTGCTGGAATGTAGGGTCGAGTGGACGTGGGAGTGGTGGATAAGAAAAGCGGACGTTGTGCCCGGAAAGGGTAACATTTACATTTACATGCTCAACGGCAATGAGCAAGTGCCAAAGCACCCGGCCTTCGAAGATCCCACCAAGTGACTGTGCTAAAGCTACCCCACACCTGCCGTGCCAGCCGTTGATATGGTGAAGGATGAGGGGCAGCGGGGAGCTCTCGAAGCATGCCTGTCCAAGAAAGAGCGCTGCAAAAGTTCCGGGACATTTCCGAAAACGCCACCCGAACGCGGGAAAATTGATCGGTGGGTCTAACCAGTAGGAACAACGCTGAACATGACTGGAAGAATGAACTTGAAGAACGTGACATCGACTATAAGTGATATTGACATTGTGAATTGAATTAAATTACTAGAGAGCACATGGAGATCACTGTTGAAGCCCGCCAACATCGAAGAGACGCCGCAATTCATCGTCGACCCAGAATCCATCAATTTCTTCACCTCCGGTACCTCGTACCATACTGGGCTCATTGGTCGTGGAGAAACCATTGATCAGCTGGTTAAGCATGTCGTCGTCCCCGTCCATCGTGTTTTGATTGAAGAAGTCGGAAATGTGGGGCATAATGGTGTCGAACTGCAACTCCTTTGGGGTTGTATCCAGTAGTTCAGCGCCGTGAAATTTGAGTATCGCGCGCTTTGCAGTCTCGATAATCCGGTATAGTCGTCGCAGTGTATGACGAGCGAGAGTGAAGTTGGATGACATGTCGTTGAAAGTGCTTAAGCCCTTTTTGAATGATTCGATTGCCTTGGTGCGAGTCTCTGGTGGATTGTCTGCTTTTACAATGATGCAAACAAGATTGAGCAGAGGAGCAACGGAGTAGAATACCGAAGAAAAGCGTCCGGTAGGCCTGTCGAGGCCGCGCGAGTGGTACGCGTATAATGCGTCGATGGTGGTCGCTGCGATGGAAACGACTTCATCAGCCGTCTTCTCGCTGTAAGTTAAGCTGAGAATACTCTCTTGCCGAAGTATCAATCTAAGTTGATTCATCCGAAGGTGCAATATGACGGTTTGCCGGAGGACATATGATGGAACGCTCCCCGGTGTGTCAAGTCGCTCAAGGTTTTTCAAATACTGCAGGTGAGGCGGTATTTGGCTGATCGCATACTGAACACGTGCATCCATCGATGCAATGAACTCTTGGCTGGCAGGCTTCGGTGCACTCGTCGCAAATACCGAGTCCCAGATCTCAGCACACATTTTGCCCCACTTGATAGCAGAACACAGGTATGGACCAGATGAGCGCTCTGGGTTCTCTTCGGGCAGCGGCCTATCAGGGAACATGAATTTGTCTTCGTAGCCCTTTGGAAGATCAACTCTGAAGTCAGTGTCTCGGATCAAGTATGGCGACCCATTGTTGAACGCAATGTTTCGTTCCAAGTAGTAAATCGTCCAAAAGATTCTTTGTCGCATGACAGTCTCGAAGGGAGTGCAATCTTTCCAGGAATTCTGGTCATGAAGACCTACTTGAAAGCACAATCGGACGACCTTTGCCATAGTGTCGTAGGCTCCATCGGATTTCTCGATATAAAGGAGATATCGAGCTTTGATCAAAAGGCATTGGATGGTGAGCATGTTGCCGTTACCGAGCCACGTGAGTCTGTTCAATATGCTCTCTGCCCTGCAAAACTCGTCCCAAGCTGGCACCAAACTGGAGTCTGACCAGTCGTCGCTCAGCAACTTGACCTCGGCATGCATCAAGTTGATGAGCGCAATGAATTGAGGCAAATCGGCGGTTTCAATTTCAGAGGTGTGGTTTGAAAGGAAGCGGTCAAAGTCGGCACGAAACTGGTTCTCATTCAAGCTCGGGTAATGTGGGTTCATATAGGAAAAGTAGATGTCGATATAGTGTCGTAATGATGCAACATCGCCGAGTCGGGTCTCCTTTTCGAAAGCTTCGATGGTCTTGTTGCCTCCGGGCGATAGATTCGTCCAGTAGACTGATTTTACGTTTTCGGTATCCTTATTATCAGGAGTAGGCTCGCCGTGTTGCTCTTCGTCATGGCATGCAACAACGCGATTCAAGACCTCGATCGGGGTGAAGAGACATGTTGCGCCGTGAAACTGCTCGCTTTCGGGTATGCTGGTGGCACTCGTCGTGGATCCGCTCGGGGAGCTGGAATCGTTCTCTTGCGATGGCGACTGTTGGTCGTTGTTGATGGAAAGGTGGGTCTTGAGCATGTTTCGGTCTCGTTCTAGACTGGTGATGCGGGCCATCATCTGTAGTACCTTCTCAGAGAGGTTCGCCGCTTCGTCTGGCAATGTTGCACCGTTGGTCTGTGGCCTTGCAGCGTCGAGGCTATTTTGATATTAGCATTAAAGCTCAAGTCTTGTAGGCGAGATGGGAGAACATACGAGGGCCTATCATCTCTTGATCCCGCGGTCTTCCTTCGTTTTCTGCCGTGGTTATATACACACTGTAGTTCGGCGGAGCGACACTGAAGACACGTTTCTTCTCCTGAGCACTTCACTTTGCGCTTTTGGCAATTGACACTGGACAATACCGTTAGTTGAGATCAGTACCCAAGCAAAGCACTAGGTGTCTAAGTTGTGAAAGATGTCATCTAGACTTTCACAGTGGTATCGAGGCACCTCAACTGGTGGCAAACGAGTCAAACAGACTTCTGAAAAGTGCTTACCATGCATTCGACACGTATCTCCCCCGTTTATTCGCTGGTTTCCGTGCTTTTGGGGATGGCTCTTCAGTAATAGAAATGACGGAAAGCGTCCTCTGCGGGGCCTGGCCATCTTGATCTTGGGTCCGCCATCCCTCCCACCTCAGCTGCTCATCGTGATTCTGAGTGAACTGTGTGAGGATTCCCGCAGCGTCCTGGTCTGATTGGCTAGGGAAGAAGGAGTTGGAGGCGTTTTGGGTGAGTGTTGGATCTATGTGACTGGGTTCGCAGAAGATGCCGGAAGAAACAGCCGATAGCCGGCGATCCACGCTTTGGTCATTGCTTAGCACGAGAGGGTCCGTATCAGGTGAAGGCCACGGCGCTGCATTCTTGGTGCTGCCGGCGGTAGATTGACGGCGAGGGGGGGCTTCGAAAACACATTCAACCCCCATCCCGGAGCATCTTTCGCACCGGGGACCGCCACTGCATTTGAGTTTCAGCTCGCTGCATGTTTCGCAAGTACGCTTCGTGGTTTTGGTTCTATCCTCAGGACCATTTGGGCTCTGCTTGGCGGCTCGGCACGACTGGTGGTGGCGCAGGAGCACGTCGCTGCAGGTCACGTTATCAGCGGATGCATCGGAGGAAGGAAAACAAGGCCGCTCACCGTCGCGCAAACCGTTTGCCGCAGTACTGGCAGGGGTGCGGTTTGGGGCTGTGGCCGCGATGGAGGGAGGTAATATGGCGTTGGAGGTGCTCAAGACGCGTGAAGCGCGCATTGCACTCGCGGCAGGCGTGCGGCGCAGGATCAACCTGATCAGAGGCCATGCTCTTTCGACGGCTGAGCGGGAGGTGCTGGTTTGCGGTCGGGTGCGTGAGGGGGGAGAACGCGCAGTGCTGAGGGGCAACGACTATGACCGAGCTGCTATCACCGTCGACGGACGACATTTGCAGCGAGTTGAGAGGTTCAGGCAGGCAAAATACAGGCAAGCTTTGGGCACATGAAGCCGACGACGGGGGCTGTCTGCGCTTTATTCAGTCGGCCCTCCGCCTGGGCCCGCCCGTGGCTCGCCGCCTTCTTCCCCGCATTGCCCTAAATGCCCCCGGACATTTGGCACCCCTAGCGCTCCTCGCACGCATCCATCACCACGCAGGGCCGGCCGCCCACCTGGCTATTGGCCGAGGGCCGCGACCAGGGCAGACGATCTGACCGATCCCAGCGTGAGTGCTACCGGTCATGCGGCCTGACATCCATCTTTCAGACAAAGAGCGTTGGCCGCAACGTCATCCCATGCTGCATTCTCGGTGCGTCTTTTTGAAGTGCCAGTCCGGAGCATCCAACGTCGTATCTACGTTCTGCAGTTGGAAACCCTGACATGTCATCTAGATTCTGGAATCTGCTGGAGCCCCTCGAGTAGCGGCACAGCAGTGTTCACGCTTCCAACAAGATACTGTATTCTCCTAGTCGATTATCATCTCTATGAACCCCCGCTCGCCATCAAGCACTGGCCTGTAATGAAGCTTGATAGGTCGCTCAGCAAGAAGAGAATGGGGTTTGCAATGTCATCGGGCTTTCCAATCCGTTGAAGAGGAACTGTCTTCGCCACCAAGTCTAATAGCTCGTCGTCCGTCTTGTTTCCTCCGAACCGTGGTCCCATGACTGTTTGTAGTGGGCTTCGAGACATTTGAGTATCAGTAGGTCCTGGAACTGTCGTCAGTCTTAGAAGAAGAGCGGACAGCCTTGAAAGAGCATACCTGGGCCAACAAGATTCACCCTGATGCCGTACTTCGCATGGTCCAGCGCCCAAGTCTTGGTCAAACCTGCGACTGCATGCTTCGAGGACGTGTACGCCGGTATCCGTGGAACTCCCACCAACGACGACGTACTCCCAATGTTCACCACCGCACCAGAGCCTTGCTTCTTCATCTGCGGGAAGGCCTCGAAGGCCATGTTCCAGCTGCCCGTAACATTGACAGCGTAGACCTTCTCGAACAGATCATCAGGCGGTGCCTCGCCCTCCAGCAGACATATCCCCGCGTTGTTGACTAGCCCATCCAGCCGGTCGTGCTTTGCGACAATAGTAGCGACGGCAGCGGCGCATTGCTTGCGGTCGACCACGTCGCATTGTATGTACCCAAGCCGCTCTTGAGGGAGACCAGATAGCTCTTTGCTCTGCTCTGCGCCTAGATCCAACGCATAAACATATGCACCATAATTGATCAATTGCGCGACCACAGCAAATCCAATGCCCACCGCGCCGCCCGTCACGGCGTAGACGTTGGATTCGAAGAGCTTGGGGTCCATGATGGCTGGGGAATGAATCAGTTCTTACGTATCAACGGCAGAATTGGACGTCTCCTGATGAACATGCGACGGCCTTGTATTCGCATGCACTGATATTACAGGGTCTTAGCACTCGCTATTTCCTTCCGCGTTCCAAGGTTCCGCCGAGCGGACCAAACTGTCAGAACTTGTCGGTGAGTTGCTGCACTCGTGGCCTTCTCCGTGTCTCCACACCCTCCCCCAGCTTTCTCCGCATGAGTTTGGCACCGGGGGCGATCTGAGCCTGGAGGTGGAGAAAGCATGTGGAGGTGAGGTTGGATAGCCGGAATTCTGACTGTGCTCTTTCCGACGCACCCTCGCCACTTTAGCCGATGTGGGGAAGCCCATCACCCATGAATCGTGCGCACGTGGCACCGACGCACGGGGCGTTCTGCGTTGCTGGGGTTTGGTGGCGCTGCATCGTGCATGCTATCCAATCGGAATCTAAGGGAGTCTGGCAGGGGGCGCGTCGACTGAAGTGACGCCTGAGTGCAGGTGGTGAAGACTCTACATACAGCACAGCGACGGAACACGAATGCCGTTGAGAGTCGAATACCGGTGGTTGCGGCACGAGATGGAGTCCCCCGCTGTGGAGAGCGAGAACGCTGTTTCAAAGACCTCTCCGCCGCATCTATGCATCTATCGATGCGTCACGTACCATAAACTGACAGGATGGATTTTCCCGGTGTCGCTTTGATCACAGGGGCAGCATCTGGTATGTAGACTCTCAATGTCGCAAGAAAGCCGAATGTTTATCCTTAACTAACACTGCTCGTAGGAATCGGTCGCGAAACCGCTCTCCTTTACGCCAGAGAAGGCTGCAAAGCCCTCACAATCGCCGACCTCAACGCCGCCGGCCTTGAAGAGACCAAAAAGAAAATTGAAGCCATAAACCCCGACGCCAAAGTTAGGATAGCCGTTTGCAATGTCACAGACGAAGCCGCCGTGCAGAGCATGGTCGACGGCACCGTTGAGCAATTCGGCCGCCTCGACTATGCCGCGAACGTGGCAGGGATGATCTTGCTAGGCGTGCAGACGGCCGACATGAGCACCGACTTCTTTGAAAAGCATTACCAGGTCAATTTGCGGGGCCTGTTCTTCTGCGAGAGGGCAGAGTTGCAAGCGATGTTGAAGCAGGAGCCGATTACGTCGAAAGACTCCAAGTATCCAGCGCGGGGGGCCATTGTGAATGTCTCGTCCATGTCGGGGTTAGTAGCTTCGCCGGATATTCCGGCGTACGCTGCTAGTAAATTCGGAGTCATTGGGCTAACCAAGTCTGTGAGTACCTCATTCCTGGAATTGATTTGACTAGAGGGGGGTGGGCGGCTAATATGCTCTTCTCTTCAGGATGGTATGAACTACGGCAAAAAGCTCATCAGAGTTAATGCGGTTGCTCCAGGAGCAGTTGCGACGCCTATATTAGCTAATTCAGGCAACAAAGCCTCTGCCACTCCGCTGAAGGACTCGGCGTCTATGGATAATGGGTTGGGGCGCTTTGGAGACCCAGAAGAGCTGGCGCAGTGTATTGTCTGGCTTACGAGTGGCCGAGCTAGCTACGTGACTGCTTCAACTGTAGTTGCGAATGGTGGACAGCTGGGGGGATAGTTCGTCAAATCTATAACTCATTCGAGCTGCTCCAAATCAGAACCTCGACATGATACAAATCTCTCGCAATCGACTCTGCTCGGTTCCGAAATGCACGTAAATGGGCCTTCATGCTCTTACTCTGTAATCTCATTTCTCGCGCTCTGAAATGCACCAAAACGCGCCCGTATGCTCTTATTCCATGATTTCCTCGCTTCTAAATCAGATGACTTTCAACTAGCTCTTTATTGGCCATTCCTGCATCTCAACCCCGCACGCGCTAGCGACTTCGATATCTTTGGCTACCGTACCAGGGTCGACATGAAGCATCTCTCTCACGGAAAACCAACATTTCTTCGCAAAAGCACCCACAGCGTCACGGATTGGCAAATCCCCACTTCTAGTAGCTGTCCTGCGGTGGGGAAAGCCCCTCTTTTCATTGTCGTGCGAGCCTGAGGGCCAAAATGCCGTGATTCCGAATGCCGTTGAGAGCGGCCGGTGGGAGGAGGCAGGACGGAGAGGGCGGTTGGCGAACGCTATCACCCAGAGAGCCCGCCGGTTGGTTTCTCTCTCTGCTTCCTTCTTCAGTGCGATATTGGTATGTCGACAATGGACGCTTTTCATAAAACCGCTGGCGGTGTTGTGGCTGCTTTGAGGGAATCGGCAAAGCATATGCCTCCATTGAGTCAGTATCAGCTTTCTGCGGTTTTGGCTGCTCTTGTAAGTACCGAAAGGACTCAGATCCTCTTCAACTGGAGGCGGCGTTGTGTGTCATCTGCTGATAAGCTGTCCAGAGCACACATGCACTCTTTCAGCTCCATGAATTCCAGCCGATGGATGTTCTCTTCGCATTCTCTGCTTTGAATCTTGGTCTCAGACTGTTTCTCGACAAGCAAACCACAGAGACCGGCATTGTTGTTCTACAAGCCCAACTCAATCTGATCTACTTCGTGTCTCTTTTGTCAGTACCTCCAAACTGTGTAATCTTTTAGTCATCAGTGATACTAACTACTTCAGCACATCAATCGCCATCTACCGACGATTTTTGCACCGCACACGTCAATTCCCAGGCCCATTCCTAGCTTCAATTACAAAATGGTGGGCCTGGGTTGTCGTCTACCGCGGCGAGTACCATCGGACCGTGCGGGCTTTGCATAACTCCACCAAAAGTGACATCGTCCGCGTCGGGCCACGGGAGCTGGATATTTGCAACGTCGACTTCATCGGACCCTTGTATGGTGTAGGTACCAAATGCATAAAAGGGCCTTGGTACGAGGGCACTCTGATGGGCAGCCACCACCGCTTTTTACAGAACGAGAAACCCGAGGGCCATCTCTGGAAGCGAAGAATCTGGGATGCCGGATTCAACTCGAAAAGCATTCGCGAATATGAGCCACACGTGTTGCGTGTCAACGAAGAGCTACTAGAGAAGCTGAAGAAGCTTACTAAAGATGGAAAGCCTATTGATATCGGACTCTATTTTGCATTTTTCACGTGGGATATCATGGGTGATCTCGGGTGAGCTAATGCCTATTTTGTGCATTGACTAATACGCACTAGCGAATTACACTAACAGGGCTCTAGATTTGGAGAGTCGTTTGATATGATCAACACGGGCACCGCAAACGATGCCATGAATGTCGTGCAAGGCTTTACGCGATTCAACTCATTAGTCTGCACAATCCCGTGGTGCTCCACACTCTTTGCATGGTTCCCTAAAGATCCGAAGGCCGAAGGGCTCTTCACGTTCGCCAAGGAGAGAGTCAAGCAGCGTCTCCCCCTTGGCACCACCCGTGACGACATATTCACACACTTGCTCCGCGAGGACCGCGTATCGAAGAAGAAGTACAGCGACTTAGAACTAATCCTCGAGTCCCTGATGCTGACCATCGGTGGCTCTGACACCACTTCCAGCAGCTTAGCGTAGGCACTTCCTTGCCATTCTCCTTTTATGTGACTACTCAACCTAACGTCCGATATCTAGAACCATCTGCTACTACCTCATGGCCAACCCCTCCAAATACGCCAAGCTCAAGGCCGAAATCCACCCCTACGACGGGCCGCTCACCCACCTCCATCTCGCCAAATTCCCCTACCTCAACGCCGTCATCCGCGAAGCCCTACGCCTGCTGCCGCCCATCGGCTCTGGGATGATGCATCGCGAGACGCCCCCCGAAGGCCTCACCGTCAACGGCATCCACCTCCCCGGCAACACGAGCGTGGGCATCGGCGCTTACGAGATCCAGCGGGACGCTCGCTACTACGGGAATCCCGACGAGTTTATCCCCGAGCGATGGCTTGGCGAGGGGCCAGAGCCTTTTGACAGGAACGCCTTTCTTGTTTTCTCGTATGGCCCATATAGCTGTGTGGGCAAGCATTTGGCGTATTTGGAGCTGTGCGATGTCATTGCAGGGGTGGTGAAGACTTTTGATATGGAGTTTGCGCCGGGGTATGATGCTGGGAGTTATGAGATGAGTATTAAAGATAGTGTGGTTAGTACGAGGGCGCATTTGTCAGTTATTCTCAAGGCGAGAGCGTGAAGTGGGTGAGAATTGGGTAGCTAGTTGGAGAGGCAGATAGTGGCTTTTGAGCTCGTGCAACTTGCCGATTTGAAAGCTGGTAAAGTCACGAGCTTCCGCGAATTCTACGTGTTTTCCGCAAACATGTCAGCATTATTGATTAGGGCACGTCAACGAATAGGGAATCTCTACGTGAATATGCTACGAGATGTTCAAAACACGCTATTTGGGCCTTTACGTGCCAGAAGTCAAAATCTTCCCATTCAAGGGCCATCGCACTTCACAACAGAGTGTTTTGATTAACGCTGAAACTTTCCATTTCGTGATTCCAGTTTCCAGCCCTTCAATAAGAATCAGGAGACTCCGGAATTGAGTTGCTTCATGTTTGAACAATTCCCTTCGAGCTGTGTAGCCATTCAGACTGGGAGAGGATGTGAAGAAGTGCAAAATGTAAACAGTCCGGAACGGAAGATGTGAAATGCATGACACAGTTTAGCGTATCTCCTGACCCTCTCCTAACAACGCGCCACTCTGAGGTGCCTCGGTCTCAGCACGCTCTCGTCCAGCTCATACTCGCTCCAATCTCTGAGCTTGCTCGGAAACGGCGACTTCGGAACGTTGGAATTGGAACCCCACAACTCGTCTAGACCACATTCGGCAACGCCATAGAAGGTGCATAATGTCAGTATTTAGCAAAACAGCTTCGACGTGTACATTTTTGATTCTAGTAGAGTAAATTTGTTACCATCTCTTTTTGCTAGCCATGGCTCCTAAGAATCCCAAGCAGGACCGCACGTTCTGTCTCATCGTGGGCGCCGGCATGACCGGCGTCTCGATGGCAGCACATCTGCTCAAGAAGGGCGTATTGAAGCATGGGGAATTTCGTCTTGTCGATCAGCAGTCGGATTATGGTGGAGTCTGGGAAGCAAACAAGTATCCCGGTGCTGCTTGCGATATTCCTAGCCATGGATATGTTATGCGATTCTTCCTCAAGCCCGGTAATCATCCTCCCATATCGAGTCTCCATTGATCTAAGCAGAACTCTAATGGTGTGGCAGATTGGTCAAAGAAATATGCGCCTCGCCATGAAATCCAGCAGTACTACGCCGAAATCGCCCATTATTACCACCTCGAGCAGAGCACTATCTTCAACACCAAAGTCATCGAGGCGCGGTGGAATGAAGACACTCTTCTCTGGAGCGTCTTGACGCAGCACATTCCAACCGGCCAGCAAACGCTCTGGACAACAAATGTCGTGATCCACGCAGGCGGCCAGTTCTCACGCCCAAAATGGGCCGATATCCCTGGGCGAGAAACTTTCAAGGGAACAGAATGGCATACCGCGCAGTGGCGGGATGACTTCGACCTCACTGGGAAACGTGTTGCGATCATTGGCACCGGACCTAGCACCGGACAAGTGGCACCGGCCATCGTGGACAAAGTCAAGAACCTATATATCTACCAGCGAAGTGCTACCTATGTGGTGCCACGCGGGGACGGTCCTATCCCAACCTGGAAGAAGCGGTTATTCAAGTGGTTCGCGCCTGTACTTTGGCTTTACCATGTGTGGTGGTACTCTAGTGTATTTTGTTCCCCATTTACGAGTGATTGAAGAAGAAAGAAGCTGACACACTGCAGTTCGAGAGGAGCAAGCCCATGTGGCTCGTCGGAACTAAGGAGCATGCTGCTGCTCAAGCCTACGCCATTCAACATCTAGAGTCCACTGTTAAAGATCCCGTCACACGAGAGAAACTGAGGCCGCGAAACCAGTTTGGATGCAAGCGTTTGCTCGTTCTCGATGACTGGTACCCGCTGTTTAATAACCCCAAGGTAGAACTGATCACAGACAAGCCGATACGGATAACGGAGAAAGGCATTGTTTCAAAGCCGCCGGACCAGCTCCCGAAGGGTGAGCTTGCGAATCAGCCCCTTGGTTCTTATGATATCCGGAATGAGGCTCCCGATGCACACGAGGAAGAGCGGGAGATCGACGTCTTGCTCTGGGGAACTGGTGCGTACCTTTCCTACCCCTTTTCTGACCTTGCTAACACAGTCCAGGTTTCGAAATGGCAGACCAAGGCGGCCACTTCCAAGTCTATGGCATCAACGGCGCCAATCTTGCGAAGACCTGGGGTGATTCCCCCAAGGCCTACTACAGCGTTGGCGTCGCCAACTTCCCCAACATGTGCCTCATGCTCGGGCCCAACGCCGCAAACTTCTGGTCCAACCTCACCACCATCATTGAAGTGCAGTGCAACTACAACGCCAAGCTGATCAAGCATATCAAGCAGAAGAACCAGATTAGTCCGTATGCACTGACGGTGGATCCGAAAGTGCAGGAGTGGTACAATGAATGGATCAAGAGTAAGATGAAGGGGATCGCGATTCTATCGGCGAATTGCTCGAATTACTATACTGTGCGTAGTCCCTGTCGATGGGAGATGAGACACACGATGCTGATATTTGATTAGAACAGCAAGGGCGAGGCTACTTACTGGAACCCCTTCCACGGTTACACGTACGCGTGGCAGATGAAGTGGCCGAAATACAACGACTACCTCAAGTTCACCAAACCAAAGCCAGCTCTTACGAATGGGTACGCGAAGGGAGCGACTTCGACTGTATCGGCGGTGTAGGCTTCATTTGGAGGCTGCGTTGGCGTATTTGGACTGGGTTGTTTGCATGTGAACATGAATAACTAGGATGTGAATGTGTACTGTACAGGTGGTAGTCTTCTCTTCCATAGCATCGTCCAACATGAATCATTGCGACGTTCCATGTTATCTTGCTACACCGCTTCTTCTTGGAGCATGTTTAGTGATTTTGAGCCTTTCAGTGGGTTGGTCTTATTTGGCTAAACCCGGCATAAACGAAGACATATCCCCCGACAAGTTGGGAGGAACCAGTTTCACGAATCTCTTACCCATGGATCAAATGATATGAAATGTAAAGGTAATATGAGGTGGCTAGTAAGGCGGCTAAGTGATGGCTGAGAAGCGGCGAATTCACGTGGATATCGGAAGAAACAGCTACCGTTATGCACTCCGCCACACCGCCATTCCCCGGATCCAGCACCCCACGTGAGGATCGCGGGGAACGCTACTCCTAAGACTTGTCATGTCAGACATTCTAGATTGGTGGGGTGCATGAGAGTTTGCTAACGCGTTAAGGTCGGAATGGAATTGAGCATTCCGATTACATCACCTCCGCTTACAGACTCATCCGCTGAACTTGATTTAAGCTTCAAGTGTTGTCGTCTTTAACCATCTCTTTTCTATTCTTCATTACGTCTCCATTATATCCACATTCACATCTCGAACTAGCGGTGAAGTCTATCAAAATGGTGATCCACTCCAGCGTACCGAAGGAGATTATCTCCGAGGTGGACGGTGTCAAAGTCGCTTTCCGCCCTATCGATCTGCCAAATGCACGAATTGTTCATGGCAGCCAGTTCCCTCTGGCAATGACTATGACGAAAGATTCCGGCGAGAAAGTCACTCTAGACGAGGCCGCTAACGCCATCCGCGATCTTTCGGAACGAGGAATTACTACCGACCTCATGAATAAGCACGGTGCGTTGGTCCTTCGTGGCCCAGGGGACCCATCTCCCGAGGCATTCTCCAAGCTCGTACACGCCGCAGAGGAAGGCCGTGGTCGTGTTCCGTATGACCAGATTGGCCTTGCTGGAAGCCGAACTGTTCATGGCAAGGAGGTCTTCAGTGCGTCCGAGTCACCGCCACATCTCTGGATCTACCACCACAACGAGTACTCCCGATACACGAAGTTCCCTAGCAACATTCACTTCTTCTGCAACGTTTCTGCCGAGGAGGGTGGCGAGAGCCCGTTCTGTCACAGCGGCGAACTCTTCGACCGCCTTCAGGAAGACATCCCGGAATTCGTCGAGGAGGCCGCAAGGAGAGGCCTCAACTCCCCCGATGTCTACCGAGCCCCCGGAAAGGAGGGCAAGAACTTTATCTTCACTTGGGCCGGACCACTGGCCTTTGGCCGAAATATCAAGCCGGGAGATGATATGGCTACGATGAAAGCTAAGGCCGAGAAGGAGGTCATCAAGCTGACACCTCACTTCTGGTGGATTGAGGATGACCAGCTCGAGGTTCACCAACACGTCCCCGCTTTCCGCCGTCACCCAGCTACCGGCAAGCCTATTTTCTTCAGCAGCATCCCGGGCCGCTACGGCACTGCTCTCGATCGAGGCGCAACTGACCCCCCATATATCGGAGACGATGGAATGGCATTCCCTCCCGCAACTTACACTGACGGTGAAGCCATCCCGAAGAAGTACCTCCACCGGGCATGGGAGATCAGCAACGAATGCCAGGTGGCCATCAAGATGGAGGAGGGCGACATAGCTCTCGTTGACAACTACCAGACGACTCACGCCCGCGCTCCTTGGACGAAGGGTAACAGGAAGGTGTTTGTAAGTATGTGGGATACTCTCGACCCGAAGGAGAAGATCCTCGACTATTGAGCAACTGCGTAAGCTCATTCTATGTCCTTCTTGTTCTAGCGAGCATATTGTGAGCAACTGCGTAAGTCCATGTATGCTTTATATTGACCCCATCACCCTAAGCATTCACGCATCACTCGTCCCTGATACCGAGCAACTGCGCAAGCTCGTTGGGTTTCTTAGTCGTTTCAAACATACCTTGGGCAACTGCGTAAGTCCTGGTATGTTTCATCCGTAAGCCTGCACCTTGTCGCGCGATCGAGCAAACCTAGCACCACAATATAGTTATATTACCAGTGAACACGGTCAAGGTGGATACTCGTTGCACTAGTTCTCGTAAACATTACATCATGGTCACTGAGCAACTGCGCAAGTTCATACCATACTCTCCCCCACTCGCTCACTCACTACTAAGCTAGTCAATATAAGTAAATAGAATGGTTCGACTTGATATATCAATGATTGCACTTTGAACTTTGGTAGACGTGCATCAAACGTCTGACACTGCTGCTCTTTCCTGCACTGGTCACATATCCTCTCTTAGGAGGTCATGGTTTAGGTAGTCCGACTCATGATCAAAAACCTGGGCGAATTTTCACAATTACCATGCATCATAATTTTACTGTCCTCTCAACCCCCTTCCGCGCATTTTCCAAATCAGTCCTATACCCCTTCACCAACGCGTTGTAATCAAACGACACCAGCAAGAAATCCATCCCCTGCTTCGTCCTCTTCGCCGACAGCTCCTCGCCCGTCCCCATACTCCCCACCGGCTTCCCCAACCTCTTCCCAATCCCCACAATTTTCTCCACCGCTGCCACAAACTCCTCTTCCGGCCCATCACTCCCGCCCGAAAGCCCAAGACTCAGCCTCAAATCATACGGCCCGATGAAAATCCCCGTCACGCCATCCACGGCCATAATCGCCTCTGCGTTCCTGACGCCCTCTCTTGACTCGATAATCGGCAAAATTGCCGGCCCCCTCGCCTGCGCCTTGGCATAGTAATCCGCAAAGCTCGTGCCCGGGTCCAGACTCCCAAAGGGCGCATTATACGGCCCAAAGCTGCGCGATCCCCGCGGCGGATACAGCGCTTTATCGACAATCGCCTCTGCGTCCGCGGCCGTGTGCACCATGGGCACGATGATGCCTGCGGCGCCCGTGTCGAGCCCCCACTTGATCCACTCGGTGCTGTGGGAGGGGATGCGCAGCAGCGGGAGGCAGGCGCCTTGGGAGGCGGCGACGACGGCGTGCACGAGGTCCGTGGCTTGCTCCATGGTGAAGGGTGAGTGCTCCATGTCGATCATGAGCCATTGGAAGCCGGCGCGGGCGGCGAGTTTGGCGGTGATGGTGTGCGGGAAGGAGAGGATGGTGCCGAGGATTGGGCCGTTGCTGGCGGCGATGGAGGAGAGGAAGGTGTGGGAGGTGGGGGCGGTGGAAGGTTTCTTTTTGGAGGGGTCGGGTTGCTCGTCGTTGTACATTTTGGCAGTGAGGGGGGGTGTTTGGGGCCCTAGTTGGCCTGGAGTTGGGATACGAGTTGGAGGTGGAGCTTGAGGTTTGAAAACGTTATCGATAGCGGGATCGGTATTGACGTCGTATCTTCAGTAGGCAGCTTTGGATTCACGTGGTTTAAACGCAGGCTAGGGTGAAATTCCGTGGCAATTCCGTGAATGTTGGCGCCAGGGTCCTTTCCCGAAAACCGGGGTTTGCAGATGGCCAGAGCACTCGCTTATGCAGCTACCCGACGCTAATCTTAAACCCTGCAGATTTCCCCGCGTTCTCCATTGCCTCGGAGAGAGACCAGCCGGCGTCTCCAATCTGACTGTGCCATCTCTGACTGGAAGTCTGACAGAGACAAATCCGACTCACACGGCTCACGAAGCCGAGACATCGTTTTTCACTTCACGAGGCACAGTACGAGTCAGGAGGTCATGAAGCTGTTCATGCATATCATCAAGGAAACCAAGTACAAGGGGATCTCTAGGCCACACCCGGCCAACTCGAAGCAAAGACCCGCTATAGGTTCAAAACACCAACTTGGGAAAGATTACAACCATCCAGCCCGAACCAGCTTCGCGGCTCACGTGGTCACAAAGTCATCTGGATTCGGTTTGATCACCATGGCGTGGTATTCAGACGTCGTCCACGGCATGTTGACGCCGGACCGCCCAAACTCGTTGACGTAGTAGCTCTGCCCTTCTGAGTATTCCCAGATGAGCTTCTTCGAGGCCTCGTCTAGGCTGTCCTGGTATTTGTCGTTCACCTCCGGCTTGACGTCCATTGACTTCTTGTCGTTCTCGATCATCCATTTGACGGATGCGACGGCATAACGGGCCCAGATTTCTGCCCACGAATACAGACTGCCTCCACGTGGCTGGTGGTTGGGGCCGTAGAGAGAGAAGAAGTTGGGGAAGCCTGGCATGACCATGCCGAGATATGTTCGCGCGCCGTCCTTCTTCCAAAGCTGTTCGAGCGTGATGCCGCCCTTGCCCTTGTATATAGTCGGGAAGAAGTACTTGGATGTCTTGAACCCCCCGGCCAACACAATCAAGTCGAATTCCCTCTCCTTGCCATCCTTTGTCTTAATTCCTTTTTCGGTGATGCGCTCGATGCTGTCGGTCACGAGTTCGCAGTTATCCTGCAATAGAGTATCGTAAAAACCGTTGTCCATAACCAGCCTGCGGACCAGGGGAGGGTAGGTTGGCACAAGCTTCTTGATTAATTCGGGCTTGGATGCCATCTTCTTGGTGATGAAGTTTGTCAATGCTTCTCGGACACTGTCGTTCCTCTCGTTCACTCTTCCACCCTTGGCTTCGTACTCCTTGTCCTTCACTTGAACGGCTGCGAGGTCCAAACTTCGGAAGTACGCTGCATAGCAGTACCAGTTCCAGTAGTAAGGCATGTGGTCGAACATCCAATTCAGGTCACTTGGAACGGGCGCCCGATACCCTTCGATGGTGACGATCCAATTGGGTGTTCTCTGGTAGATGGCAAGGTTCTTTGCCACTCGTCCAAGGTTTGGGATAAGTTGAGCACCTGTTGAACCAGTACCAATCACGGCAATTCGGAGGTCCTTATAATCTACTTTGTGGTCCCAAGCAGTTGTGTGGAAGATGTGACCCTTGAAATCAGTGATGCCGGGAATGTCTGGAAGGTTAGGCGTGCTGAAGAGCCCAGTCGCGCTGATCACCGAGTTGGCCGTCACAGTTTCTTCCTCGCCGGTCAGCTTACTCTTCAGGGTGACCTTCCATGTTGATGAAGATTCATCCCAAGTAGAAGCAATGACCTCTTTGTTGAACTGGAAGTCTTTCAGTATGTCGTGCTTCGAAGCGACATGCTTCAAGTAGACCAAAGTATCTTGTCGCGCAGCGAAGAACTCCGGCCACTTGTAGTTTTTCTCGAACTTGTATTGGAACAAGTAGCTGAGTGTGTCGACACGGCATTCGGGGTAGGTATTCCAGAGCCATGTTCCCCCGAGCGTCTCTTGCCTATCAATCACGGTGTATGGGATCCCTAGATTCTTCAACTGAATGGCCGCTGCTATGCCGCTGAGACCAGCACCCACGACGAGGACCTTGTAATCGGCCAGCTTCTCCTTTGGTGGTGGTGCCTTCGCCCACTCGACTCCGCGAGGGAATGTGTCAAATGATAGCTCTTCGTAACCAGGGAGGACATCATTCTCCTCGATCATGCGCCCACCAAACAGATTCATGAGCTTGTTCGCCTCCGCAACCGACGGTGGAGGTGGTTCCTCATGGGGGCCGGATTTGAGGAACGCGACGGCTTTCTCGCGGACAATCCTCTCGTCTTCTGCACTCAGTACGTAGTCGAAAAGTACACCGCCTCGAATTTTCTCTTTCGTAATTTTCATCGTGGCCAGCTCAGGGTCGGCTGTGATCTGGTATAGCGCCATTCGGAGAGGATTGATTGCGGCCTTGTCCACTGCATTGCGGATGACAGTTTCTTCTTCTGTGAAGCCATTTACAGCACCGTTCGCTTTCGCCTCTCCATCCTCGGGGTATCCTCGCTCCCCATGTAGGACTGCGTCCTCGATGCCGTTGACCATGATGTCGTTGTTTCCTTCTCGAGTCTGTCGGTAGCGATGTAAGAGACTTTTGCGGATGGCAGTTGGAGGTCTTCAGGGCTTTAGATGCGTAAAGCGTGAATAGAATGAAGAGGATGTGAATTCTATTGTTCCATACTCCTACAACGGTCTCTCATCGTCTTCGTAAACACAATTAGGTTTATGTTGACGTCTACGTCTATCCAGAACTCTTCAACCCCGGAACCTACGGAAAACAATCGGAGCCCAACGTACCTTGGTAAAGGTTCGCAAGATAATCGCTGAATGGTCTGTTAGTGCGGCAATGCGGCAATGGGTGTCGGTCGGAAGCCGGAATGGCTCTAGTGCGGGGAATCGGCCCCTTGCGGGGTTCAGAGCCTCGAACTGAGAATCTGAGAAGTTGCGAAAGGCTTCAATGTCAGGAGACCTATCGACCAAGTGTCAGACCATCTAGACTCCTCTGCCGCGTTATCCGTGGGTAGGTTGAGAATTTATGTGTTTTGCGGAAGGGTGAGGGCGGAACCTTGAGATATATTCCAGGTGGCATTAATGGGTCAGTGAGGTCTTTGAAATAAGCTCGTTAAGCGAAAGCGACAGGGTTCGTATGTATTATCTATTACATTGCTGATCACCATTTTTTCAACCTTGTTTGGTATGGTTCAGCGTCGTACAGAAACATATGAAGAATCTCATTCTTCTCCGTACACGAACCCTTCCAAGACTCCCTTTTGCAATCAATCGCCTTCTCTGGATTCGTCTAGATTTCTGCTATCTTAAACTTTCGATGTCTAGAGACATCTTCGTGGCTCCACATGAAATACATATACTCTCTAATGTTATCACGATTCACTTTAGTAGACGCTGGACAGAGTCACTGATCCTGATCATCTGTGTCATCTCGAGAAGTTTTCATGTAGCAACTCAAGTACAATGAATTCTGCTGTGATGCCCTTGCTATTACAACGGCAGACCAGCATTAGCAACCCTATTACACCATAGGATTAATATGTCTCAACCCCTCCGGCGTCAAATGCTTCTTCAGCGAGTATTCTGTGTCCTCCACTGTGGTCACTTGCTTCTCCTTCTCGTGCTCGCTGCCGTGTGAAATACTCCCTCCAGCTATTCCTGCCCGTTCGTAATGAGCTACCAAGTCGTCGTCACCGAAGATACGAGCTACTTCCTCCAAGGGCTTGCCCAACGTATCCGGGAAGTAGAGATACATGATGATGGATGATGCGACGCAGCAGCAGATAAACACCATATAAAACTTCCAGTGAATGGTACGGAAAGCTATTGGCGAAACCTGCGTCCACATGATATTGATCAAGCTGTAGGAAGCCACGCAGAGAGTGGCGCCCTTGGAGCGGAGATGCGTAGGGAAGATCTCGTTGGCCTGGCACAAAACGTCAGAACATACTTGCCGACATTGATGGGAGATTCACTACAAAATTCACTTACGTAGAAGTAACCTGGCCCATCAAGGAAAATGCCATATAGGAAGATGTAGATATACAAGAAAGCTACACCAGCGGCAAGACCAGACTTGTTTGTGGTGCCGACGTATAGAGATGTCATGGCTGCCTCCCCGGCTAAAGGAACAGCAACCGCGATCATACCAACGGCTAAGATGATATTTCGTGGTATACGGTCCACGACGAAAAGGGAGACAGTTAGCGCGGAAATAGAGCACAAAATAATACCCGCCTGGAATTGTAGGGTTTGTGCTGGCTTATATCCCAACTCGGCGAAGAGGGTCGGCCCGTAATCTATAAACGTCAGGTATTGTATTTGATTGCGGCATATAGATATGAAAGATGCTCACTGGAGATTGTTAAAGTCCCAGAGCTGTAGATGAATGTCAAGAGAGAGCAAGCAATATAAGCGCGCTTGCGATACGATGGTCGTGTGACTAAGATCTTCCAGGATGAATCCAGCTGGCTATCAAGCTCGATCTGTCTCTGCATCTGCTGGAACTCTTCCTTTGCATAGTCGCCTTCGGGGTCGTCGGATGAACGATGCAGGCTCTCCACAATCTTCCATGCTCTCTCCGATTGACCCTTAACAAGCAGCCACCTTGGGCTTTCAGGCACCCAAGGCATGAAACTCAAGGTAATCAGGGGAGGGAGGCATGCGAAGGCCAAAGGCGCACGCCATTGGTTGCCCGAGCCATTCTGGTAGTAAAAGAATCCAACGCCCACGTAAGAAGCGATTAGGTATCCAAAAACGGCCATTAGTCCATGGATGTTGCCAAAGACACCGCGGCCTCCAGGAGGAACGACTTCAATAATCCAGAGAGGTACAGAGATCAAAAGCATGAGGCAACTGCGTACATGCCACATTAGCCAGGGTACGTGGTTTTGGAGTTTTTGCATCTTACCTCCAGCCAGTGCAGAACCGGAATACTATAAACATCGCAACATGCACAGATCCAGCACAGAGAGCCGCAGCTATTACCATGATTACACAAGCTGTCATTATAGAGGTCTTTCTTCCGAAACGATCCGCATACCACGCGTTGAAGACCGAACCGAAGAAGCCGCCAGCGTAGAAAAGTGAATTCATAGCGCCTGTAATTTTCGCAGTGTTTGGATTCGTGGTTGTCAGGTTCATATATATTTTGAATGACGGTTGACCTGCATTTGTCAGACATACGATCCAATACACGAATTTCCGAATTTACTTACCAAGTGTAGTGGCAATGATTGCAGAAGCAAAGCCAAACGCAGTACTTCCCCAGCATACGCCAAACACGATCAGAACTAGGCGTTTTTGGAAATGACTACGCCTTTTCTCATCTTTGGGAGCCTCCATTGTGAGTGGGGTATTGCAGAATGCGAACCGTAAGATTCGTAAAAAGATGGAATCGAGGCTATACTAGCGGACCCTAGAATATATGCATACTCGCTTCTCGGTTATATATTGCTGTAGTATCCCCGCATGTTTGCTTCCTTTGTTGTTTGCTGGCCCACAATGCCGGAATTCAAGAACCATTCCAGCTCGCAAGTGGGGTGTAGCGTGACCAATGAACGACGCGTTGTGACACTGGTGCCATTATTCTCGGATAGGCGACACGTCAAATGCTTTTTGAGAAGCAGAAGAAGAACGCAGCATATAGGAAGTATTTTCAAAAGGGTGAAGGAGGATGAAATGAAACACCAAGTCTCATGTGAACATATGCATGAGAATGCTTGTTTATACCACAAAAGCTGACACAGACACATGTTATTAGACCAATTCCGGCACTAGCGATGACTATCTTGCATTCGGAATTTCGCAATGTCACTCTTCAATTGCTGATGGAAACGAAATTTGAACTGGTCCACGTGGTAAGGTACTCTCCTGCCTCTCCTCATTCGTGCCCAAGTAGGTAAACCGCAGTACCCCTCCTTCAGCCACCAAAGCATTGGCAACTCATTTTTACGGAGGTTCCCCGAAAGAAACCTCAAAATGTCTCTCTCAAAGCAGCAAGCTGAGATAAAGCAGCGATTCATTGACCAGCGAGGTATCTGGGACGAGAACTGGGAAGCCATCCTCAAGCTCAATCCGGCATACCTGTCCGTCTACATCAACCTCCGTGATGCGTCCCAAAAGAAACAGCGGCTATCTCCCAAGGTGCAGGAATTCATCTACATCGCTGTTGCGGCCTCTACAACCACCATCCATGAAACTGCGGTCAAAGCCCACATCTCCGCCGCTATCAAATGCGGTGCCACTGCCGACGAGATCTTCGAAGTCATTGGCCTTACATACCTCGTCGGCATCCACACCGTCACGCTCGGGGCACCTATACTCATTGATTTGATGGAAGAGCTGGGGATTGAGGGATCGAAGTCCGAGCAGCTGAACGCGGAGAGGGAGCGCATACGACAGGACTTCATCCGGCAGCGCGGATTTTGGCCTGAAACTTTCAATCCCCTCCTGGAACTTGATCCACACTATTTCGAAGCCTATACCGATTTCTCGGGCCTGCCATCGAAAACAAATGTGCTAGAACCGAAAGTGCGGGAGATCGTGACTTGTGCTTTTGATGCGGCGACGACACATTTGTATGGACGCGGGACCAAGATCCATATGCGCAATGCGCTGAAGCTAGGTGCGACGCCCGATGAGATCATGGAAATGTTGGAGATCACGAGCTTGATGGGCATCGATGGAGTGACGTCCGCAGCGCCAATCTTAGCTGCAGCGGCTAGTGCTGCTACGAATGGCAACGCTTCCTAATTAGACTCAAGATATGGCGGTGGGAATCATATAGATTTAGATGAGAGCATTATGATGACTCTATGCGTTGAGATTGGCTTCGTGTTCATTCGAAAAGCACCTGCAAAAGTTCACTAATCGCCATGAGGTTTCAGGTAAGATGGAACTGGGGAAGAAACCTCAGTGAAATGCTTTTGAATTTCCATACCGAGATGCCGCTCAGATTCATCCTAAACTACTTCATCGAGGCCTTGATTATACAGAGTTCTCATGTACTCTACCATAGAGACCTGCTTTTCCGAAACCACTGTCCCATTTTTCCTTGTAAACGTTGCCACAGTGTCCGCAATATAGCTATGCACCAGGATGGTCCCACCTCTGCGAATCCAAGTATAGTAATACCGTCCATAAGCCGTGACAGTAGCGTCCAGCGTACCCAGTTCCGTGATTGACGTAATCTTCCACTTCGACGGATTGATCTGGTTCGTTTTGGGATCGAACCAGCTATTCAGAGCATTAATTTGCGCATACAACGGCTCCTCAACAATTATCGTCTGATTGTCTATGTTGATGAACATCTGAATAGACTGGGTATCGTTTCCGATATCGGTCCCCATGGTCCAGAATGAGAACTGCTTGCCCCAGCTGTTGAACCACGGACTTCCGCGGCCACCCATGTACTGAAGCCGAGCCGGAACCACTCCGGCAGTGATGATGCGCTCGTGGATAGCATAACCCTCAGAGATGGTGTACGTGATGTTGTTCGCAGTGACAGTACCACTGGCCTTGAGGTGAAGGATGCCACCAGCTCCGCCTCCCTCACTGTTGACTTCAGTGAACGGTCCGATTTGGTAGAAAAGGTCGGACCACTGCACGAGATCGAGATTAACTTCAATGCCGCCATGCTCTCCTCGTGCCTTATAGTAAGGGGGACTGGACGCCAGTTCGCGACCATCTAGCTTCCACGTAACCTCGTCCTTGGTTTCATTCCATTGCAAAGATCCGGGCGAATAGTAGTCGTCGAGGTTCTGGCCTTTATTCAGGAAAGGAGTATTATGCATGATCTCTTTTTCAGGCCCAGTATAATTGGTGACGAGAAGTGCAGACTGTGAAATGTCGCAGTCAATCACCGTGTCGGTGCCTACCTGGCGATATAGGAACAGCCAGAGCAGGAGGTCCTCCTCGGAATCGGTCCTGGCACGAACAACGTAGCCAAAGTCGCTGAAAAGGTCTTTGGTGTAGTTATCAGGCACAATGGGGCCATCCTGGGGGACTTCGAACCCAGGCGCGAGAAGATTAGTGTAACTGGGAGGCGCCGGGATGCATAATGAGCTAGCGAGAAGGGCCGCGGTGCTGGTTGATGCAAGTAGCTGGCCAGGCGGAGTATACGTTGGAGTAGGAAACAATAAGGACATGATGAAAGATTAAAGCCCCCCTGAGTACAGTGAGTTACAATTGCTTAAAGTCTCATTCACTTGCGCTTTTATATACTCCTCACGTCGATGCCGACAATCCCGGAACTTGACAAACTCTGCTCGCATACCCGGCATAGCTTCATCGTTTGCAATAGCTTCTAGCACAAATCTGGGGAAACGCGGGGATTTCTGGGGAAGAGCCAAGACAAGGTTCCGTTACTGCATCATTTTCAAGGACTTTTGCATGGATCACCTTCACCGCTACAAGCTTGGCAGGTGCGGACATGGTGGAGACCTTTTTCCTGGACCCCCGGAAGTCGGTACATACATTATGTAATACTTTGCCAAGACAGTGCATGTAAATCGCTGTTTTCTTACTGAAAACATACGCGGGGTGGTCGTGGTGGGGCGTGAGGAGCTTCCAGTGACGTTCCGAGAATGTTCCGCCCAGAAACGCCACCTCGAACATCGAGATGTAGTCAATTCGTTCAAAACCGGGCAACAAGAGATCGAGATAGCAAAAGCGTACCATCAAAGCGCTATTTCTTTACGTACTTGAGTACTCACCCGACGCGTGCCACGCTCTCAGGTTCGAAAGTAATACTCTTGACATCACCCACAAATCAAGCCGAATCCCGGAAGTCAGCCACAATAGCCAGAATCGAATCAAGATGGGAGAAGAAAAGATCGTTAGTTCCGCAATGGAGGAGGTCTTGGACATCATCCCCCCTCCAGAAGTCTCCCTCGAATCCCAAGGAAAGGCGCCTGGCCGCGACCGTCTCATCGGGAAGCGTATTCTGGTCGTCGGCGGCGGCCAATCAGTCAACACCTTCGACGACAACCCACCTATCGGCAATGGACGTGCATCCTGCGTGCTCATGGCACGTGAGGGGGCCACAGTAGTAGTAGCGGACCTTTCCGCAGAAGCCGCCCAAGGCACCGTCGACATAATCGAGAAAGAAGGAGTCGGAAAGGCTCACATGGTCATCGGAGATGTCTCGACACCAGAAGGCTGCTCGGGTATCATTCAAGATTCGTTGAAGGCCTTGGACGGGCAGTTGGATGGGTTAGTGATCGGCGTTGGAATTGTGGGAGCCGGCGCGTCGATACCGCACTACTCTGCCGCCTACTGGGACCGAGTGATGAATATCAATGTCCGCTCGCACTTCTTGATACTCCAAGAAGCGCTGCCGTATATCGAGAAGCAACCTGCGGGTGGATCGGTGGTGTCAATCAGCTCCATCTCGCAATACCTGCCTGCTTCGACGGAGCCTGCGTACAACGCATCGAAGGCAGCGCTTTCGATCCTCATCAAGAATGTAGCGTATCAATTCGCTCCTCGTGTGAGGGTGAATACGGTCGTGCCTGGGTTAATTGATACGCCTATGGGGCGAAGTTCAGGAACGAAGATCAAGGGTCGTAACGCGAGTGCTGTACCACTGGCACGGCAAGGATCGGGCTGGGATATAGGGTATGCCGTTACGTTTCTAATGAGTGGAGAAAGCTCGTTCATAACCGCAACGGATATGATTGTGGATGGTGGTTATGTCGGTATGGGAAGTAAGACAGCGAAGAAGCCAAATCAAGAGACAGGGGTATCGTAGGGCTTTGTTACCCCCTGAATCAATTTCAAGTTTGATGCGTGTCTTTCTTGGGGACACTAATCGCGTACGCTCATACTATTCTACATACCCCCTGAACTATCTATAGCCTCCATCAGCAGCCAAATATGTCGCAGTGACGAAGCTCGATCTCCCACTCGTTAAGAACATGATGCAATGCGCAATCTCATCTGACTGCCCAACTCGTTTCATAGCAATCTCTCTCATCCTGGCTTCTTGTCTCTCTTTCGCAATATCACCTTGAGGCAATTTGCCCAATATTGGAGTCTCAATAGTCCTGCCGTCGTGAGCTGCGTTCCTCACACTCCTATAAAAGTGAGTTGTGCTTACCCTGGACATAACGCGTTCACTCGAATACCATCGGTAGCAAACTTCAGGCCATCCTAGAGGTATGATCAGCTCTTAATATAACAGTTGGCGACATATAGCTTACGGATTTGGAAAGCCCCACGACCCCATGCTTGCTTGCTGAATAGCACGGGAGGTCTCCATTGCCTTTCAGGCCAGCTTGTGACGCTACGTTTACTATGGCACCTCGTGCCGGATATGGGGAATTCCTGTGGAGGGTCGGAACATGCGTTAACTTCACTCCTGCAGACATCCTAAGTGGTTGCTTCGGGGGGTAATTCTTACTTGCTGATTAAAGGCTCCTGCTTCAACATCTGCTTAATGACTGCCTTCGAGCAGAAAAATACTCCTCTCAGATTCACTTGAAGCACCAAGTCCCAGTCTTCCTCGCTTAGTATCGTAGTATTTCCATATTTGACAATTCCAGCCACGTTAGCAAGATAGTCGATTCTCCCAAACTCTGCTACGGCCTCGTCGACCATATTTTGGACGGATTCCAGGCTACGGACGTCAAGAGTGATGGCCTTGACTTTGGCATCTGGGTACTTTTCTTGAATCTCTTTCTGGGTAGTCTGGAGGAGTTCGGCATTAACGTCGGCAATTACGATGCGTTTGCAGCCTTCGATGGCGTAGCGGATGGCGGTTGCTTTTCCGATGCCTGAAAACCACAATTATAAAAGTGCATGGGTTATTCTTTGGTTAGGGGATGTACCAGAAGCTCCTCCGGTCACTAACGCCACTCCAGGAAAGTCCATGGTGAGATATTTGGGCTTGGAGCAAAATTCGGATTCGAAGGGTTTTGTTGACGCACGGAGACTAAGAATAATCTTTGATGTGCATTGAACGAGCACAGTTCCCTTAAGTATAATGTCAAAATCACAAGTCCTATTGTTCCGCCCTCTCGCTCGGAATTTGATCTATCGGAATAACTCCCTATGGGGAAGTGCGAAATATTACTGCATATTGCTTCTGAGTATTAACTCGTGGTACCTGATTCACTTTGACTATCAGCCGCGACACTATACCATGCGAATTTATCGTTCAAGAATACATATTTAGGCAGTAAATTGGAAGCGCCTCTTCTTTGTGATAAAATGATAGCTTAATCACCAATCATACATCCAAGAATAAGAACTCCTTCCCGCTCCGCCTCAAAGTAAACCTGGCACAGTGACCGAATGCGCTACACCCCCTGGCGCATGCTCCTCCGGGTTGATGACCGGCGGGATATTGACTTTATCAAGATAATCCGTCGTCACCCTATCCTCATGCTGCGCAAGCGTATGCCCATTACCCAGCCACGAGTACTCATTACCTATAATTTCAGGCAACAAGTCGTAGTTGAAGTCCTCCCACCTCGGATTCTCAAACGCCACGGTAGCATGGATACACGACCCAGACCAGAGCGTCACGACCCGGCCATCCTCTTTACCGCGCTTCATCCATGACTTGCACGGCTGCGTGTAGATGGTCTTGGTGAAGTACTTGTCGAGATGGTTGCTGAACTGCTTGTTGGCCCGCGGGCTGATGACGATGGACTTGATGTACTCGCGCTGCAGCTTTTGCACCACTTTAATCATGTACTCGCACGCACACTCGACGAGATGGATCAAGCTGCCGGTGCCAGGACCACCATTGGGACCGAGGAAGCGCATGTGGTTGGGCATTTTCGGTGGGAAGATGCCGAAGTAGCACTCTGGGGTAGGATTCCATACATCATCGAGGGAGACGCCGTCTTCGCCGATGATGGGGAGAGGCTGTCGCAGTGTGGTGTCGAAGCCAGTAGCGCAGATGATGGTGTCGACTTTGCGGAGCTTACCATCAACGGTCTCAATGCCTTCGGGCACGATCTTCTTGATCTTGGTGTTGATGAACTCTACGTTATCTTCTAGCAAAGCTTCGAGATACCCGGGGCCGGGAGTGAGACGCCGGCAGCCTGGCGGGAAAGCGGGCTCAAGAGCAGCCATTATCTCAGGCTTCTTCTCCAACTTCTTGGCCATTGCTTCGCGATTGATGATTTGGAACTCCTTCTGGGAAGGTGTGCCGAAGAGGGTGATCAAAGAGGCTTCATTGACCATGGCCTCGATGTGATGCCTGTACTTCAGGTACTCTTTAGGGTCTTTCCTCCATTTCTCGAGCTCTTCTTCTGTATGCTTAACTGCAATTCTTGTAAGTTTCCAAAAGCCATGCAAAATCAAAACTGAGCACTTACAATTCCCAGTAGCTCCCCGAAGTTTGAGTTCCTGACTGCCGAAGCCAATGGGCGAGATCCAGGTCTTGCCGGACATGTAGTGATCTACCCTTTTCGCAATGGGCTGGATAGTCGGGAGAATCTGGATCCCCGAGGAGCCAGCACCAATGAGGGCAACGTCCTTATCTTTCAGTGGCGTATCTTCCTCCCAGTTTGCTGAATGCACGAGTTTTCCTTTGAAGTCTTTTAGTCCCTCAATGGTCGGCCACTGCCATTTGTTGAGAATTCCGGTCGCGCTGAGGTAGATATCACAAGTGTCGATGAAAGTCTAGAGATTCATTAGCAAAAGTCCGAACGAAAACTGGAATCCTTACAGTGCCGGTTGTCGTATCTTCAAGGGTAACATGCCACTTCCCCTCGTCTGCTTTCCAGGTGGCGCCTTTGAGAGTGTGATTGAACTTCATGTATCGGTACGCGCCATACTTCCGAGCTGTGCGCTGAAGATACGCCTGAATCTCGCCACCAGTTGAATAATATTCACTCCATTGATTGTTGTTTTCGAAGGTGTACTGGTAGCTGTGGCTGGGGATATCGCATCGAACACCGGGGTATCTGGATATCGAAGTCAGCTCAAGTGATTGGAAAAAGTGACTTTTGTGGATTCGCGCACCTGTTCTCAAACCAAGTCCCTCCAACGTTGGCGTTCTTCTCGTAAACGGTCAAAGTAAGGTTCTGTATCTTTTGCGGAAATCGGATCGCAGTCAAGATGCCAGAAATACCGGCACCAATACAGATGACTTTGATGGGCCTGTAGTCGTCGATGCAGTGCTCGAAAAGCGGTGGCAGGCCGTCAAAAGTTCCGGTTGATCCCATGTTGAACAAAGTCGACTTGGTCTTTAATACTGCGGTTCGAGGAGCTCCAAGATGCAATTGCGAGTTTTTCAAAGATGCTTAGGCAGGATTGCGATTCTCCGCGATGAACTTCAGCCCTTTATCCCTCTCAGGTCTTCGAATGTTGGAGAGCTCGACGATAGATTTCCAGTTAGCCATTCGGGGCCTCGGTTGCCGATTAACCGTCTTTCGGAATTCAGCATTTCCAGGATTGGTTCGAACCACTGGCTTGTATAGAAAAGCGTGACGGACAGGGGCAATTCCGGCGTTGCGGGGTAGGAGGAGCTTTTGTGAGGGGCAAAGTTTGCCCTCCATCCCTATCGATAAACTAAACAATAGCATTATTGCATCACGAGATATCCAAATTCGTTCTACGATTGCGAGTATCGAGGCTTTGCACTGGTTCTCAGTTTTGACGAAGTATCCAAAATGTCGTCGAATGTTGCACTTCACGTGAGGATGAAGCTCCAACCTGGGAAACGGGACGGGGTATGGACGTTAACCTCTTGAATGCCCATATATTGACTGAATGCTTCAAAGTTGATTGAGATATTGCGCCCAATAGAGAAGAAAGCACGAGAGGATCCAGGAACTTTAGCATACTTCATTGCAATTCCAGCACAGGGAGATGACGGCACCCAGATTGCCATGTTTGAAATGTATGTTCCGTCGATCCTCTAAACACTGCACATACCACTAAACATACCATAGCTACGAGGATCTAGCAGCATGCGATGCTCATGCCGCACTGCCAGAAGTAGATCCATTAAGAAAATCGCTCCCAGATCTCCTGGCAGAGAAGCCCCTCTCACTCCGCTGCAAACCATTCGGCAAGGGCTTCATACGCTCAGGTATCTCAGAAGAGGCCGCGGACGCCGGCTTGACCATCATGATCCGCATGACCTGGGCCGAGGGCACTGACATGGCACAAGTCGAATCGAACTTCGAGGATCTGATTGCTCACAGCGAAACAGAGCCTCAGACATTTGCGTATCACTATGCTACCAGCGACGAGACCCCGAACACCTTGTACGCGTTTGAGCAGTTCGAGTCGGGGCAGTTCTGCATGGAAACGCATATGAAGTCAGATCAGTTCATCAAAACTCAAAGCTATGCTTCAGATGCACTGACGCCTGATCCATTGTTTGCGAAGAGGGTACTTGGGTTTTCAAGGAAGTGAAAGGTCCATATAAAACAGCTGCAGTTATTTTGACTATCCAATTCAGCTTTTGATTGCGCTGTAATGTTCGTAGCCTATGTCTGTCTTGGCTGTGAGACAAAGTACCTTGCCGAACAAGTACCATTTCAGCCAATTAACGTGAATACCGGCCTGGGCCAAAAGGCCCGAATATTGATTGGCTGCAGTAGCCCTCCTCCTTGCAGCTCGGGAATCGGTTGAGCTATAAACGAGGTCCGCGACCTCAATACCGCGCCTTTCTCTGCCTTGCTATTCACATACCTAAAATAAACACTACCACGACTTTGCAACCTTCGCAGCCATCACGCCACACTAGGACCACTCTTAGACACAGCTGGAACCGTAGAATTCGGTTACAACGGCTTTCACCCACCACACTCGTGACCCCGCAGCCACATCTTTCCGCACGCTTTTCCGCCCTCCGCGTTGTACACGATACGACAAGCTTTAAGGTGGAGTCTAGGCTGTTATTTGCGGATCTGAACCGGCAGCAGATGAAAGTAATTGCCTCCAGATCTCACACCACCAATTTCCTCCCACTGGCCACTCTCTTTCCAAGTAGCGAACCATCATGCCCCTCCAAGTCCCCAAATACTGTGACCTCCCCGTAAAACCCGACGCACCTCCCGGCTCCGCATGGGGCGTCTTCGACAAGGACGGGACACGCGACGTATACGGGACCCTGAATTTCATAACGTCTGAAGCTGTGGTGGCGGCAAAAGAAGAGATTCAAATCGGAGAGTCCGTGGTGCTCAAGTATGACACCCACTTTACGAATCCTCCCATATGCTAATCTCATCCCCAAAAGTCTCCCCTTCCACCTCCCCCACGTGCCCTGCGGCGCCGAAATCCGCAAGAAGTCCACGCACCATGTGCTGACCAAGAACTTCGGCATGTACTGCCTCGACGACGAAGTGAGCTTCAACACGCAGAGCTCGAGCCAATGGGACGGATTGTGTGCGACATCTACCCAGCTACCCCTTTCCCCGGCTAACGGATGGCAGTGCATTACGCGCACCAGGAGCGCCAGGAGTTCTACAACGGCGTCAAGTACGCTGATGTCGCCGAAACACAGACAGATGTGACGCTTGGGGTACAAGGTTTGCGAGGCTTCTTTTTCGCACACTCCAAACATCTCCTACTTGAGTTCTTTTAAAATTGAAGAAGGAGGCTGATATACGTAGCATGGTGCGACCGCGGTGGCATCGTCGGCCGCGGCCTTCTTCTCGACTTCGTGCGCTATGCAGCCAAACACAACATCGCCTACGACGCGCTGACCAACTACGCCATCACCCTCGCCCAAATCAAAGACATGATTGCGGACGCGAAGCTAGAGATCCGGCAAGGCGATATCCTGATGATCCGCAGCGGGCTTAGCAAATGGATCCGCTCGTCGACCCCCGAGAACGGGGACCCGTGGGTAGGGAACAAGCATATTGGCGTGGACGCGACGGCGGAGCTGGTCGAGTGGGTGTGGGATCAGAACCTCGCGGCTGTGGCGGGGGATGCGGTGGCGTTTGAGGCGTGTCCGTGTCCGGATGGGAGCTGTGAGTCGAAAGCCCTTGATGATGCCTTGAGGGTTTCTTGATGAATGCTGACGAGGACGTAGTTATGCGACTGCATCAGGCAGCACTGGCGGGCTGGGGGATGCCGATTGGCGAGCTTTTTGATCTGGAGAAGTTAGCAGAGGTGTGTGAGAGGGAAGGGCGCTGGAGCTTCTTCGTGACGGTTTGCCCGCTGAATGTGACTGGAGGGGTGGCTACGATGTGCAATACGTTGGCTATCCTGTAACTGAGAATCTTGAGGGCGCAATTTTCCAACCCGTGTAGAATAGAACATGAGTAGAATACTTGTTGGTTTCTAAAGGTCCTTCTAAGCAATAGTAAAATGACGAAGTCTAAAGTACTGTACAACACACGATGAGTGGGGGTATCAACAAGGCCTTGAAACATTCCAGCGCTTACGACAGGTTGTAAGGCGTCTTATATCAAGAAACTCACATAACACAACACTGCCTCCCTCCCCCAACCGCCTCTCCCAAATCCGCCCCATCTGCATCCACCGGTTCATAACAGCCACCAAGAGCCCTTTGCTGGACAACCATTGCCGCAATCCTCCGAATCCGGTTCAATCTCCCCTTCAACCACCTCGCCATATCCGTCCACCGCGCATCCTCAAAGTCCGTTTGGTAGTCCGCGAGCAATTGCTCCACCACAACCCTATCTACCGCGTCCGTCGAGGCCCCCCACAACGAGACGAGGCATAGTGGCATATACCCAGCTGCCAAAGGTCTATACGGGTTTGCTTCTTCCGCGAGCAACAAAATGTCCCTGTGGAACATGGCCGCGTCTTCGCCTAGCGCTACATCATAGGGATCAAACGCGCGCAGTGCAGCGTTCAAGATTACTGTTAAGGCCGCAATGGTCCCGTAGAGCGCTTGCGCTTGCGCGTGAAACTTCCCCGGCAGCGCAGCGAGCCTCGTCTGTGCGCTATGTAACTTAGGCAAATCAATGAGGATGTCGCGGTACAACGTCTTCATTTCGAGAAAGTGGGTAAGGGGGTCCCGGAGGTAGGTTGGGATCTTGGCTAGCTTGTAGAGACTGATGTTTTCGTTGGGCCGTGGGGGCCCGTAGGCCATTGTGAGGGTCCATAGGAGGGTGTCGAGACGGATTCGGGGGTTGTCAAAGCTTTCGGCGATCAGGACGACGCAGAGCGCGAGGAGCATTTCTTTCTCGAAAGTGCCGCGCCAGTCTTCGAAGGCGGCTTCGTTGAGCAGGTGGGTGACGGCTTCGCCGTGGCCCATGAACTGGTCGTCGCGTTGGCCGATCCAGCCCTGGATGGGACGTCAGTGGAGTGTTTCGAGGGATATGGGCAAGTGGGAGCTGACTTGGCATATCATTATGAGGTAGATGGCACATAGTGTATTTGGCGTCTGGGACTTATCGTGTTCATTTAAGCAGATCCTTAGCGTTTTCAGCGCATCAACATATGCATCGTACAACTCCCACGACTGCCGCCGCGTGTGGATCGACCGATGAGCAATCGTGACAGCCTTTACAGAAGCATCCAAGGCACTATTCGAACCTAGCCGACTCGGAATATCTCTAAGAAAAGTCCCAAAATAGGTTAGGTCAAACCGCAGGTCCGTTACCTCCAGCACGGAGACGAACGCACTGGCTGCCGTCGTCGTCACGCTGCTGCTGGGACTCCGTGGGATCTCGCTGACCGTAGTAACAGGCCGCTGGACCGTCTTGGGTCGTGTAGATCCTAAAATGACCATCTGCTGGTGGAATTTGAAACGGCGCTCCCCGGAGCCGATGCAGGTGAGTTGGAGGCGTCTGCACCGCGAGCATGTGGGCTTTATCTGGTCGCACTACAACGCAATCAGTCGATGAATACGCTAACTTGCTTTTGGGATTATACGCCGCTGGAACCTTTTTCTTTTGCTTGCGACAACCATCACACCCTCGGCCTGAGGGGACGCCTGGCATGTTAAGCGCAGCGTTTTGCCTAATTAAGAAATTTCGTATGCGTTATGAATCAGGGGCGGGCTTTGACACGCAATACAACATAACACGTGAGACCCGTTGATTTGAGAAAATGTTGATGACATAGAAAAGAAGAGCGGCGCCCGGTTTTTGAGCGTCCTGAGGATGCAATGGGAGTTCGCCCTACTAAGAATAGAAGCTCCCTATAGTATACCGTAGAGCGCTGCATGACGCCTATTGCGGCATAGTTCGCGACGATCTGCATACTACATCAGTGGAGGTTTAGAAGTCCGGGGCGCAGCAAGAACAACAAAGAAATTTAACTCTTGGGAGCTGACACCGCCATACGAAAATTACTAATAAAAGTAGGTTCCTGCGAGCTGCATACTTCTTGGAACAATTTCCATGCAAGGGCGCGGTAAGGCTGCACCAGTAGTAGGTATTTACTGGATTGTAAGACGTAGTGAAAGTAATAAAGTAGAATGGACCGTGCCAACGAGCCACCGTGAAGATCCGGAATCCCCGAAGTATTCTAGAGACTTGCAAGTCGTACAATGCTTGGATTACGTCATATCCACTACCAGATAGTCAGTGTAAGCAGTAGAAAGACGTATATACATATACGATGAAGAAACTCAATTTCAACGACGACATCACCTTTCAATTCCACCATCAAAGTCCAACTATACCTCTCTCGAGAATAACACGCCTCCCATCACACTATCCACCATGAGCAGTCTCAAATCCCGCCTCTTCTCCAGCATCTCCTCAATCCAACCCCCCAGCAACCCCCCCTCGCGCGTGCTCTCCGTCCGCACATCGCCGAAAGACGCAAACATCACACTCATCCACCATGCCGGCGACCCAATCAGCGCACCACTTCTCTACTCCATCGTCACCCTCGAAGGCACAAAACGCAACCTCCTCGTCTACCGCGGCATCCCCCACCCGCACCCCAGCAGCATGATCGGCAACGCAAACTTCCACTCTCTCACTTCTACCACCGACCTCAACTTGCGCGGCGAACCGATCCGCATGAAGATGAGCCAGCTTTCTGGGGATTTCAACCTCGAGCATTACCCGTTTGGCAAGCTGAAGTGGAAGGTTAGTAAGATGACCGGGAGCGGGTTCGAGCTGTGTACGGGTTCGGGAAGCAAGTTGGCGCGGTTGAAGTCGGCGGGGATCCCGGGGCTTGGAGAGAAGAGGCTGGAGGTGCTTGTCGCGTGTGATGAGCGGTTTGTGGAGTTAGTGGTGTTGAGCGCGATGGCGGCGAAGGCTGTAAGTAAGACGCAGATAGAGGCGGTTGCTGAGGTTGTACAGGCGGTTGCTGGGGCGTAGAAGGAAGATGGACCTTAATCTTGGCATGCGGTTTACATGTCTGTGTATGATATTAGGAGTTCGTTGGGTTTGATGCGCTGAGTTCAATGGCTTTCTGATTTTAACCTTTTGTAAGATTGAACCTGTAGCTCTTAAAGTAACAGCTTCCATACCCTAAAATTAAGCATGCATACTTGAATGAATCGTAAGTTGATATAATGATGAAATGAGAAATGTGGAAGCTGCTCTTCTCGAGGGTAAAGAAAAAAGCGTCGCCTTTCACCGTCACGCTAGCCAGCCTCGGCTCCAGAATCCAGAGGCGCTCTGCATATGATTGAATCCATGACCCAAAAGAAGTCCCGCGATCCAAAAACGTTAAATCAAGTGTCCAGCAAGCATCGTGTACATTGAAGGTGGGTGTAGACAGGGCACCGCAAAAACCACTTCATCCAAAGCCGCGGCTAAACCCCATCGGGACCACCATCATTCCGGATTCCGTCCAACACCTCCGACTTTAAAGATACAATCCACATCCTATGCACGAATCTATAATATACTCTAGTCATACACGCATCTTCCATTTCCCCCTATTCATTCAAAATCGAATCCCCAAGTCCCAATCATGTCCACCCTCCAATACGCCCACCTCTCCACCGTAAACCCCGACTTCGCACCCCTCATCCCCGGCGTCAACGCAGCGTTCAAGAAGATATGGACGTACACGACTATGGATGAGTTTCGAGGCAATTGGGGCGGCACTCGCGCCTCGTATTCGGCGTGTGTGCCTGTGGACGGCTTCAGCATTACGCACGAGATGATCCCGACACGTGATGGGACGGAAGTAGAATTGAGGGTTTGGAGGCCGGAAAGCAATATAGATGAAGTGTTACCGCTGCTGTTTGTGTGTCATGGGGGAGGTGAGAGCTCCTATGTCGCGGAGATCTGGGTAAGATTTAATGGTGTTGGCAGGGTTTGTGGTTGGCGGACACGATTCGGAGAACGCGATGGCGAGAACTGTTTGCGTGCGGAATGGTATGGCGGTCATCAGTGTTGATTTTCGAAGGTGAGATTGCTACTCGAGCGTTTTCTGGATGGTGATTGATGAGTGGTAGAGCACCAGAGCATAAGTTCCCAACTGCTTTCAACGATTGCTACGACGCGTACCACTGGGTGAGCCGTTGCAAAACCTACAGATACACTTCTTGCACTAATGGGTATCCAGATCATCAAGAACGCGACACAGCTCAAGATCGACCCGAAAAAAGTGATACTGGGCGGAAGCAGTGCTGGCGCAAGTATAGTAAGTCACTCCACTTCCCTTTCAAAACCAGGGGCTGTAACAACATAGGCCGCAAGTATTGCCATTGAGCTGCGCGAAGAAGACGCTCTCAACGGTGTGATAGGGCAGCTACTTAACATACCCGTCACATGTCATCCAAAGCAGTTTCCGCACGATAAGTACGAGTTGAACAGCTATGTCCAGAACGCGGAGGCGCCTACTATCAACGGGAACATGATGGTTTGGTTTTGGGGTAACGCTTTCCCGCTATTTTCGTCGTGTGGTGAAGATAGCTAACGGCTACGGCAAAGATCAATACTATCCCGAAGGCGGACCCGATGTACGGGCAAATCCATTGCTTGCAGCGACACACGCTGCGTTACCTCCTGCTCGTATGTTCTCTTCACAGAGCATTGGTGCGAACTTTTCCGTGCTAATGGAAGTAGTCATTCAAGTCGGTGGCATGGATCCGCTCCGGGACGAAGGACTGGCGTACGCAGAGGCGTTGAAGAACGATGGGTAAGCCAAATTTATAGAGCCACCACACCAACTCAGCTAACCACAATCAAAGTGTCGATACCACGCTGAAGGTGTACCCTGGGCTACCGCATGGCTTTGTTCTAGCGAAGGACATGGACTTTGTGACGCAGTACTATCAAGCACAGGTGGATTGGGTGGAACAGCGGTTATCATAGATCGACTCAGCTCTACAAATCGTAGGCTAGAACAACAAGTTTCTCCGATCCCGTTTGTAGACGCCATGCGACTCGAGAGCCATTACAGTATCATAAGCGCTACTCATGTTCCCCTTCGCCTCATTCACTATAGTGGTGTTCCGCACATCGTCGGTGAACCCGAGGTCCCTTAGGCTAGCCATCGTCGACTCCCACTCCGCCTCACGCTGGGAAGATTCATTCTCTTTTATGGATCGAGGGCCATCGGTACCAGTGCTCCTGGCGCTGTGTTTCGCCACCCACTCCAAGTCTCTTGAATGCTGATCCAGCGGGTAATAATGCCAAACTCCAGTACTCTTCTCAAATCTCCTATTCGGCAGATACGACCCCAAAGCGTAGTAGTTATCGCGATGATACGGGAACTCAAACGACTCCGGACCGTCCCGTCCCATAAACGCGTCCGTCTCGGTAGAGATGTCCTCCGCGGTCAGTTGGAAGACGGGCCCATCGCCTTTGAGGGTGTCATGCTTATGCGTGCGCCAGATGGTTTTCGTGGTGGTGGCGAGATGCTGCTCCAAGATGCGAGCGTACCATAGCTGGCTCTTGATAGCGTTTCTCACAATTTCGGCGTTGGAGTTCACGAGGTCTATGTTCCATTGCGGTGATTGACCGCGCGGGATCATCGAGATTGGCTTCCGTTGCGAGAGGTTCGGTTGCCAGTGTGCGAGGTCGACGACGAGACAGAGATTGTTCCATGCGAGTATACAAGTAAGACACGTGCAGATCTCGTGCTGGTTCGGGGACTTGATGTGCTGATACGGCTTCTTGTGGATATTCAGCATATCCTGACGTTTCCCGGCGAGAAGTGCGGGATGCAATTCTGGGTCCACCTGGCCTAGTGGCACGGGCTTTGGGAAGCATTTCATCAGGATGGGATACCTCCAGTCGATGATGTTTTGAGCAATGAAGTTGGCGTGGTGGGAGACGAGGCGATGTAGGGTTCTTCCGCTGCGTGACAGCTTGAAGACATCGCTCGGATGCAGGTAGCAGAGGATCTCTACAAAGATCTCGGCTGGGAGGTCTAGGAAACTGGTTGGTTGAGGAATTGCAGCAGCTTTCTTGCTCTTTTTCTGCTGTCTACGTTGCAGTCGGTCGGTTCTTTTGGAGCGGAGCTGCATAGCCTCAGTAGTGTCGATCAAAGGCTCGTCTTCATCGACGGGCGGCAGGTGTATTTTGGACATTGGCTTCATCTTATCGGTTGGCATATTTGCGTGTTGTGTCTCACCAATTCGAACAGAAACGAGGGACGGGGTGACGATTAGGCAACGGATTTCTGCGGGGACGCCTCTCCAGAGATCAGTCTTGGCATTAGACTATACCTTGATTGGCTAACTCGAAGGTATGCACAGAAACGTCGAGAAACCACATACATCATGTACACAATGGTATCAAGCTATGTCCTGTAATTGTAGAGCAACTCTCCAATCCAGGCCTCAAAAAGTGATACAGTACTAGGTCATAATTCTGGGGACACGCAATATTACTGCTCCGGCTTCGCTTTTGCTCGCTCAACACCACTGTGAAGAATACCTCAGTAGGTATTAGCTTCAACAAAAGGTAGTCTAATTTTCACCACGTTGAACTTTATATTATATTTGGAGTCCTGAAAGCCTATTAGGGTGCCCTAAGTAGTCGCAAGGAGTGCCCAAACTTATGTCTTAGTACTGTAGTGCTATTCCAATTTTCATAAGTTACTGGAGCCTTATATACAGTGTCATGGAAGCTTTAAAATAATATAGAAGCTTGGAATTTGACATCTCGTTGGCCTTCTTAGGGGGTTTTCAAACCCTTAGCTTCACACCAATCCATTACACCGCACAGTGAAGATTTCACATTCACTTGAATATCGATATCATTCTTATCCAAAAAGCGCTATCTCATAATACACAATCCTACACCCTTCTCCACTCTCTTCTGATCCCCTTAATCATCCGAATCATAATCATACTCATCGTCATTGAGCAGACTCGGGTACTGTCGACTCCGCAAATCCTGCTCCAAGCCCCCATCAGACTCCGGGTCTACGTAACCTACATCACAATTTCAGCGTCAGCAAATCCACATTTCCCTGGGGTTGGACTAGGCAGGGAAGAAGACTCACCTTTGCCTCCAAATAAGCTCAATGCAACGGGGAGGAAGATTAGCGCGTGGGTAGCTGCCCACACTACTAGCGCCAACCAGACGCGGAAGTAGTAGATCTCGAAGATCTTGCTGCGTGTGAATGCAAGCACGCACACGCCGAGGAGTTTGGTGACTGTGATACCGCTGAAGACACTCGCGCCTACATTCACGAGTGCGGTCCAGGACCTTGCGTCTCGGGCGCGGAATTTGTTTCGTGGCGCGCGCTCCATGACAGCGCGGGACGGGAAGGTGAAAGCGCGAGCGACATGAGCGCAGAACTCGACGCCGATGCCGAGGCAGATGATTAAGTTGACCAAAGAGACGGCATTGAGGGAGACACCCGCAAGAGCCATAGTGCCGATGATATCGGTGACAATCATGGCCACAGTAACAGTGACAACGAGAGCCGTCTGTATTGAGCCGAGGAGCACGGTGTTGAGGACGAAGACCATAGCCAGGCCGGAGCCGAGTAGGGTGCCGGCGACCTTGACGATGGTGGTGTATTGGTCGAAGAAGATATAGAATTTGGAGTAAGGGAACACTTCAGTCCCTGTGTTCTTGGAGATGTCAGAGGCGATGCGGCGGGCGGCAGTGTATGCCGCGATGAAGTCGCGCTGGCTGTGTAGAGGCGTGTGTGATGTCCTGAAATGAGATGCGGGAATCGTAAGCCGCTTGTCGTCGATGACGAGCGCGTTGTTATAAGGCGCCGCTCCACCGAGGGGACATTCAGCTGTTGTGGGGGCCTCGATCCAGCGGGTTAGATAAGAGATGAACTCCTCCCCTTCAGGCATCCCCGAGAGAGTGAAGTTCCAGGCGGGATCGCGCCCGTCGAAGCATGGCTTAGATCCATCAACACAGCATTCTTCGTTCGACGGTTTCAACCAGTAGAAAAAGTCGTCGATCCAATTTGCAGCCGATGCTGCGATGTACGAGACTTCCGGCCGTTTTCGCTCTTGCTCAAGTACGTTCGCTAACGACGTCTCTTGGCAAGTAGAGAATCGTGCACAAAGCTCCTGTTGGTGTACTCGTTCAGTGATGTTCAATTCCTTGGTAACAAAATAGACAGGAGGTCCGGCATCGAAGTAGTCGTAAAGATCGTTGAAATACGGAATGAGGTAAGAGTCGGTCGGGATGGCAATTCGCTGATCCAACCCAAGTTCGACCTCTGGGAATAAGCCAAGTCCAGCTGCGAAGAAACCAAGGAAGATGGTGAGAATGGCGACTTTAGCTTTCTTGCCTAAGAGGGCTGGTGCATAAACCTTCCGGATGAATCGTTGCAGACTCCCTTCTTCACCACCGGCGTAGCCCAGATAGCTAGAATCTGATCGCTTGACACGCACGCAGGGGAAGCAGTCCACACGATTTGCTTCCACGCGGGTTTGATTGAGAGACAGCACAGCCACGAACATGGTTATCTGCAAGAGAGCGTTGATGAACACAGCTCCTGCGGCGTAAGCTGCAAAATTGCGAACAGCAGGCATGGTAACCGCAGCTCCCATGGCAAAAGCCACAGTCTCGGTCAATGCAGACAGTAAGATGCTAGGTCCCATCCGGCCTAGAGCTCTCGAAACTCGTTCTGCAACGGTTCCTTCGGGATGGCTAATATTGACGCGTTCGAATTCGTGGACGATGAGGAAGATGTTATCCACTCCAACCGCAAGGACGAGGAAGGGGATGACTTCAGCGATGATCAACGTGACCTTGATGCCGGCTGCGGAAAATAGACCCACGGAGGCTGATACGGACATGAGAACGATGAGGATACCAGCAACACCGAGCATGAATTTGGACTGGACCAAGGCGGTTGACGGGTTGCCCAACACGGATTTGACCGTCAGCGTGGTGGACCCAAGGGCCAAGGAGGCATAGATGAACATGATGATGTAGCTGATGACCACGATCTTCGCATCCGTATTCGTCGATTTATTCAACTCTTGCTCTAGGCTGACTTCGGTATTGAAAGAGAGTCTCAAACCTCGGTCCCTAGCCTCTGCTTGAACAGCAAGCATTAAGCTCTTGAGACTATCCTCCCAATCCGCCGCGCGCTGTATTTCCTCAGTGCCCTCGGCGTGGTTAATGACGACCCAGGTGACAATGATAGCTTTTGCATCAATGACACTCTCGTTGTAGGCTCCAAAGAGCATTTTGGGATCCAGAGGTTGCTGGAACTCAGGTAGGCAATCCGTTGGGGTATTCGCACAATCCGAGATCTGCTTTTGCCAATTCTTTGGGTTAATGTGCGCGAAGTCTCCTTGGAAATATTGTGTAAGGGACTGCACTACGCAAGCATCCCCAGTTGGCCGGAAACAAACGTCCTGGAAGGTGTCTCCATTCTCGTAGGACCGCAAGCGCTGGACTCGATTTTCGACGTCAAACCACCATGCCAGAGTGTCGTAACTCATCACTGGCCCCGGTCCAGACTTATGAGTGTCATTGACGAGGAAGGCTTGCTCGGCGCGGAAGAATGGTCCAAAGTTATCATCGAAGAACACTTTCTCTTGCGCGGCAGCAGAGTTCGGCGCAACCCAGAGTCGCACTGGGTCTGTTTCCACAGTGAATCGCAACCACCCCAAGCTCATCAGTACGACGACGAGAAAGCTAGTGACGATAGTAATGGCCGGGTAGCGAGCGCAGACATAGCCGAGTTTGCTGAAGGCCTTGTCGAGAGCAGTGTTGAGGAAGTAATGTTTCGTCGGCCTATCCATCATCGAGACGTTATGTACCATATCTCCCTCATCCTCATCATCGCTTGGGTCTAAATCTTGGAGCAGCCGTAATCGTTCGGCCTTGTGCCTCGAGTGCTTCGCGTACCAGACGTGGCCAGAAACGGCAATGACAAGAAGACCGATGAAGACGGAGTAGACAATGACTACGGCGAATGACAGACATGGCAGGAGCCCAACGTAACATGCCTTATTTGCGGTAACCTCAGGTAGATCCAGGCAAGATCCGCCACAATCAACACAAGCACATCGGTATGTTTCGTCAGTATCGTTGCAGCTGCGGACCGTCTTGTCCATGGGCACTATATCTGGGTATTCGGTCTTGTTTGGTCGGGGAAAATTCATTTGGAAGGGGCTTCCGAGGAACTTTTTGTCGCCGAGGAACTTGAGGAATTGCGTATAGTTCTTTGCGCCTCCTCCAATGAAATCCATAGCGTTGCCGTTCGTGGCTCCGAACTTGACATCTTTGCAGCTGTTGTAGAATTCCGACCCGTAATCGTTCGATACAAAATGGTTCAACTCTGTGACCACGAATTTGTCGCCCTTTGGTTTGGTGTCGGTGACATTGATGAAGAGTGATTGGTTGGGGGAGCAAGTGAACGTGCAGAACAGGTTGAAGAAGTTCGCTTTACATGCAGGACATGCTGAGATGATGCCCTCGGCGCGTTTTAGGTTCGACTGGAGTGCTTCAACCTAGTACAGTCAGGACGCGATGTTCAAGATGGGTGAAGCGGGAACTCACCTGCTCGGCGTTACAGCACACATCGGTATCCGACCACGCATCACCACACACCTCAATCAGTGTCTTCTTCAAGTCTGCATCTGGTGTTTCGGCGGGCCCATTGTCCGGGCAAGGCAACTTCGGCCCAAAGAAGCCTTCACTACCGCAATGTCCTCTAATAGCACATCTCCCCTTCTCGTGTTTGTTGGTGAGGTCGGCATCAGCGAAGACGGTCGCAAGTGGGAGAGCAAACAGAGCAGCAGCTACCGCTCGCCATGTTGTAATGGCATTCTTCATGCCTGGATGTGTTCGATACCCGCGGCGAATCGCTCTACTGGAGAGGCGTCGAAGCGGTACTGGAAGCTGCAACTGGGGCCGGTATCGCTGATAGTCGTATACGAAGCGTAGGAGTGTAGAGGTCGCTGTTCAACTGAGGCAAACCGGGTCCTGATGGAGTGGGGAAGCGCTGTAGGCAGCCTGGCAGCTATGACGGTCCCGAGACAGGATGGAAGGTAGGCCGGGAGCTAGCTCCGGCGAGCTTCAAACGTGGGGTCGCAAAAAGCTGGCAGTGCAGGATGTGAAGTTAAAGGACAGACTGAGAAATTTGAGAAGCTCTGTAGATGGTGGCGAGGCCGATACGACGATGAAGGCTGCCGTGGTGTTGATGTTGGAGAGTTGCGCCACGCAGAGTGGCAGGTGTTCAGGTACGAATAGAATGCTGCGGCCGATCTACCCGCGCCATCACATTCCCCATCCCAAATGCCAAGCCTGTGCCGCATATCGGATAACTTAACAACCACGAGGCTCCGTTACATACAAAAGTACAGTGGCAGTCCACTCTTGCCTGAGGTGACCTGAGAGCTATCAGGCTTGCCAAAACTGTCGCTTTGCGATGTTTGGTAGCCTGCCAGAGAAGCTCAAGCGATGGTAGGCAAGTGTATGCGAATGTGTCTATATGCAAGCCCAGAATGTGTCTGTATTTAAAGTACGTAAAGTTTGCAGGTAGAATACAGATTCGTCGACTGTCACTTATTGCTCGGGGGAACGCCTATGTAAGAGCGGGTTGAACTATAAATCATGTCGTCCTACGATTTAGCAACTGACAACTCCAAGACTTGGCCAGGTAACAACCCAGGCTTCACTCTCATCTATTCAGTTTACATGACAGGAACCGAACCCATCCCGCAAGACTTTTGAATTTTCTCTAGAGTACATGTCGAAAGTAATCGCAAAAGTCCTGCTTATACACTATACATTCCACTATCACCTTGCCCTCACCGGGCATCCGTCTCCACTGCGCAACCACTGCCTCACCATCCATCCGTAGATGCAGCGAGGAAAGGATGAGACCACGAAGGAAGAAAATAGCCCGATTCCCGGCGCCAAACCAGGCGACGGCAAAGGCTACGTCGAGAAGACCTAGCCCGCCTCTTGCCAGAAGCCAAAACAGAACCTCAAAAAGCTCCGACCCGACCGCCAACGCTGGTAGTAGAGGCAGGACGCCCGAAAGGTAATAGAGCAAATGATCGAGCAGACCGCGCGCACCTCGCTAGCTATGACAGATGAACCAGTATGAAAAATTAACACGAAATGAAACGCACTGAAGGAAACGGTACTCGAGGTGTCCGGGTCGTCGAGAGCAGAGCAGTAGAATAGTCGCAGCGAGTTCACGACTCTCCGCCGGTCGCTGCAGCAGCACCCTCGCCCTGACCGCCTCTGCCGAATCCGCCGCGGCCTCGTCCACGGCCTCGCTGGCTGCCACCACGATCGCCTCCAAAGTTGCCACGGCCTCGTCCGCGTCCACCACGGCCTCCTTCACTGTCGCTGGCACCGCCACTGCGGTATCCGCCACTCTGAATGCCACCCCTGCTGCTGCTTTGCCAGCTGCCAGCTCCAAAGCGGCTGGGGTTCGAGGGATCTCTGTAGATCTTCACGCTGGGCACTCCGGGCTTGCTCTCCTGCTTGCTTCCCTTGAACTCCTGGGAAATGCGGTTCAGCGCGCCCTGCATTTCGCCATTGTTAGCGAAGTGGGCGATGAAGAAGTGCTTCTGCTTCTCAATCCTCTCCACTTTTGGCTTGTCCTCGTCGGCAAGCAGGTTCTTCGCCTCTTCTTCATCTTTGACGTTGACGATGAACAACGCCTTGCTCTCCTTCTGTGGAGCGGGAGAGTCATTCTTTGGAGCGGGTGATTCTGGGCCCTTTTCGGGAGCAGCAGTTCCATTCGGCTTCACCTCGCTTGGAATTGCCTTCTCTGCGCCAGCATTAGCCGGAGCGTGTCCTCCGGTAGACGTAGGAGGCTGGGGCGTAGCCGGCTTGATCGGGTCCTTGGGAGTCGCAGGGGCTGGAGAGGGTCCCGTACGGGCTGGCTGAGATGCAGGCTTGATCTGTTGCGCTGGCGGTGTGGGCGCAGCCTGCTGGCGGTTTTGTTGTGGTGGAATATTGGGGGTCCGGATCTGAGCTGGCGAAGGTTGGCTAGAGGGGTTGGGAAGATTGCCGCCGGTCGGAGCCCCGGTGCTCGTTGAAGGGGCAATTGGTGCACCTTGGCCAGATTGAGAGGCAGCCGCCTTTCCGCCACGATGAGCGAAGTTGAATCCTTGGGCTCTCATCTCAGTCCCAATTCTGCCGTTGTCAACGTCCAGAACCAGCCAGCCATACGCTGCATCCGCAAGATTGAAGTTCCACATGTTCTTGAACGCACTTTCATCGACCTGGCCACTCGCGGGACCTGGGGTTGGGCCTCCGAATGGGTTTCCACCATTGGCAATAGTGGGCATCTTATTTACGATGTCGAGTGCAAGGTTGAGCATTCTCTGCTGTGCCTCGCTGTCCGCAACGGCCGGCTCAACCTCTGCCTTGACCGTGTCCCAGACATCGTTGAACGACGCCTTGGAGGCTGCGAGCTTGCCACGGTAGTGATCGAGGGTTGGGTTGACGCTGAACTCGTTGTACGAGCTACCATACCTGAAATGGAGACCAGCAGATATCGAGAAGTCGGCTTTCAGGGTGACGGAGAGCTGGTTCAGCAGTCCCTCACGAGCTGGTGAGGCGTGTGTAACGAAGATTCGGGTTTCGGTGGGATCGTAGACACGATGCGCAGTGTCCACAAGTTCGCCCATCTGGAGTAGTGTTGTCCACATAGTTCCTTGACCGCCAGCAATTGTAGTCCTGCCCTCGCCATTGTCGAACAGCTTGTGCATGACCACGGCACCTCCGAGTCCCAATAGTCGCAGCTTAATGCCACCAACATCGAGCAACCGAGAGTGGCCCTCATCGATTATGTGCAGGTTGTCGATTTTGTATTCGCCGGACCGGAGCTTCTCCAGAACCTGGACGTCCTCGCAGGCTCCCCATACTGTATAGACGGGCACCTGTAGTGTGTAGGTCTTATTTAGGAAGAGTGGGAGCTCGGACAGAGGCAGCTTTTCACGTGCAAAGCGTTCCTTGATAAGCGGTTGCGGGGGAGCGGTGGCGATGGATCGCTTCTGCTGGTCGGAGAGGAGAGGTGAATACTGGGCGACGTGCTTGAGGGTCCTAGTAAATGTTAGCGCGTCCAGACACATGTGACGGACATGGCCAGGGTCTTCTTTGGGGTGGCATACTTTTCAGCGATGCGGTCAAGCGAGCGCTCATCGTAGAAGCCGAAATCGCCAGTATGGATGATGTAGTTTGCCCGTGCGTCGGCGGCGAGCTGGTTGAGTGACTGAAGATTTCCTGGAAGAGCGGTCAGCCATCAGAACGGCGGGTGAAGAAGTCGCGTTGCGAAGCATACCTCGCACGTCGGCGATGCAGAGAACTCTCGCGCTGCCCGATTGTATCACTCGTCCTTGGTTGGGGAGGAGCGGCTGCGCGCCAGGCACGGGTCCAGAGGGCGCTCCGCCGTTGGGCAGGTAGCCTTGGCCATTGTACGGGCGCGGCTGTGTGGGCGCTTGCTGAGGCATGTTAGCAGGCTGCATTGGTGGAGGACTGCCGGGTGAAAAGTTGGGCAGGCGGCGGCGCGCGGTACGTACAGAAGCCATGGAGGAGGCCGGAGCTGCGAGCTAGGAGAAGCTGTCGCGGTCGAGGGTTTGCGGAAGAGGGTATCAGTGAGCCTAGGGCACTACGAGGAGATGAGACAGTGAGTGAGGCGGAGGATGGAGGTGATATGGGAGAAGGAGGCGTCGAGGTTGCTAGTCGACCTCACGTCTGCTGCAAAAAAGCAAGACAAGCGAGCTAGCGCCAAGGCGAAATGGAAGTGGCTAGCTGCACCGATCGGGAGACTCCACGGCTGCGTTATTTGCAGCCGTTCTAGACTGTCGGGCGTGCAATATAAATGAGATGCCCTCGCCCTGCGGCCTGATCCTGCTCGGTTTGTAGGATTTGTTTGGGAGGATATAACGCGTAGAGTATTGATTTAGGACTATTTAGATGCACAAGGCTTAAGAAGACGTATAGATCACATGATATCAACCGGTTAGGGGCGAGAGTCACTCCATCTCTATGGGCAACTTAGGAAGTGCATCTCCAAGAGACCGGATGTTCCTGCATTTCTAGCTACATATTCTTGTACAAGTGTTTAGGCGGATCTGCTAATGCTAAAGAGCACGCTTGTAGCAAATGGAAGCTACAAGCCAGCATCTACCTTTTTCAGCGTTTCCGTGCAAACGGCAACTACAGACGGGCTGTTCGGAGAAAGCGGCCTGTGCAGGGATTCTAGTAGCTGTCTCTTTCACTATATGGAGGAAGATCATATATCCCCTGTCTCTTCTTCTGTTGGCTAGCTGCTAGGATCCTGAGCACAGCAGACCGCCCGTATATACGCTTCGTCGAATTGAGTCAATAGCCACGAGTGAGATGAGTAACATGCACAGCCGAGTTCTACAAGACAGTCCCCCAGAAAAGGACCTAAGCAGTGAGGTTGGCGTCGGCGGCGTCTGCGGAGGTCGAGGCGCAAAGTTCCACCGAGGCCAGGTTTCGCGCTAGAGTCGCTTGGGCCGCTATTTCGAAAAAAATTGTTCTGGACGGGCATCACACAAACCCCACCTCACACACTCTCTCTTCTTTCCCCCCACCCTCTTCGCTTCTTCCTTCTTCTTCTCCTTCTTCTCCTTCTCCTCTTCCTTTCTAGATACCCCGTTCTCGTTTTGTGCACTTTGCCTCGTCTGTCCATCATGGACGAGCAGCAATTTGTCCAGCTCCTCGAGAGTCTGCTCCAGCGTAATGTTGCCAGATGTCCACATTGCTATGCTTGAGCTAACACCTCGCAGCGGACACGGAGCGCGTCAAGGCTGCCACGTCGGCCCTGAACAAGAACTACTACACTTCTCCCCTCGCTCTTTCGGCCCTCCTCCAAATCCTCGCCTCCCACCCGAAGCAAGAGCTGCGCCAGCTCGCCGCCGTGGAGGTCAGGAAGCTCGTCCCAAAACACTGGCAAGCTTTGCCCGCCGACCAAAAAAGCACTCTGAGGAACCAGCTCTTCCAAGCTGCTCTCAGCGAGAATGCCACCCTGGTTCGGCACTCGGCTGCACGCGTCGTGGCCGCGATTGCGGCCATTGATTTCGAAGATGGCGAGTGGGCCGACCTCCCAGGCTACCTTCTACAAGCTGCCACCAGCGATACTGCGCGGCACAGAGAGATTGGGATGTACATACTGTTTACATTGCTCGAGGCTGTAGGAGACGAGTTCCCAGCGAACAACGCCGACCTATACAAGCTCTTCGCAACTACCATCCAGGACCCGGAGAGCGCAGAGGTCAGAATCAACACCATGCTTGCCCTTAGCCGCCTAGCTATGATGTTGGACCCTGATGAAGACCCAAAGTCTCTCAAGCTGTTCCAGGACAGCATTCCAGGCATGGTCAAAGTCCTCAAGGCGACTGTCGACGAGGGCGACGAGGACCATGCTATGCAAGCATTCGAGGTTTTCCAAACCCTCCTCGGATGCGAGTCTGCCCTCCTGCAAAAACACTTTGGCGACCTTCTCAAGTTCATGATTGAATTGGCATCGGCCACTTCGGTCGAGGATGACTACCGATCTCAAGCCCTAGGATTCCTTATGCAGTGTGTGCGTTACCGGAAACTCAAGGTCCAAGGCTTAAGGCTGGGAGAAGACATGACTCTCAAGGCGCTCCAAATCGCGACTGAGTTTGGAGATCTTACCAGCGACGATGAAGACCTCACTCCCGCGAGGTCAGCGTTGGGGCTACTCGACATCCTTGCTTCCAGTCTACCACCCAGCCAGGTCGTAGTGCCACTGCTCAAGGCCATCGGTCCCTTCGTCACGAACCAGAATCCCGACTACAGGAGGGCCGGTATTCTTGCCCTCGGCATGTGTGTTGAAGGTGCCCCAGACTTCATCGCGACACAGCTCCACGAGATCCTTCCTATGGTCTTACATCTTCTTGAGGACCCCGAAGCCAAAGTGCGAGCCGCGGCTCTGAACGGCGTTGCGAGGTTGGCAGATGATCTTGCCGAGGACATGGGCAAGGAACACGCCCGTCTAATCCCAGCTTTGATCAAGAACTTTGACCTTGCTGTCAACGCTAGCCAGGGCGCCGAAGATGAGCGAAACTTGGAGATCATTAGAGGCAGTTGCAACGCCATCGACTCACTCATCGAGGGCTTGGACCCAGAAGATGCTGCCAAATACGTCCCGGAGCTCGTCCCAAGATTCAGCAGCGTATTCCAGCACCCAGATTTCAAGTCTAAAGTTGCTGCCGTGGGAGCCGTTGGTTCAATTGCCTCCGCTGCCGAGTCGGCCTTCCTACCCTACTTTGAACAGACCATGCATGCACTGGCCCCCTACGTCGAAATCAAGGAGAGCCAGGACGATCTTGATCTCCGTGGTGTTGTGTGCGATTCCATGGGTAAGATGGCATCTGCTGTTGGCGCTGGGCCATTCAAGCCATACGTTCTCCCGCTTATGAAGGCATCCGAGGAGGCTCTTCATCTCGACCACCCGAGACTCAGAGAAACCAGTTACATTCTATGGAGCACCATGGCAAAGGTTTACGAGGAAGAGTTCTCGCCTTACCTTGCCGGTGCTGTCAAGGGTCTCCAGGACTGTCTTCAACAAGAAGAAACTGACCTCGAAGTCCAGCTCGGCGAAGAGGCCAAGGACCTGCTCGGCCAAGAAGTCGTCGTCGCAGGACGAAAGGTCAAGGTCGCCGCTGCCACTGATGACGATGACGATGCAGAAGGTATGGAGGATATGGAAAACGATGAAGATTGGGACGATATCGGAGCTGTTACTGCCGTGGCTATGGAAAAGGAGATTGCCATTGAAGTCATCGGTGATATCATCACTCACACGAGACGCGAATTCCTTCCGTATCTCGAGAAGATCGTCACCAGCACACTCGAGCTTGTCGAGCACTCGTACGAAGGCGTCCGCAAAGCTGCCTTGGGGACGCTCTGGCGGACTTACGCCTGCCTTTGGGGCTTGGCTGAGGGTGCTGGAATGGCCCCATGGAAACCTGGTGTCCCACTCCAGGTGGAGCCCACAGAGGACCTGAAAAAGCTTGGCAGCCACATCATGACTGCGACTCTAGCAGTATGGCAGGATGAGCTGGATCGGTGAGTTTTTTTACGTTCATTTTGATGCACCATCAAAGGGCTTTAGCCTTGAAATGATGATTTAACATCGTTAATCCCAGCTCACTCAGACACACATGTTTACACAAGTTGTACACATGCTGTGGTTGCTGAGAACGCGAATATCCTGATCTTCTCTCCATACTTGAAACTTTTACATCGTACTATTTTTGTACTCGGGAGCTGACCATTGATTTCAGGGGCACCGTAACTGATATTAATCGCGATCTTGCCGCTACTCTGAAGCTGTGCGGCCCCGCACTACTCTACACAGATCAAGGCCTGGTCGTCCCTCAAGTCACACAGCAGATTCTCGCAATTCTCACCAAGCGCCATCCGTGCCAACAAGATGAAGGAGACGAGGCGGAGGATGATGTTCCGGAAGAGTCATCTGAGTACGACTGGTTGGTGATTGAGACTGCCACCGAAGTCATCACCTGCCTATCTTGCGCGCTTGGTCCTGGGTTTGCAGAGCTGTGGAAGATTTTCGAGAAGCCGCTGCTCAAGTACGCGAGCAGCCAGGAATCGACTGAGCGAAGTGCTGCCGTCGGCTGCATTGCCGAGTGTATTGGCAATATGGAAGCCGCATGCACGCCATACACGACTGGCCTGCTTAAGCTGCTGATTCACCGTCTCACAGACGAGGACTATGAGACCAAGTCCAACGCCGTATATGGCCTAGGCCTTCTTTGCGAGAAGTCCACCAACGAGCAGGAGATCCTGAAGAACTACCCCACAATCTTCCAGAAACTAGAGCCACTGCTCGACGACCAGGGTCAACCACGTCTGCTCGACAACACAGCAGGCTGCGTCAGCCGCATGATCTCTCGGCATCCGAACCACATTCCCGTCTCAGAGGTGCTGCCGCGATTGGTGGATCTTCTGCCGTTGAGAGAGGACTTCGAAGAGAACAAGCCGATCTTCAAAATGGTGGTGCAGTTGTGTGAGTAGCTCCCGCGACTTTATGGGATTATTTGGATATGGTGCTGACGGATGGGACTTTGTAGACCAAGCGAACGACGCGACGATCACGCAGCTCACGCCAAGACTGATGCCGGTATTCCAGAAGGTGCTTGGGCCACCGGAAGAGCAGCTAGAGGATGAGACGAGGAGTCAGGTTGTTGAGTTGGTAAAGTACCTGCAGAAATAGAAGAATAGCGGGAACTGGGGGTGGGGCTGGGGTCAGTCGTTTGGGCTTAGGTTTGCTCGGCTAGGCGAAAAGGATTTACACAAAAAAACGATCGGATGGATGAGAGACGGATTGATACCACTTTTACGGCCCTTGGGTATGAGACGGAAGAATGGGTGGGTTGCAGAGTAGATGCTAGCAGAGTCATACCGGGCTTGCTCTGAATGGAACCGAAATCTAATGGGTATCGTGCCTCTCTAGGCTGCCAGTCGCTCTTAGACTGTTGAGCTGTGTCGCATATCTGAACTCATACATACACTATGTTTCGTGCACCTGAGGAACACTTGTCAGCCTTCACCAACACATCGAGGCCCGTGCGTCGGGTAGTCGCAACCACTCGCACCAACCACACAACACCTCTCACACTTCGGACTTTGACAAAGGCGGATCGTCGCACCGCACTGCAGCCCCAGCTACGGACGATGCCCGTCTCACTTCACGTGGTGGCCGTGAAGTCCGCGCACTGTGCGAGCTGCTGACTTTGCATCGAGACAGCGCGCACTGCTTATTGGAGTGTTGCACCTTGGCGGCGACCTGCGTCACGACCAGCGCGCCGATCCGGCAGGTGGACACCGGAGGCGCGCGATGGGACTCAGTAAGGATGCTTAAGCGGGTTAGTATGGGCCATACTTGGTGGTAAACCTCTGCACGCACGCTGTACGCTACGGACTTTGAGCAGGTGCTGGGTTGAGGGCCAGCGAATGGGACACGGGTAGGTGCGAAACAGCGCGAGGCTGCGGCTTCCACCTGTTTTTACTTCTACAAAGCTATGTCAATCTTTCTCGCCGACTGTGGTGCTGGGTGAGGAGGCGATTCCATTTCTTCATTTTTCGCTGCTCATGCTGTTTGTTTGAAGGCCTTTTATTGAGCGAAGATACGCCGTCGAGTGCATATTTTCGATTTTGACTTCTTGCCACCCCCTTGTGGCGTCTTTGATCATTGTTGATGGGCTTTTCAATCATCGCTCTGGTATCGCTCCGGTGTCCTCGTCCTCGCTGACCTGGTCTTATCTGGAAGGACTGTCAAGATGGCACGAGATACGCAAGTAAGAGGTACGGCAAACAACGGGAGTCACAGCGACGATGTGCAGATTGTTACATGGCTTCTATTCGTCGTTGCTCTTGTCGTCGTCGAAGGTCACTTTGTTGTGAAGTGGATCCGGGCGCGGAAAGCAAGAGTACGGCGGGTGAACTGGGATGATGCTGCGCTTGCGACTGCATTGGTGAGTATTTGCCTCTATTCGGCCTTCGATTGTAATGAAAGCTCACAGCGTATAGGCTCTCGCATTAGGCCAGACGATAGCAGTGTCGGTGCAAGCGAACAGTGCTCTGGGTAGACATATTTCTATCTTGAGTACGCACCAGGTCAATACGTTTCAAGCAGTATGTCTTGTCTTTGTCCCAATGGGTCGAAATTCTCTACTAACAATAATCAGGCCCAATATGCGGCTACGATGCTTTATATCCTATCCATTGGAACGACAAGGATCTCTATGTGGCTCTTCGTGTGGCAAAGCGTGCAAGAGAAACGCCAGAAATGGATCGCCATTGGCATGGGGGCATTGTGCCTACTCTGGACTCTAACAGGATTCATTGCCGCTGCAGCCTCCTGCGATGAACCAAATCCGTGGACGTTCCTAGGGAACCAATGCTATGACCGACTAGCATTCGCACGCTACGTTGCCTCCTCGAACATCGTGCTCGAATTATCTTCCATCGCCATCCCAATCCTCCTCCTCAAAAGTCGAGCAAAAAAATGCTGGACCACCCTCGCTTTTTGCTCCCGCTTCCTGTAAGCCCCTCCCAACCCCGTTCGCCAACCCCGTTCTAACCTCCCAACCAGCCTCATCGTAACCTTCATCCCCCAAATATACTACAGTAACACCCTCTCCACCACCGCCTCCACCTCAAATGACTTCACCTTCCAGGCCTGGTCCCTAACCACCTGCACCCAGCTCGCGCAATCCCTCGCCCTCCTCACCACCTGCCTCCCCTCCTCCCTCTGTCACATCCTCCCTGCCAAGCCCGGCCCTATCATCCGCCACCTTCAATGGGACCAGGACCACACCCACCCCGCCCCTTTCGCAACCCCCGGATTCCCCCCACCCCTATACCCAACCCGCCCAGCGCTTGTCAGAACAAAGGCGAGCTCCGGCTACGTCGCGCCCCTCGCAACGTACCACTTCACCGGCAAGCGAAACGACTGGGACGAGGAGCTTTCCCTCTCCTCCTCCAACACCTCGAAATCCGCCTCCCCCCTCCGCGCCTCGCATGACGAGATATACCGCCGCGAGAGCGACGTCGAAAACGTGTTTGAGCGGCGCTGGAACGTACCCGACATCGCCGTCTGCGCGCCGCGCGACCCGCCGCCGACGAGAATGCAGGAGATTGGGGTGCTGCCGGAGTGCGAGATGTGGGGAAGCGAGACGGATAGCGAGCAAGGGAGTGGCGGGGAGCGGGCGGAGTTGGAGCTGCAGCGGTGTCGGGCGAGGGGGAGTGGGGTGAGTTATGTGTTTAAGCGGGATAAGGTGATTAGTTTGCCGCCGGTGAGCACGCCGAGTTGGGAGGAGGGGTGGCAGGAGGGGTTTAGTTTCGGGTGATGAGAAAGGTGTTTGGGGTGAAGGTTTAGCGTTTGGGAGACTTTTTGGGATGGGTTGGGTTTGTAGGTATGGAAAAATACTTCTGGGTCCTGTCTGTGCTAGATATATCCCGTGATATTAAGAGATGGAGTTAGCGATTATTTGACTGCAAGGTGTTGCTTGAGTCGTTACGCAGCCGCTCAGCCACTAGGTCTCTCGGTTTCCAAAACTCGAAGCGATGGTGGGTTCGACTACGGAGTCCGTGAAAGAGTGGAACATGAACTTTGGTGTTATGACATTGAGGTAACGTGTTTAGAATCATATCCTTGCCCACGATTATGAATTATGTGGTACTAACGGCACGTGATCAGACGGTATTCCACCTAGCTAGCAAACCAGAACACTCAGGTTGAGGCACCGATTGGGGTCTTAGCCACAATACTCTTGTCAGCCAGCTGCTATGTACAGTTCCCTCTTTCAGCTTTATGAACATAACGTCTATAGCTTTGCACGAGCAACTCACTTCTTACATACAGGGGACGCTGAACCCAGTCTCTGGAAACAGGCTTCGCGTTACGAAGCCTGCCTCCGACGGCATGCCAGACCATCGACTATTGGACCATGCCGCCCTTGATATCAAAAGTAACGCCTCTCCCTTTCCTTTTGTGCCCTTCATAACACCCTCGCTACATCCCCTACCCCACAACTATCCCCGCCAGGCTCTCTCCACCCAACTGCACCCCAAATTCGGCAACACTCTCCCGTCCCAAACAAAATGCTATCCTCCCCACTATGGTGCCATTGGCTTCCTCTCACCTTCGAACTTGCTATATCGGCTTCGGGGTCGCCCGCGGCCGCCCTTTACCGCCCGCCACCGAGCTCGAGCACCAAAAGGCCGATCTAACCATGAATTCTATCCCCGCATTCTTCTCCAGCACAACCTCGGGGTTAAGCATCGAGTCATGCATGGCCAGCTAGCCAATCATTTTATTCCGCGTATGGAAGACTGTTGATACCCTTGTATTCTTCTCGCTGAACCGAATCGGGTTAGCGCGGGTCTGCAACGACAGCGACAATGCAAACGCGAGGTTTGCGGCAACGGGGTTGGATTAAATGAGGTAGGTGGGTAGGTTTCTTGCCCCATCCGCAATTGTTTGGTCTCAAGATTAAAATGAAACTGTATCGTGTACTTGTGTCAATTTCGATCTGGGGTCACTTGCGGAGAAATGCTGTGCTGATCCTTCCAACCCCTGCGCAGATATCCTGGGGTGGATATGGACAAGGTCAGAAACGTCCTAGCAAGAAGTGGGAAGTGTTGATGCCGCTCGATACCCCTCTCTTGAGTCCGGTACAGCAGATGCCGGAGCTTATGAATCAGTGCAGCGAGGGAATGTAGTTGGCTTAAAGAACGGACAGTCCGAAGTGATTGCGTAGTGCCTAGCTGTGCTTTCTTTCTCCCTCTATAGATTTTATCAGCAGTTGCGGTTATTAGATTGTATCCGATATGCAGGATCATGAGAAGGAATTGGAGAAGGAGAAGGAGGTCTCCCATATAGACGATGTGTTAGAAAAGCCGCCTTTGGACCATGATGAAGTGTCGGAGCCTAGCTTCAAACTCACGCCTCACCTCATTGGAAGTGTTATAGTAAGTCTGACTCTGAACCAAGATCTGTCCGAATTACCTTTTGAGTGTAGCCGACTGATTACTCTGTACACTTCAAGGCTTTAATGATCGGCTACAACGGCGCTGGCTTTTCTCTCTCCCTCGTCGGTCCCATCATTGGCACCATAAACAAGGATTTAGGTTCGAAACCATACTACGCCTGGATCGCGATTGCGTGGAACATCGCCAACGCGATCTCCGTCACCGTCTCTGGCCGCTTGATGGACATTTTCGGACGCCGATATCTCATGATCTTTGGCAATCTGCTGGGAGTAGTCGCCTGCATCGTCGCAGGAACGGCAGACTCAGTCGGTGTTGTCATCTGTGGAGTCACCATTCTGGGATACGCGACAGGATTCCAGCTCCAGGCGACGGCTGCTATTGCTGAGTTGGTCCCAAACAAATATCGTCCCGCGGTGACTGGGCTGGTCGCGTTCTCGCTGCTTATTCCGGCGGCCTTTGGTGCACCAATTGGTACGCGGAACGTCTTCTTTTCCGTGTTTTTGTTAAAAACGCGCTCTTCGCTAATCGATATGGCAGCTTACCACCTCATTGGACATGCCACTTGGCGATGGAGTTTCTGGATCACACTCATTGTCGATGCCGTCGCCTGCGTTCTCCTCACACTGGTGTATTTCCCTCCAACCTTCGGTCAGAAACACAGCTTGGACCACAAGACCAAATGGCGACAGGTGGCCGAGTTCGACTTCTTCGGCCTCTTCCTATTCATCGGAAGCCTGATATCCCTCTTGCTGGGCATCAACTGGGGCGGCTCCACTCACCCTTGGAAAAGCGCCCATGTGATCGTTCCCATCGTCGTAGGCGGGTTCGGACTCATAGCGTTCGGATTCTACGAAGCTCTGATGCCGCTCAAAGCAGCGCTTATCCCGAAGGCTTTGCTAGCGGATGCTCGGGGCTTCGACGTTGTCATCGTCACGATATTCGTGGCTGGAATGCTCCTATACAGTCTTCAAGTCTTATGGCCGACCCAGATCCAGACGATGTATACCACCGATACGATGCGGATCGGGTGGATAAGCTGCACGTTTTCAGCAGCGACTAATGTGGGGGCACTGGTGTTGGGCGCGTTTCTTGCGAAGATAGGCCACGCAAGGTTGATCTATGTTGTTGTCGTTGCGCTGGAGACGGCGTTTGTTGCTGGCATGGCGGGAATGAGTGAGTTCTCGTCCAATTTTGCAATTCGCAAGCGGCTAATGGATTCTTTTCGCAGCTCCACATTCGCTACCAGGAGCGGTAACACTCGTATGTTTGGCAGGCCTTTGTGTCGGGTGTGTCAACCTGATAAGCGTAACGATGATCATACTTCGATGCCGCGATGAGTACATTGGAGTCGCCGTCGGTCTTGCTGGAACGGCGCGGACAGTCGGGGGAGCAATTGCCACGGCTATATACTCGACGGTTTTGAGCAACAAGGTGGACGAAGTCCTGCCCAAGAAGGTTGCGGAAGCTGTGGTGCCACTCGGATTCAAGCTGCCGGACCTCTCTGCGCTGATTACGGCGTTGTTGTCGGGCAGTCCGGCTGCGCTTATGAAGGTTCCGGGTATTACTCCGCGCGTTATCAGTAGCGCGGCATCTGCAGTCAAGGAATCTTACGGCGAGGGCTTCAAGTAAGTTTCTTTCATTGTGATAGCCGGGTATTATCAACAAAGACATGGCTGACCAGAGACCCTCAGGTTGATTTATCTCATTAGCATTGCGTTCGGCTCTGTCGCATTGATATCTGCTGTCGGGACTAAGGATATTGATGATACGTTGACAGACCATTTGGCGGTAGAGTTAAACCAGGGCCGTCACGCAGAAGAGTCAAAAGAGCCAAAAGAAGTGTAGAAGTCCAGCCTGGCACCGTCGTTAACTGGACGGGCTAACATTACCACTCATATGGCTACTCGGTAAACAAGCTCGGTAGATTTCAATCCATAGAATTCAATATACTCTGCGGGGTCAATTGCCAGTGATGGAATCGGTGGCCCGAGGTGATGGTGGTTATGTTGCTGCTTCTAGAGTCGCGGAAACTGACATGCATCGCCTACTCAGGCTCGAATATAGAAATAGAACTATGGTCCTTTTGTGATGATGATGACGGTAAAGGTATACGATGAGAGATACAGAACCAAAAAGCGGCGTTCATTCAATTTCTTTCTTGGAGTCAAATAGTGGACTGCGAATAAGCCTGGTGAGGCTGTGCTGCAGCGGTTCGGATCGCGAGCAGGGCTTAGGAACAATGAAGTAACAGGCGACGCGGCCGCTCTTGGCAGCTTGCAGAGAATCATGGCAGCTTCGTGGCAGCGGGCGGTTCAGAGTAAGACGGCCTCGCCATCACGAAGATGGAAGTGGTGAATAATGGTGATGAATCGATGGAGAGACGTCGTCACGTGGTCGTCTGTCCAAAAATACGAATACACTCGAGGTGGGCCGAGCTCTAAGCCATCACGGGGCTGCTCGTTCACCAATTCACAGCCTCAACAGCCCCGCGGTCCACGCGTTTCCCTCGCACCATGTTTGAGCCCTCCCGTGGCACTGTTATATTACTGCCCACCCTCCGTCCTCAGCCTTCCAGCACCAAAACAAGCCCACCCACCGGCTCCGGCAGAATAACATGAAGCCATGCTGGACGAAAACTTGCCCAGTACGTGCCGCTACGAAGTACTCGAGAGCCAACCCCAGAAAGCTAACACATAGGTAGCCTTCTACATAAAGCCTTCGACGGATGCTGTCAAACATCACCAGTCCTTCTACTATACCCAATATGGATCCGAGCCCGAAGCAACCTACTCCCTACACTACCTCGATCCCTCGACAAACGAAGCAACAAATACCTACGCTGCCGCCATCTTCGACGCGCACAACCCCGACGTCCTCTTCGCCGAAGTCCTCGTGAAGCCAGGATGGACCCAACCTTCCCTATCGCAGGAAGATATCCGGAGGAATGGAGGGGTGCCTCCGCCACCTCAGCCCATAATGCCCACCGAGTTCGCTATACAGCTCTACAATCCGGATCAGGAGGTGATGATCAGGCAACAGACTGGGAAATGGGGTGGTAGCAATAGCTACGAGTTCAGCATGCCTCAAAGCTCGTTCCGGACTCCCAGCGCCTCTACGCTGGACCGAAGCCAGAACGATCCCTCAGCAGACGCCGCCACGCCCAAGATCAACTTCGTCTGGAGAAAGGAGAGCAAGCTCTCGAAGAACATGACATGCTTCCTCACGGGCAAGTCTACAGATCCTACGGGGAAGAAGAATCGGAGCAGGGAGCCGGACATTGCGATTGCGATGTTTGAAGGGCTGAAGGCCATCACGATCCTCGAGTCGAACCTCTACCGGGTGGACATGGAGGACTACAAGGGACTGGAGGTTGTCTTATTGCTTGGAGCTGCGGCTATGAGAGACATCTACTTTGGAGACGCGAAAGCGGCATTCCACATTACCGATCCTGCGACCCGAAAGAATAGTGGAGGTATCATGGGAAGGAAAACTTCGTCACCTGTCCAACCAGTCGTAACACCCCCGTTGACTGGTAGAGCCACAGCGCAGCCGCAGAAATTGCCACTACGACCCGGGCCTAAAGGAGCAGCTGTCGGCGCGTTATACAACCAATCGTCGCGAAACGAGACACAACGGCAGAGTCTACCTCCGATTAATACAGGAAATACACCGCCTCCGCGTTTTGACCCTCGCAAGCAATGGGAGATCGACGCCGAGACCGCACGTCTCAAGGCCCAGGTAGAGGCAGAAGATAAGGAGCGTAAGAGGCTCCAGGACATCGAGAGGCGGAAGCGATTGAAAGCCGAAGAAGAGGAGGCAAAGAAGACGAAAAGATTTCTCGAAACTGAAGAACGAGAGCGACGTCGGCGTCAAGCAGAAGTCGATAAGGAAACGGAGCGGTTGCGAAAGAAATATGGCGATCAGGGTAGCCTTGCTCCACCTGCTCAGCAGTCGAATCGACACTCTACTCCCAATATTCAGTTTCAAGCACCGGGTCAGCCACAGCATCGCCAATCATATGCTCCTGCGCAACCGCCGCGTCCCAACAATCCATACCTACAGACTGCTGCGACTAGCAGGCCGACTGCTTCTCAGAGCTCATTCTTTGGTGGTGGTGGCTCTTTACGACCTGATAACGGCCAAAGGCTGAACAGCGGCCAGAAAAAGAAGAGTTTCTGGAAACTGAGAAGTCATAGTGATGTGGAAAGCCCGAATACTCTTCGTAAGAAACAGAGTAGTATGTTTTAAGAAAGCTTAATTACGCAGTCATGTCGTTCGAGCTGCATAGCGGGATCTCGGCGTAGGTTTTCATTCTTTTAGACGGTCATGGTATACCTTTCAAGTGCGTCCTCAAAATTCATGACTTCTCTTTTTGGGGTTTCCTCTGGATGCTCCAATCTAACTTAAGTTTCTCCTCATCAAAGTTCCATGATGCAAACCTTGTGCTACGATATTGTGCGTTTGTCAATTCGACAGCTATCTTCTCGCAAGCGACGCTACTGCACTGAGGTGGCTTCTCCTAAGCCAGCCCACACGGTGTTTGATTATCTCTCTACCAGTACTGGCCTATCTTGAAGTGCTCATGGCCTATCAGACCGTAACAAAGCCCTGACGGTGGCCTAAATTAGGAAAAACTTAGCCGCACTGTAAATCTAGATACAGCCATCATCAATGCTACTACACTGCGGGGCTTTGTATTTCCTTCTCTCTTCCTCCCTGATTTGACCAAAACTATATTGCGGCGCCTCTCCAATAATTTAGTGTCCTATCACCATCTTCATTTTTATCTTTATCAAAGAAACAGTCGAAAGCTTTCGGCTTCGGCTTCCGCTTTCGTTAAGCCCGATCACTCAACCGGCCGGCCTAGCGCCTTTGTTGGTGATCTCGATTATATTTAGCTTTAATATTATTAGGCGGGAAGGAGTTCTATTACTTAGTGCCAGCTCTCACGTCCTAATTTGTCGCATTGTTGTCGCAAGATTCTCACCGAACAGATATTTGAAGATGAAGTTTACCTTGCATACTCAGACAATCGGATGGACCTTGGCTTTGTTTGCTATTGTTTCTGCCACAACAGCCCCACGCATCACATCAGCCCCGCTTCACGCCAGACAAGGTTCTCTGAGGAACCCAACGTTGCTGGGATATTTCCTTGTAGACAGCGAGAGTATGAGCATATTCCCAGAGTTCGACATTGCGCTAAAACCGCATTAGCTCAAAGTGAGACTTGTATCCCTGGGTATACGACTTCCACATCCTCCGGTCTTATTCGATGCTGTACGACTACTGCTGGGCCTTGCCCGTTCCCAACAGCATGTGCTGGACGGGACTTACTGTTTTATGGAACGTCGGCTTCATGGTATGGAGATCTCTCGTCTGTACTTTTGGGACTAACGGGACACGTAGCGAGAGCATAGCTCCATACTGTGTTACCGACTATAAATACGCTACCCTCGGGGACCAGAATCCGTTCTTGACCTACATCGGCTGCGATGCCTCGTCGGCGCGGGATTATTACTTGGCTACTGCCACGACCACTTCGACTACTTTGACTACTCCGTCCACGTCGACCGCCTCAAGTTCTGTCTCCTCCAGTACCGTGACCTGCTCGAGTCAAGCCATCTCGTGCCCGCCGCCGGTGCCGCCATCAGGCAGCAAGGCCTGGATTGCTGGTGCGGTCCTTGGGCCTATTGTACTACTCGCAATTATTGGTGCCCTCATTTGGTTTCTATTAGGAAAGAAGCGAAAGCAAAGCCAGATGCCACCGCAAACGCCAGCCCACACTGGGCACCAGTTTGGAGGACAACCACAACCAATGCAACATCACATGACCGCACCATCAAGTCCACCGCCGAACTACGGTTGCAGTCCGCTGGGCATGAACCCCCACCCGGGAGGATGGAACGAGCAGAAGACGTTCGCACAAGTTGGACACCCGCAAGAGACGGCCGAGGTGCACGGAATGTCATCGCCTAGGAGCGGCGCCCATGAGATAGCAGGCTAATGAGGCATCACGTAGACTTACGTTGAGCCCACGAAAGTTCTGAAACATTTTGTGATTTGACGAACTTGTGTTAGTCTTGTGGAGCCTGGCTGTTATCTGATCTGACTGATTGATAATGTTGATTTTTATATTGAAATTCCAAGTTTATGAACCTTGTACGTGTCGTTTTGTTTCGTCCAAGTTCATGAAACGCTTGCCCATTGTGGCAGACTATGAAAGGCCCACTTTCTGGGAAATTGGCGATGTTCGAATAGGATTTATTCCCTGGCGAATCGGCCGGTGTTGGCAGGTAGATTGATCTATTCGGCCCAAAAAGGTGGTGGTATGCATCGATGAGAAATGCTCATCTAGCATTCACCTCTACGTACTGATGGCCATATGAGTCCAGTAAGTTTTGATTGCTTACCTCAACGTCTTTGTATGACTTCATCATCTCTACAATCGGGACCTCCAAAGTACAAGCTTGTCATACCAAAAATCTTCATTATTCGGAAGTCCCGATTGAACTATTCATCCGCAAGGTGGGTCCCATACTGGCGTTCGCTAAGCACCGGTGAACGGCAACTAGCGGCCGCGACACGGGGGCCGAAACTTCGCCGTTGACCAATTGCCGGACCATACCACTCTCGCAGGGCTTGCCTTACGACCTTCCAAACACCATGGAACCCCACTCGAAGTCAAATCTAATACCAATGGGAATCTTCGACGACGTCAAAAAATGGTAGAAACAGTCTTCGACCCCCCATCCTTGATGTTTTTAGTAGCTTGGCAGCCACTTCGAGCCCAATTTCCGTCCTCTATTCGTCATCCACGTCTCAACAGCCCTTCTCATATGGGGAAGCATGCCGCGGGCAGGTTTGGGTACTTGTCCGAGATGTGCTTATATCGCGTCTCCTACGTAGCATTCACTTCTTGGCCTTCAACTCTAAGTTTCTACTGTCTTTTCTTTGCACTGCTCTGGTAGCACCCAGTCACTCCTTCACTTCTCCTCAAGCAGATCATCTATCATGCATTCACTCATCACTCTTGCGACATTGATTGTTGCCGCTTCCGCCGCACGCCCGTTCCTCAACGAGCCTAATACAGGCTTGGAGGAATATCTTGGCGCCGGCTTCCCAGTTGGAAAGCTCCCTAACCTCACTGATATTCGCGGCATCCCCGATTTTGACTTCGCCGCGCGGAACTACCTCAATGCTTCTAGTTACAGCTTCTACCGCACAGGCGCTGCGGGCGAGTGGTCGTACAGGAACAACCTCGAGGCATTTAGCAGGGTTCGATGGAGGCCGCAGGTGCTGAATGACGTGCATTCTCTTGCGAGTACTCTACCGTAAGAATATCCCTTGGTCGTCAGACTCTCATGAGGAAGCATCATACTGATACATGCTTTTAGGGCGAAGATCCTAGGGTAAAACTTCAGTGCACCCTTCTTCATTGCTCCAGCCGCACGTGCTGGGCTCGCAAATGATGCCGCTGAGAGCAATCTCGTCAAGGCTGCCTATGCAGGCGACATCCTCTACATTGTGAGTACCTCTTGCTATTTCTAATACCTCTAAAGACTTCAAACTAACGATTGTAAAGCCCGCCATCTACGCCACCCTAAGCATCGAGCAAATCGCCGCCGTCAAACCCGTAAACGGTTCCCAAATCCTCTTCCAGCAACTCTACGCCGCCGCCAACCTCACCGCTGTCCAAAACAGCCTCGACCGCGCTAAAGCAGCTGGCAGCAAAGCTATCGTCTTCACCATCGATGCCCCCGCCACATCGACCCGCCACCGCGCCGCCCGCTACGGCCTTGGTAACGCGAACTCTGATACAGCTACCCTGACCTGGGCTCTCTATGCCCAGCTCCACAATATGACTTCACTCCCCATCATCCTCAAGGGTACCACCACTGTCGACGACGTCCACAAAGCCAACTCCGTCGGCGCGCCGGCCATCTATGTGAGCAACTACGGCGGAGGGCAGCTCGACGGCTCGCCCTCGCCTCTCGAAATCTGTCTCGAGATCTACGAGAGCGATCCGACGTTGTTTCAGAAGACTGAGATCTACGCAGACAGCGGAGTACGGTATGGCACGGATGTACTGAAGCTGCTGTCGCTGGGTGTGAGGGCTGTGGGGCTGGGGCGCCAGTTCTTATACGCGAATGCGTATGGGGTTGCGGGGGTGACGCATTTGATTGAGTTGCTGAAAACGGAGATTGCGGCTGATACAGCTAATGCGGGGATTCAGGATGTGCGTAAGATTCAGAAGGAGAGGGTGAATTGGAACCCGCTTACGACGAATGGGTTTAGGGGGGAGAAAGAAGGGGTTGGTGCTGGATGAAGTAGTTTGTGTATATATTTCTCTTCGCTCTAGGTAGACTCTGAGGCTGGTTTAGATGGCCTATGAGGATAGGACTGGTGTCGTCTGATGACTATCGAAATAAAACTTATGATATTTTTCATGCGTCATATATCTCTGCTAATGATTATTTGTAGTTCCCAATGTTGGTATATACAACCAGCCATGCTCTAAATGAGCACCGTGAGCTTCACGTCTCTATGATGATGGTCATTCCTGGTCAGGAATGATGCTCAGCAAAATCAAGTCTCTTCTCACTGGAAACGCACTCCATCCCTCCATGATGATGATGTCCTTAATCTTTTAAACATCCCCTAACTCCGCTTCCCCCTCCACTCATGAAGGGCCTTCAGACGCTGATTTTGAACCCAAAACCCAGCGTTGCTCACATCAAGTCGCCAACGACAGTGTTTTGCCTCTCGTAGAAAAGAAAGGGCGAGCCTAATCGTAGCCCCCCTTTTCACTCGTCGTAGCCCCCCTTTTCCCTCCGTGTAGCCCCCCCAAATTAGGTCTAGCTCCGGCCCGTATAAATATTGTTCCACTAATCAAACTCACTCGCTTGCCTCTAGCTTGCCTCGCACGCCAAGATCACCAAATATATACATCACCAGTGAACACACAACATTCTCTCCAACATCCCACCTCAACACCATGCCACTCCGGGCACCCCCTTGGGCCCGCTACGAGTCCGTAGAGGCTGGTATAGCATCTATCCAGGCCTATGCAAAGGCGCAGGGCTATGCCTTGCGAAAATGTGGTAATAAGTATGACAAACGTACTCCACCACAAGTGCGCAAAGTTTTTGTGTAATGCGACTGCAATTGGACGGAGGCCATCTAGGCGCTTTCCGCTTCTAGACTAGCTAGAGTAGATAGAGTGAATAGACTCCTGTTGGCCTAGATAATGCATCCTTTCCAATTTGTGTATACATACTCTCCATTTTACGCAGCCTATATAGAGGCAAGCGAGTGAGTTTGATTAGTGGAACAATATTTATACGGGCCGGAGCTAGACCTAATTTAGGGGGGACTACACGGAGAGAAAAGGGGGGCTACGACGAGTGAAAAGGGGGGCTACGATTAGGCTCGCCCAAAAGAAAGGCCAGGCTAGTATGAGCTAGGGGAGCGACTAGGGAAGTGCGGGTTTCATACGAAATTCTGGACCGCCCAGCCTGAGAACACGTGACTGATTCATTGACGTCTTGCCGACTTTACTCGTCCATAACTCATGCCAGAACTGTCTCAGCATGCTCTCCGCTGAGATTACGGAGGTCGTTTTAGCTGTCTCGACTCCGATACTGACCGCACGGCACTCAAAGATTGGAACCTTGTGTTTTTTGAGCTCTCTTCCGCAACACTTTTCCTAGTCACCACGTCCAACCCACGGAAATACCGTCACCCTATGTATACAGATGGCCCATAACTGTAGCCTCTTCATTATTTCCACCTCATGAAAATACACCAAACTCTCCATATTCCACTATTCTACTTCCACTGCTTCTCAAGCTCCAAAATCGACTTTACCGTATCGACCAAGCTCTCTTCCAAACCAATATACCTCCAATCCGGCCCAAACACCTCAAAGTTCCGGCTCGTATCCCACCCCGTCGGTTGCACCCCCTTCGGTAGGGTCTGCTCCGGCGTGCCCTCAGCCACCCTCTCCCTCAGCTCTGGGAAATTCTTCCGGATGAGATTCGCGACAAGCTGCGGCGTGATGAGGCCAGCGACCAGCAGATTCCGTTTTCCACCCGCGGCGGGTTTCTCGAGCGCCAGGACGTGGGCGCGTGCTACGTCGCGGACGTCAACCTACACAAGAGTCTCTAATCAGCTCACCATCCACAAAACAGCATCCGATACTCCCCTATTAGCAAAATGGAGGGAAGGTAAACTTACAAAATGGTAAAACGGAAACGCGACCTCCTCGATCTTCTTGTTAGTCCCATTGAAAAAGCTGTACACTGCAAACGTGTTCGTCTCATTCACGGCCTTCGCACTGTTAACCGCCTGCAGCATTGGCCCGATTATGATATCCGGGTTGATAACCACGAGATCGAAGCCCGGTTTCGCCGTTTCGACAAAAGCCCACGCGGCGCGCTCAGCGAGGATCTTGGCGACGTTGTACGCGGCGACCATATCGTTGTGCGAGATGGCGTAGTCGGCCGTGACCTTTTACCATATTTCCGTAAGCCAATGCGAAGATAGGAGGGAAACTAATGGAGGACCTTACGGGATTCCAGTCAGCTTCAGTATACGGTTTCCCGGCTTTACTCATGTCTTCGAAGGAGTTGAGGACGGCGACTGCGCTGCCCAGCAGAACGAATCGCTTCAATGTCTTCCCGCCGAGCTTGTGGGCGGATTCGATGATGCCGATCGTCCTGGTTGGTTGCGCTTCTGTTAACATTCGTCACGTGGTGTACAGCGGATTGGGGGGTGCGGTACCCTTGCACGGCTGGATCAATCAGCTCTTTCTGCGCATCTTTGACGCTGAAGTTCACTGGCGACGCGGTGTGGAACACGTAGTCGAATCCCGGTTCCGTGGATTTGAAGACGTCGTCGAAGGCGCCGGGGGTGGCGATGTCGGCGATGTACGTGAAGGAGAGGGCGGCGGTTTTGTAGGAGGGATGTAGAGCGAGGACTTCTTCGGCTTTGGCTGGAGAGCGGACGCTTGCTACGACTTCGTACTTATTCTGGGCTGGATTAGAGTTGCGAAGTTGGAAGAAGTGGGCGGGAGACGAGGTGGAGGATTTTACTTCGATTAGTTGTGCTAAGATGTGAGAAGCCACAAAGCCATTTGCACCTGTTAAGAACACTTTGGGAGCCATTTCGAGACGAGGATGAGAAGAGTGACGCTGGAAAATGCTCCAGATTGGTGGCAGAAACGTTTTAAATATTTACGTTCGCTTTGAGGAGGTAGGATATACTAGACATGGATAAGCAAGATCTGGGTATACTTTGCGATCAATACACTCCTTGCTTCTTATAGGATTATGAAAGCACAAGGTCGCTGACAAAACGGCTCACAATCGGGATACAGCGTACTAGTAGAAGTCTTCGACGGCTCGTGCACGCTGACGGCTCGTGCACGCCTCACCGAAAAATCCACGGCTCACAACATGAAGCTTTTCAACACAACACAACGAGATCAATATACAGAAATCATGGAGGAGAGGCAACTAGGGTCGCTCTTTCATTCTATCGTAATTATGGAGTTGTCATATCGCTTAGGGGGGTTGCGCAATCGCTGAGGCCGGCCCGAAGCTGATTTGACCACCCCATCTTCAACACTACAATTCTGCTCAACAGTAGGCTCCTTAGGAATAGCGAATACAACATTCTTAACCTTCTGCCTCTGCTGCATTTCCTGTCTCTCTGCTTTAAGCTGTTGCTCCGCCTTACGCGTCTCACGTGCCTCCTCTATCTGCTGCCTTTTAAGAACCTCTGTACAGACGTGCTTAACAAAAGTTTCCGCGGCGCTAAAATAGCGTAAAGCCACAAAACGCCACCAGAATTCCTCACCAGACAGTACCCTCCTGTTTTCTCATACAAACGCGTCTGCAGAGGCACAACTCGGCGTCCTCAACCCCCGAACCTGATTTTTTGAGGCTCTATACACTAGCTAGCAAGGTAATATCACCAGATTCTGTGGTGTTGCAGTTCTAACAAGCCGTGTAGGTGCCCGAGACACCCCTCCGCGACTCCGACGTTCATTCGCACGCAGCGTCTCTGTCATATTCCTCGCCATACAATCGAGCAGAAGGCAAGCAGGAGGACTATATTCGTGATCTATGACGTCAATTAGTCGCCAAACATACGCTTTTTGGTGACCTTCCTGCCGCTCCGTCGTAGGCCTTGCTCAGCAGCAGCTGTAGCAGCAT